CCAAGCTGCTGTATCGATGGTCACTGTCGAGGCTGAGACTCAACGGGTTAACGTGTCGGCCGATCCCAGACAGACGGATACCTTCCCCCATCTTGAGCGCAATTCGATCGATACCAATTTGGGTGCTGAGATTGCTGAACGTCTTGGAAGCTCTGGAACTGACAACTCGAACTCGCGTAAGAGTATTGTTGGAGGCGACAGGGAACGTGCGGAGGTGCTTGCTGCCGTCCGCAAGGGAATTCTTAAGCGTAAGTGCGATCTTTTCATTGTAGAATCTTGAGCTAACAGTCTTCAGGCCCAGGCTCAGCCAGCCCTTCCATTCGTCCTGCCGATTCCTCGCCTGGCCTTGACCTCCCCAGCGTTCCTGCTGTCACCGACTCCCCCAACTCCAGTGCCCCTAGCACTCCCAACGACGAGTCTCAGGGCCATCGACGAACTGGTTCAATTGCTATCGGTAGCGAAGATTATTTCATGTCCGCTTTGAGGCTACGACAGGACAGCAAGAGCGCACCAAACACTCCCCATGGATCTACCAAGCGTAACGCGACTTTCTCACCCCGTATTGTCTTCCACGATACTTGGCCTAGTCAGGAGTACGATCGTCGCGGTGAGATAGCTACCTGCAACCGATTGACTCCCATGCTTGCGCAACAGATCAAGGAGGAGCTGAACACCTTCAAAATGGTACGTTTTGACACTGAGAATTTTAACGCCACACCAGTTGTTAACAGTTTATAGGAGATGGAGGTTCACGAAAACTCAAAGATTTACACGCACTTTTTCTGATGATGGCAATGCCCACCACGAGGAGCGAAGCTTGTTAGCGCAGTGTTTTGTTTCCTTGACTGATACCGGAGCTCAAACCGGAATCTTGTATTGCAAGCAACCATATTAACCGCTTGGGCGTTTGGGACAGCATTGTACGGTGTTAATGGTGTTGATCACTCTAACCAGTCTCTACATGTCATGTGGAATTTAGACCAAAGAGTCGTACATTTCTTTAATCTTGCTTTTATCATCTCTCTTTTCTTTTCATCTGGGACCGACGAGGAATGGAGCGTAATGGAAATTACATACATACATATTTCTGGGCTTGCAGCAGTGTCACCATTGAAACGGGGACACAGCGTTAATTCACAGAACATCATTTACTAGTCTTGTCGACATGAACAAAAAAAATCAATGGAATGGATATAACATGAAGTTTTGATTGCTTGGTCGGGACATTTTACGTCGCCCTGTGAATGTTTGAGACATTACTTCACCTTGTTTTTAGTGAATCAGTATATGTTTTCAGACTATTTCCGAGTTGGGCTACGGGATGCAAGCATCAGGGGCTTAACAGGCTAATTAATCTCGATTGCGTGTACACTTCAGAATTTGTTTGTTCTTCATTTGATTCAGGGGATCGAATCAATTTACAGATAGAGGAAGGGTACTTGGGTACATGATTTGTGGTGTTGCTTGGCATCTTCATAGAGACCCGCTATTAGAGGTACATGAGAAGAATAAAATGGTACATGTACCCACACGTTGGATCTTTCGGAAATAAGGCTTAAGCCTCAAGGTCCCCGCGATCTCGTCAGCCACAAGCCTCCCCCACCCCCACATCCGGGCCGTAACATTACTCGGAGGTGAAATGTTGAAAAAAATATTTTGGTGGTCATACATAGGCAGTAAACGCTCCCTCTAAACCTCTTTGCGCCGCGTCACGTTAAACACTCTGGATCGATTAACACGACGAGCCTGGCTCTTGAAGAGTCCGGGATATCTGCATCCTTTTGTTTCAAGCCGCCGATTTGTCTGTTTCGCACAGCGTATGTCTACAATGACGACTACAGAGGAGAACCCCACCAGCGCGGGGGAGCGCCCTACCAAGCTGCAAGGACGAGCATTCTACGAGTCTATCGGAAGCCCCAAGTTCATTGTTGCGCCGATGGTAGACCAGTCTGAATTTGTAAGTTATTGTTAGATCTAGTAATGTGTGACTTGACTGACGGTTTAGGCCTGGCGCATGCTAACTCGAAGTTTCATTTCACCCACTGAACAAAAGAGTCTTCTTGCCTATACACCCATGCTCCACGCTCGTCTCTTTTCGCAAGACGAGAAATATCGCAAGGCGCACTTCCAATCCGTCAAACCTGACGGCGAAACTCCCTGGCTTGACGGAAACCCTTCTATCGACCGCCCGCTATTCGTCCAGTTCTGCGCGAACGATCCCGAAGCGCTCCTTTCCGCCGCTAAGCAAGTCGCTCCTTACTGCGATGCTGTTGACTTGAACCTCGGATGTCCTCAGGGTATCGCGAGAAAGGGAAAGTATGGTGCTTTCCTCCAGGAAGACCAGGATCTTATCTTCCGCTTGATCAACATCTTGCACAACGAGTTGCCTGTGCCTGTGACGGCCAAGATTCGAATCCTGGATACTAAGGAGGAGACCCTGGCATACGCGCAGAATGTCCTGAAGGCTGGTGCATCTATCCTCACCGTTCACGGCCGACGAAGGGAGCAGAAGGGACATTTGACGGGCCTGGCTGAGTGGAAGATGATTCGGTTCCTGAGAGACAGCCTACCCAAGGAGACAGTCATTTTCGCGAATGGAAATATTCTTCAGGAGGGAGATATTGAGAAGTGCCTCGAGGCTACAGGAGCTGATGGTGTGATGAGCGCCGAGGGTAACCTCAGCGACCCAGCTATCTTCACAAAGCCACCACCCGTCGGAGAGGAGGGACGAGAATACTGGAGAGGAAAAGATGGAAAAGGGGGTTACAGAGTTGATGCTGTGTTCAGACGATACATGGACATCCTCCACGAACACGTTTTTGGAGAGAAGCACCTTGAGCGCCGACCACTCTTCATGCCTGGTGACGATACTGAATGGATGAATGAGAGCGAGACAGTTGAGGATGAGCCACCGTCTAAAAAGCGAAGAAAGGACCTGGGCAAGAAGGGAGAACAGGGCCCCAACATGTCAGCCATGCAACCTCATCTATTCCATCTATTGCGACACTTTGTCTCCAAGCACACCGACGTGCGAGACATGCTAGCCAAGAGCCGAGCAGGCGACATGGAAGCCTACGAGCGTGTTCTATCTGCCGTAGAGCGTAAGGTTGCAGAAGGTCTCATTGAGTACGAGCGCACCAATGGGGAGAGCGTTGCGGAGACACCATTGGCTGAGGGCGAGGAGGATCCTCCTGAGACTGAGAGCTCAGTAGGCACACAAAGACGATGTCGAAGGCCGTGGTGGGTTGTTCAGCCGATTATCCGACCGCTACCAAATGAGGCATTCAAGAAAGGAGCTTTGACTTTGAGTAAGAAGGATAAGGTTAAGGCACAGGAACAGAAACAGGAGGAGAAGGGCAAGCAGGAAGATATCAAGGCAAGGGATGAGGCATTGGCGGGATAGAGTTATGATTACAATGAGTATTATATAGATGGCGTATAGGTGTGAAATGTTTAGAATAGATCGAAAGACACAATTTCTCACAATAATGATTTGGAATCCATATGTCTCGTTCGGAATGCAAGATAGATGAGGAAGTGGAAGTAAATAAAGATGAAAAATTCCGAGTGTAGTCTGGTTCATTTATCACATTGCCACGGTATGATCAAAGATATAAAGTTGAGATTAACACAATACTATATGAGCTTTCATTAACCTTTTAATAGATATGATGAAATATCGATATCATTGACAGGATAAGGAGTATGAAAGATAAAACGACAATAAAGGACACATTTGGGACTCCTTATACCTCCGAAAACTCCCTCTCTCTTGCAGCGTTGCGAAGCCCGCCCCGATGAGAAAGTTTTTGGACACAATAAAATTCCAGGAAGGGGTCGTAGTCTGTCAGCATGTCTCGGAGACTAGAATGGCAGACATCGAGAGTCTTTGATCAAAAGCTATCAGAGACGTGGTCGTGATGTGTTGATGCTTTTTGAGATATGGAGCAGGAGCTGTAACCCAAAGATGTAGTGCAAAGTGTATACTTGGATAAATCGTTAGTATGACTGCCTCCCTTGCGTTGCACATATCTTAATTACAATGCTTCACGCTCGGAAACGATACTGAATTAGCCACGATAGCGAGCAGGCTCAAGGATTCTAAATTTGCTGGCCTCAGTGGAAGAACATATATAGCTTTGGCCTCCCTTAATCCTTTTGTACGTAGCAAGCGTCGCCTTCTCCTTGCATCTCGTTCTTGCCTCCCGTTGAGTACGAGGGCATTACTTGTGTATATGTAAGTATAGAAGAACATATAAGACAGAGTACTTATTTCTTTGGGACAAAGACTTGGAGGAACTATCTAGACTTTATATAACTAGCTCAGACAGGACACTAGAAGGTTTCCTAGTTTATGCTAGCAGCTGTTTGTTCAAGGAAACTTATAATAACAACTCACACCTAAACAAAAGCAATCAATAGATATCAAGTATTGTTTTCTACGCATGTATTTCTTGCGTCACTATTTGTCTATAATATACTTGCATCCCCAAGAGAGTATAACGACTCGATACCAAAGACGATTGTTTATTTTCATTCTAAACCTACCCAAACCTGATCCTAAGCTTACTCAGACTTATCCCAAACTGGTCCATTCTACAGAGTGAACGTAAGCTACCACATCGGATTAGGGCAGATAATATAGTATAATTAGTGAGGGAGAAGTTTCAGAGTTATAAGAGAAGAAAGTTGATCCGTCTCGTATAACACCAGCGTGTCTGTGGTTCGTACATCTTTTATGTCTCAATCTGGAGTTCTTACAGGAGATGCTGTAGGCAGAATGAACGGGTGGCTTTGAGGTTTTATAGATATTCATAACATAAAACGGATGTCAATACCATGTTGCTTGATTCTTAGTTATAGTGTTTGTTGCTTGGAGATGCACTTCTTTCTACAGCCTTTTGTCAAGAAGCACAAGTGAAACAAACGACCTCATTTCTAGCATCACACTTCTAAATTATCCTACCTTATCTATTCAGAATACAAGCAGATATACCGCTATGCATGTATTTGTGCCTGCTTGGTGCACAGGGGCGAAGGCTGGCGATTCCGGCTTGTAGGCATGTATAAGACTACTGTGGTCTTTGCTTTGATCGTCATGCTTGATGTTTCAGGCAGACTGTAAGATGATGGCAGTGTTGCAGAACACTCGAGCATTAAGGCCAACAGGGTACACAATCACTAAGTTTTAGTATTAGAAAAAGAACCTCAGTCGATTCTATTACACTATCTATATATATTTCGTTTCGTATTTTGACTGTATGTACAAATAACGGCAGGTTTGCTCCCGGACGCGGTTGTTGATACTGTGGCGATGGCGGAGTTGATCGCGCTGGAGGCTAGCAATAGGACACTCCCGGTTGTCTTGACACATTCTTGATTCTATGTGTTCTCATATACTTTGTATATTCCCCTAGGTCTCTCTTTGTAAAATGCGGTCCCTATATTCTTTATTCTTTATGCTGATTGTGCAGGTATCTGAAAGCTGTGCATTAACAAACCCCTATCCTTCTTTGGTCAAGGCTATGTGCATTTTGAAAGTAAAGATCTTGTAGGCAGCTGGAGCCTTTTTGCAGCATTTTAGGCAGTTCGTGTCATCCAATGTCACTACGAGAAATCCTGTCTTGTTGCCTGCCCGCTTGTCACTTTGTCACTGTCACAAACTGCCTGCCACTGCCACTGTTACACCTCGTGCCGTGCCTTAGGTACCTCACTCTGCCTTATGTAATGTGCCCTAACTTACCGCACTGTCTATTTATTGACTTCTCTTTTGATCTTGATCCTCCTCTTCTTTTCTCCGACAGTTAGCCACATATCAACAACGCAACACCACACACAACACATACCAAATATGCCTACCTTATATATCCAACATGTCCACGTCATAGAATGACCAGCAAGAGGGTGTCGCTTCCTTGTCGCCCAAGGACGACAGTAAGCCCAATGGTGAGGGCGAGGGTGAAGTCCCGCGGAGTCGGGTCGACGATGAGCTGGAGCGATTTCGTCGGGTAAGATCTCACAAGTCAGCATCTTGCCAAAGTCCCAGTACTAACCATGAATGTCAGCTCAAGGACGACTTCTTCCGGTCTGCCCCTGCAGTCAAGAAGGAGCCTAAGGCTCCCAGACGGCGCCGTAAGTTCACGCGACTGTGCCCTGAATTTCGCAACAATGGGCATCGCCCGGAGGGTGCATCTTGTGAACGCTTCCATTTCGTCCCGTGGGATCTTCCTGGCAAGCAGTTTACGGACTATCCCTTGGACCTATTCTTTTCCAACTTCCCGGGGTTTGATCATCAACGCACCAAGCCCTTTTTCGACGAGTTCGATCGCATGTGTAATCACTTCAGCTGGTCTGAGGAAGCCACTGAGCCCTGGTACAATTTCCGCGTTGCACTCATCCAGGAATTCAACTACGTCATTGGTGAGGATAAGGACAATCTGCTGCACTGGCAGAATATGTTCAACCTCATCGGCTTGCCCAAACCAACTTCTCTCGTCGAAGCACGCACAGTTAGTGAAGCTCATCACGCAGCCATTTGCACCAGAAAACTGACCAGATTCAGACCATGCGAGCAACTCATGTCAACCTTGTGGACTTGGTTGAGTTACCCCGAACCCGTCAACCAGTTGAGCACTTCAAGACTGTTAAGGATCTTAGCGACTACAGCATCTACGAACACAAGATCTTTCCCAAAGAGGAGGCGTACAACGGTGGTCTTTTGGCGCTGTTGCTTCGTGAGATTCTCGCCGCACGATCCCGCTAGGCTCGGACGAACTGAGCTGAATGGTGGCTATTTTGCATCTTGATCGTGTTGCGGTATCATCTGCCACGCCCATTATTATTCTTTCTTTGGTGAAAGCCATTTGCTTCTTCTGGCTAACGCCTGCCTGAAACTCTTCCTCAACCTGCTTCTTTGGCGTGAGCCGCATTTATAACAACCTTCTTCTTTTCTTTGCCACGAGCCACCAATTCTTCTTCCCCGGATCCTGGAAGCTTGAGAAAGCCTGAGAAGCTTGTGGTTTCACAGCCCAAGTGGAGGCACCAGATCGACGGCTGGTACCTTCACGTGGTGATCTGGGTCAGTAGCAGAGAGTGTTGTCTCTATGAAACTAGGACCAGCCATGCATATTGCATCCGGATATAACATATACAGATGGGTTCAGTTAGATAGTCATTTATGGGAAGCATGTCAGGGGCATTCTGGAGTCAGACTCATTAACGGCCAGAGTTATTGCTATCTGTAAGCACATGGCCAATGATTTCGTCCAGTTTTGATCGCCCTCTATTTCCGTACAATTATACCTGGTCATTCTCCTGTTGATGATCTTTATGCTGAGTAGACCGTGACCTCTCTAACATGCTGCAACTGTATTTTCTCCCATAGCTGCTAAGAATCGACTCCTCGTTCCTTATACTTCGCAAAAGCTTCTTCCATTCTTCTTTCAAACGCAGTTTGTCTCATCCTTACAAGCGCTTGAAGTTCCTCAGCCTGGAGGTCGACACAAAACATACAGTGCCCCTCTTGGCCACAACAAATGCCGTAGTTGTGGTGGAAGCGATCGTGGGCCCTGAACTTAGGCCAGCCTTGATAAAAATCCCCTGGTCGATGTTCCAAGTAGTTTTCAAGGGTGTTACGTGTTTGTTGAAGCTGTGGAAGGGTCGCATGAATAATCTGACCGAAGAACGATGCGCCTAGCTGTAGTCAGTAAAGATTTCAAATGGATCTACGATAGGTGGCGTACCTCCAATAACGGTAAAGAGTACGGTAGCAAGCGTGATGCCCCAGGCTTCTCGTGACATTTGCATTGGTGAGTTTCCCATCAGAAGGAAACTTATGACAAGAGCGGCAACGCAGATGATGGTGATCTCCATGATGTAGGTTGCAAAGTGTTTTCTTGATACTAAGCAGATAACTTTCCTACAAGGAGAATAAATGAATGGCACGGAGATTCAATGGTTTATATTAGTACCTCACATCACTCAGCAGGACAAACAAAGAACACCTTTTAGTGTTATTTGCTACAGAATTTCCTTTGTTATGCTGCCACTAATGTGCAAGGTCTCTAACAAATAAAGCCATAAAACATGAGCTATCGGGTTGTTGCAGATTTTGAGTCATAAAAGGCGTCACGTTAAGTGGTCAAGATGGGCAAACGATAAGGCTGTGTCCAACTGACAGAATAGTCGTCAAATGACGAGTAGAGCATTATTAGATCTACCAATATTGGAAGGTTTAAAGAACGTTATGGTCAGATTATGGCAAGAAGTAAGTAATATTACTTAGAATATCTCAAGATACGAGGTCTAAGGGTTCAAGAAGTCCTGATTCATGTACCTCTCTAATGGCTTGGAGTGACTTGAGGATAATACCTTCCATCATCATTATATCTTCGGCCCAAATATTCAGGTATGCAAATATATTCTCTTCACAAGACATCAACTCCCTGACATATACACAAGGCACAAAAAGACAACCCTCCTTTTGGTAGACCATGAATAGCATACATGTAGGATATTCCCATGGTCCCGCCACAACTTAATCCTCAAATGGATTCATAGTCTCGAAATTCGAATACTCCATGTTCAAAACGGTTGAGAGTCTAGTCGTGAGCATGGTCACGTCAATGTTCAGCTTTTCCAATCCAGTGCTTCCTAAATACAAGTCAGCCGTTCTGTTGCCCCAAAACATGCTTGATAGACATACCAACGCCAATCGCGACGCTCCCAAGAGCCATGGTTCCGACACGAGTTTTGGTGTTTCTCGTCTTTGAGCCCATCATGATGATCCCAACACCGAAAACAGTGGTATTGTTGCCAGCCTTGGGCGGTTCGTTGGAACCTGAAGGGGTTTCCATACTGATGAATGTGACGATCTTACCAGATGGAAAGAATAGGAGAAGCAAGATAGCTAAAGAGCTGAGATACGTTTCCAGAGGTCAACAGTATTTATATTCATAGGACAGTCACTATTCCCTTCAACTAGGGACCTCCCCTATACAAAGCATGAAACTATTCACTTTGTCATGATGCATCCAACAAAGAAGAACATGAAATTCACCGTTGAAGAAATCCCAAGAACAATGACGCTGAGCCTCAAAAGCTTACAATTTTGGTAGTCCCGCTGATGACGCAACTCTCTAACCTGGCCCTCTAATTATAAGTAATCCCCATCTTCATTAAGTCCAGCTCCTTATTCTCCCCATCGTCTTTCTCCATCCCTTCAACTTCCCCTTCGTCCTCGCTTCATTGGTGGCGGTGACCGAGAAACACTATCGCTATAACGTCTCCTCTTTGGCGGCACAGGGCTCAAAGACCTCTTTGCTCCACGGCGTGGGGGGCTAGGTGACCGTGAGTATGAGGCTTGGCGACCGTTACGCGCAGGTGGGGGCGATACGCTGTCTGGTTTGGTCCTTCTTGGAGGTGGAGATCGAGAATCGTATGAAGGTGAGCGGCTGTGCTGCTTACCAGCATCCCGCGGTCCGTCAATGACGGAAGAGCTGTTACGCCGATGTGAGGCTGGACCGGCATTTCCGCGCGGTCGACCTCGTCGAGGTGGGCTGCCAGAGTATGACCTCTCCCGTTTTCTCACAGGAGAAGGAGATCGGCTCTGGGAATCATACGACCGGCTTCGTCCATCTCGAGCTGGAGGTAGCGGCGACCGTCCCTCCGAAGCGAAGGAATCCTTTCGTCCACGTGCTTGACGTGGAGGCGTGCGGGAACGACTTCGGGATGAGTATGAGGCGCTGCGAGCCCGACCCTTGCCGTTTCGTGGGGCAGGGGATCGTGAGCCGCTCTCGCTGTCGTAACGACGTCCTCGTCGGGGAGGGCTGGCAGAGCGAGACTCGCTACGTCCCCTTCCTCGTGCAGATACAGATCTTGAGTAAGATCTTGATCGCGACGAGCTGTATGAACGTCCCCGGCTTCTTCGATCAGGAGACCGAGAAAGGGATCTTCCTCGGTCAGCGACCTTACGTGGTGTTCGTGATCTGGATCGAGATCGCGAGTAAGAAGAGCCTGTGTACGACGAGTAGCTTGAAACAGAATCAGAGTCTGAATCAGCCGCAGGGGGTGCAGGTAAAGCAGGTTTAGGCATGTTCTGTAGGTAAGTTCGCATCTCTTCTGTGAGAGCGCCCATACCAATACTTGTAAAGTAGTTGATAGAGAATCTGATATTGCGGGGGTTGTCCTTGGGGAAGAGGCCTTCAAGGTTGGGGCGCAGGGTTTCGTCTGTCATACGCGCCCTTAACTTAGGCATACCGGTTTCCTCTGCGATAAACTGGAACAGGATCTTGATAAAGATACGGCTACTGGATGTGGTCTCGTCCTCGTTCAAGTGAATGACAGATAGACAGTGCCAGCCCAGAGCGTCCGAAGCAAACATGTGGCCAAACAGCATCGCAATATTGCGCAATTTGTTGTTCTCGTATCGATGGATAGTGTCGTAGTACTTGGCAAAAGCCTGCTCGAACAGGTCGCACCACAGTCGGTTGATCTTGGCGAAGCGCTCACCAATCATGCCAAAGAACTTTGTGTAGGTCTTTTCTTGTGAACAGCACTCCACGATCATGGAGGGAAGTTCTGGTTCCTGACCTGCAGGGAGGTTGATCTTCATGAGCTTGTGGACAGCTTCCTCAGGATCGGCACTGGACATGATAGTGAGATAGATAGTCCTTCGTAGGTTGACCAGATCGGCATTAGACTGGTCCTTGATCTCCATAGCTTTCGTCTTCTCGTCCTCCTCGTCTTCAGAAGAACTCTCGTATTCGTCGTCGTCATCCTCGTCGTCGCTACCTTCGCCTAGAATCTCAGCCTTGAGCCTCTTGTACGCCTCTTCGTGCTCCTCCCACTCCGGGTCGAATTTGAAAATGTTGAGTCCATCCTGCACATCGATTTCGCCCTCCAGCTCAACTCGATGTGTGATCTGATCCTCCTCTTCAACCAGATCCAACTCCTCCTTGACAGCTGGGTTGTCCTTAAATTTGTCCTTGCGCACCTGGAACAACACTTCGATCATGTACTGTGTTCGCTTGTCGATATCGGCTTCGTGTAGAATGTTTCGGAATTGGTCAAAAACAGCCATGGCAATAGACGGCTGCATCTCCTCAAGATATTGTCCAACTTCTCGGCAGAAACCGACCGCAATCTCAACACTGTCGTCGGTAGGCTTATGAAGCAGGAGAAGGAGAATCTGGCCGGCGAGCATTTCATGTTGAACCTGCTGGTTGATAAGATGCGCCAGGAAGGTAGTCGAGGAAAGGCAGACAGCCTTGTCGTTTCGCTTGAATCCCTTTCGGAACTGCATAACCAAACGACGAATCAGAAGTTCGCCGACCTGGGGTAGCTTGGTGTTGACGATAGCAGCCATAGCGGCATAAATCGGTGTGAACGGTAAACTGGCAGCTTGGGCCTTCATGATCGATCGACAAAACAAACCGCGACCTCGGATCAAATTCTCTCCAAAAAGCTCAGGAACGATAAATTTGATGTTCGCAGTGTTGACCTTGTTGATCAGACCATTTATACTCTTCTTGAGCGCCTCCCATGCCATGCGCTGATACTCCTTGCTCGTCTTATCCGTGATCTGGGCCTGGAGCGCGCGCAGTCGAGCGGGTGGGATATATGTACCGCCGGATCGCATTGTGAGAAGCTTCTCGTACTCTGCCTTTGCAGCCGCTTGTTTCTCCTCTTCGGTTCGTACAGGCGCAGCTTCCCGTTTTTGCCTGGGAGAGGCTGATCGTTGGTCCCTCGCAGGACGATACGAATCTCCATCACGCTTGTCGCTGCGATCGCGATCCCGACGCGGGAGATCGACCTCGGCGGAAGCCATCGTGAGAAAATTACACTCCCAGTTGCAGTCGCGATCGATTTATTTTATCGTGTCGATTCCTGCGTCCTGGATTTCGATGGCGTGGGGGTGAGAGAGTGAAAGGCTTTGCGAACCGAGAAAGATGTCGTTGCTAGCTTCGTCGCGCACGAAGTAATGTCAAGTTTGAAAAAAGATATTCAGCCACATCTGGAGCTCCGAGGTCATGTGGCTGTGCAGTGCTGTGGCGCCCCACCTTTAGTCGTCACGTCTCCTGAAGCTCGTCCCTAAAGCCAACTGGACTTTTTGACGGCAACCATTTCACCACCAAAAGATACTGCCACGACACTCCTTTATTTCTACTTCTCGGCCTCAATCTTCATCTCTGCTCACCAAAGACTACGCTCGTTTGCTTTGCGCATCTTTGACAATGGTAAGTAACATCACCTGTCAAGGCCTGATTTACACGCTGTCCCCTTTACGCGCTTCAGACCGGGCATCGTGACAGCCCCTCGCGGTGCTTCAACTTTACTAACATAACTCTTGTTACAGTTGGACAAAATCGTCGGTCTCGCCATGCTCGTGGCCGCTTCCGTCGTCTTCACCTACTACACCATCTGGACTCTTCTCATGGTAAGATGCCCCTCATTGCTCAGCTCGATGCGACTATACACCCCTACCAATACACCAGCCTAGGTATTGAACACATTGTCAACTAACAATTGATTAGCCCTTTGTCGACGACGATCACCCTCTCCAGAACTTCTTCCCCCCTCGCGTTTGGGCCATTCGCATCCCTGTCATTATCATCCTCCTCGGTTCCGCTGTTGTTGGCTCATTCCTTGGCATGGTTATGATTCGGAGCAACCAGAAGAAGGCTGCAAAGGCCAAGGCTGCCGCTAAGAAGGCCAACTAGACGACGACATGTCGATTATATACTTGTAATCATTCAGTGTCTTCCAACGGCGTTGTTTCGCCCAAGACCTAATCACACCATATGGGACTTTGAACCCTTAGGCCAATGTCTTAATGCAAAAGAGATGAACACTACAGGAAATGGGTATCTAATCTTTTTTCTATTTGTAATGAGGCATTATGACCTGCCAAACGACCGTGCTAAAGATTGTTTCTTCCGTACAAGCAAAATGCCCACATATCAGAATCAAACTCCAACATTCCGGACCAAGAGTTGGGTTGAGCGTAACTATTCATGCTTCACACGAGAAGATACAAACTTTGCTCCATATCGCCAAATAGCTTAAGCAATGAGTTGCAATTCCAGCCTCGTATGCATATAATCAAGCAAGGCACAAGTACCTAGACGCCAACCTCAAGACGCACGTTGTCTGTCTGAGAATTCTTCTCACACTCTCTGATCTGCAAAGTCAAGGACTTCACAGTCATCCTCAAAAAAGCCATCCTCACCTTGGCTTCCACCTTGAGCTCCACGTCGCCTCCTCGTAGTCACCACGATCTGCTCCTGATCGCCGTACTGCATCACGCGCTCCATCGCTGAAGGGGGCAACGGAATATGGTCTTCCGGGCCGTCGTACTCCTCCTCCGCAACTGTTGGCAAGCCTAAATCCAGTCGAACCACTGGAATATCCTGGCCAAAAGCCCAAGCCGTTGTGTTTGAGACTTCTTTAGGTGAATTTGGTTCCATGGGTTGCCCCTTCTTCTTCTTTTTCTTGGAAGTAGTGTTTTCCTCTAGACTTGTCTCGGCTAGTATAGCGGAGACAACTTCAAGCTGATCAGCTGTTCCTCTCCGGTACTCGCAGAGAGTTACTCGTCGATCCGTGTGGAAAGGTTGGTAGGGCGCACTAGACTCTATCTCAGCTTGAGGGATTGAAGATTCCATAGTCTGATCTGTTGCCGCAACACGAGGTCGGGGGTTCAGTGTCAGGGTGTTTCCTGCATCCATATCACGGTCCGAAAGGTCGAGAATTTCATCCTGAGCTCCCAGGTCAACCATCTGTCGTACAGCTGGAGCAACCAAGTCGCTGGGTAGAATCGGCACGTTATAATCGTGATACCTGCTAGCCCGTGTCACCCGCCTGCCAGCCTGTACGCTAGATCGGCGAGTTCGACAGGAGAAACCTCGTACTAGACCGTTTCCAACCACAAAGAGTCCTTGATGTTTCCTGCTTTTGACCCAAGTCACGCAGGATGCCGAAGGAAGGCCTGAACTAAGTGGCAAAGAGACTCGGTTTTCGCCAGTGTGCCGAAGCTGGTTAATCGCGGTTCCTGTCTTGCCAAGTGAACTGCTGATACTAGCAGCGATCACTCGCCCACCCATAGCCGCTGAGTCTTTTAGGCTGTTGCCAGTCGCGTTTTGTACGTTACCACTGCTGCGACGAGGTCGTGAGACAAATGGTTTCGCAGCTTGGTAGGCTGCACCAAAAGCTCCGGTAGCTAAAGAAACAGCCGTGTTCGACTGCTCTGGTGTTGCGGTGCCACTCTCTTGAACAGCCTGACGACGACGAGGTGCAGGCCACATGAACGCACTTGAGGGCATATCGAGGAGATGAACGGTACCACGCTCGGTCACCATAGCTAACCGCTCTCCCTGCGATTGGGTCCAAGCGACATCGACAATGCGTGCGACAGTCATTCGTGAAAATTGTGCAATTTGACGGACCTGAGGTCCTGTGCTTGCATTTGGCGTGACAGTGGTCTGGAGAGGGGATGATCGTGTATGTTGAATACGGAAAAGATCCCAGACTGTTTGCACATCGCCTTTGCTGCTGGCGGTGAACAGGGACAAAGATGATGGCGAAAATGAAAGAAAACTGCAGCCCAAAGGCGGCGAGAACGTAGTGATCGGATGAATAGTAGATGAATTAGTGAGCGACTCCGCATCAACAATCGACACAAGCCCTGGATCTTTCGCTCCAACCGGACCGGCAGGACCATGAGTAGGAGGGAAGTTGATCGGGTCACCACGAGGAGGTCGAGTACCAGCCCAATTCTGAGGAAGCGAGCGGGCTTGTTGAGTTTGTGTTTGGGGGGTTGACGACTTGTTCCAGTATGAATTCCAAGCTTGCAAGCCTTGCTGTCCAACCCACTTGGCACCTTGAATAAGCTCCTGAGTCGTCTCTCGCATGATTTTATTAACGACACTATCGGAAATAGGTAGATCTACTGATGCAGAAGACGAAGGGAGCTGCGGCGGCGTCACAGTGGCGAGTCCAGGTGCTTTGCCGAGAATGGGAAGTGGTACATGAGCTCTCAACGAGACTTGTGACGAAGGCGTCGCAGGACAGTAAGCGATCCATCGCCCTCTAACTGCGAGAATCGGTGTTTGCGGATTTGAGCGTGGTGGCGCGCTTGAAGACTGTGTCTTATCAGCCTCCTCTGGCACCTCACCTCGGGTGCTTTGCTGAAGTCTGGTCCAGATCTTTCCGACACATGTAAAAATATGACCATTTTGATCTTCCAATAATTGCAAGTAAACCCAGCATTCGCCAGTAACGCCTGAGCAGACTGTAACTGTACCTGAGTCCGCTCGAATTGTGAAGGAGCCACTGGGCGAAGGAGGTCTGAAAATGGGGTTCGTGACGGAGATTTCAGGGTTGATCGGAATCTTTGGCGCCTGGAGCAACACATCAACGAGCTGGTTGGTCCTGAGTGAGTACACCTCGACAGACGTTTGATATGAGTCGATGGTCTGTCGCCCCTGGAGGCCATCCTGGTGGGTGAACACAGATCGAGGGCTTGCTGCCCCATCAAGTCTGGGGCTTGGTCCTTCGTCCTGTGCGAGGCCAGGTGCAGCTGAAGGTAGGACAGGTCCATGCAATACCACCGCCACAAGAGGGAACAGGGTTTTGTTCCTGTTGCCAAGCGTCCAAGGAAGGATCTTGGCATGGTGAACGCCTCCTCGTAGTCCTTTTAGACTTGCGACAGGTTCAAGCCCTCTCTTGCTGACAGCGTACACATCCAAACCACCTTCATACCCCGCGATGACGACGTTGCTTGGACCAAATGGGAAGTCGGGGCATTCGGGTAGCTTGTCGAAGCCAAAGAAATAGCCTCGTTCGCCGGCTTTCATGCCCGAGTTGTTAGTCATATTAAGGTCGATATCTGGTACTCCATAGAAGTGTGGCTGGGGTTGATGAGGCAGCGGCGGATGGTTTCCCATCCTCGAGCCTTGGAACGGGGAATTGACCGAACTACGTCGATAGGGAACACTCGGAGGTGGTGTTTCTGGAGATTGATATTGGGCGTCCATCTGGAAGCTCAAAGGACGTCGGCTGTGGTTTGGTGGGGATAGAGATGAAGGCGAGGGACTCATGAAATGGCGCTGTACAGGCCATCCTTGTTGCAGTCGACCTGAGTCCTCGTAAGAAGACGGTTGGGTAGGAGGTGAATCGCCCATGATACTGATCAAGTTTCCTGGAGAGCCGGCCATGCCGTTCCTCATCCAGTCATTGTTCATACTCGGTGCTGTGCTCACGGAAGCTGGAGTTGTGGACAAAGCAGCCAGCATAGGGGAGACAGCAGAGTTGACATTGTCAGGGCCAGAAGAAGGCTTAATCTCGGGCGTGTCGACGGGGGGCGTGGAAGCGACCGAAGTAGATGAGCTCTTATTATCTCCGCTGCTGCTGATATTTGTATTCACGTTATCCTTGTTGGTGTTGGCGTTACCGTTATTGACAGTGACATTGCTATGTGACTGCGGTCAGCTAGGTACTTAAAGTGGTCCATGATAGCCCAGAAGAGTCATGCGGACAGGGAGGCTCACGCGAATTTACCAGCTGTTTGCTTTGTCACGGCCGCGGCGATGCCGCCACTTTCTCTGGCATGTTTCCTCTCCTTCTTAGAAGCTGTCGAGAGGGTCATGGTCAGCTCATCTGTTTGTTAAAGAGGAGCGCGGTTGCGCAAGCGGTTCGGGTTTGGGGATCCCAGTGCCTGCGGCTGATAGGTCATACATAGATGGAGGGGTATTAAGGTGGGAATAGAGTTCCAGTAGAGAGGCACTTACAAGGCATATGCAGATTTGGACAAGTGTCGGAGCAGTTTCCTACCCCTAAAACTAAAACGCTACGCTCGCGTCTCTGCAGAGCGCGTTTGTTATAAAAGAGGCGTCAAGTCGATTCACTTGCAGTCGAGGTGACGCCGGCACTTGTCTAGGTTCGAAGTCTGTGTTCCTATGTATTTCGCTTCGTTCGCACAGATCGGGGGTCGATTCGCAGTAGCTACTATCGGATATAGGAGGCGAAGGAAAGGAGATGCAGATCAATATCGGTCAGAATGAGTTGAGTTGAGTTATTATCGTGAAAGAACGGGGAAGTGCTCGAGATCGTTGGGTAGCGGCGTAGACCAGCTCGTCGCGTCTATCAAGTTGAGTTGAATCGATTCAATATGGAACAGATGCAGATGCAGATGAGAAAGAGAAAGATCGTTATAGAGTTGGAAACCAAGGAAATATTCAGACGCTTTGTTGAAGTTTGTATCGTATAGTCATTCACAGTTGTAAGTGAGGGAAGAGAGCTCAAAGGACTGATGGGAGCTGGCCGAAGAGTCACTCTATGATAGATCCCATCCCATCCAATCCACCCATGTGTGAGGCCTAGATTCACACCTCTGTTCCAATGTGGCGTGGGGTGTAATAGAGGGGTTGGGTGGCCTAGGGAGGGCAGTAGGCACTTGGGCAGTGGAGGCCGGTAGTGGACATCACCACCACATGCACTGTAAGCGATAAGGAACTGGCCCTTCTACAGTAGAGAAGGGTTGATAAGACGCCCCCTTCGACCCTCCACCTCCACCTCCACTTTCACCCGAACATCATCTTGAAGGGCACCCTCAGGGAGTAAGAAAACTTCTGACGTTTAATTAGGGTGTCAAAAATGACTAGTCTAAAGGACCACTAAGTTATACTAAGCTTACCTAAGTGTTTTTGTCACTTAGGATATAGGTCTGAAGTTTTATTGCCTCCCTTAGGGGACATCAATGGCATTGGCGGATCTGCCACTACCCACGCCTCGGCCTGTCAGGAACCAAACCAAGCCAAACAGCCCGCATTTCTAGCTCAACCGGAAGATCAAAGGTTTCTTTTTCGTACCGGGCAACTGGATAGGGAGGCATGATTGACACATCCAGTACACGCGGTTATAGCACACAAACGCATGGTTCTCGATTTTGTTGACCTCAATAGTTTCTTGATAAATGACGAGAACAAACCTTTGATGAACAAGGTCTATCCGGTTTGCGGGGTTTAGTTCATGCGCTGGCCAGAGAGTGAATGGGAGGGTACAAATCCGGAGGTTACAGCGCCTCAGTTACACCTTGAATCGGTTTTCGATTCGATACCTTGCCTTGTCATCCACCATCATAGCTTCCATGATACTGGACAGTATACTCGGCTATCTTGAAAAGGTCCCAACGATGACGATTGAATCTTCGATCTTATGCAGTCCTGGTTGTCTCGATAACTGTCATCATTCATCCATTCCTCTCAAGGCTCAATAAATCGTGCCCCATCCATCCGACCAAGTTAAGCCACATGATTCTACGCCGTGATCATGGGTCAGGTGAGCTATGCCATTTACGCCATCAGCATGGCCGTGCCTCTCTAATCACCAGGGGGCGACACGCTGATATCCCAGATTTAGCATTCAAAGCAAGGGACGGTGAACCTTGGCTTAGCTCAGGAAACGCTGCGCTGCTACAGTGAGGATGAGATTGGCACCTGAATGGTCTCTTGGGTGTGTCGTTAGTATTTCTATCCTTGGCTCTCCCTGCCAGAGCTCCCGTTAATCGGCGTGTATTGATCCCAGCTTTACTATTCGACAACGGTATTCTTCGGCATTTGTCGATTCTACTCCGCAAAAGTGAACATCTCCCACGAGCCTTTGATGACGTACGCGGTTGGGTGAAGCTGTTTATAGTTGCTCTCTGAGCGACCTGCTTGACATTGAATAACTAAAGGTTATGCACAAATTCATTTTTGCTTGCTATTTTTGGTTGGTTCCGTCATCTTTGTAGGGCATGGCTTTCACAGCAGATGTCCATCAGTCTGCAGCCAGACGCGGTATTGGCTAAACTTCCACTGTCCATCAACCTTCCTGACGACTGCATGTGCCGACCAAGAGCCTCTTTGAGCCGTCCATCTGTCGTGGTAACGCTGACTTCTCCCAAAATCATGCACTCATTTGAGTCGGAGAATCGCCCAGGAAAGACTTTGAGAACCGTGTGTCTGCGCTCTTTGATGTGCTTCCACATCCGACTTCGGAATTCGGCTAGATCTATGGTCCTTATCAGCTCAATGTCCCCGGCAGTTTGAAGATGGTGATGAAAGCATCGAAACACCTTTTGAGCCGCGTGCCTTGTCAGCGCCAATCTGCACGCTTGCGTCTTCCGTGAAAGAGTCTACCCAACGCTGATTCTCTTCAGGATTGTCCGAGATGCGATAGAAGTCAATCGCAAATTGCTGAAGCTCTTTATCCTGCCATTCGTCCTGGGTAGCATAGAGCGGCACGTAGTTCTCGGGAGCGTTCTGAGCCATGGTGAGTATGTATTGTGATTGCTGTTTCTGAAGTTTTGCAAGGAACAATTGAGGAAAATTCTTTGAGCGATGATCAAGGAGAAATCAGCTCTTTCATGATCTCTAAATTTGGGGAGATATATGGAGAGCATGATGCAATTGTTCTCCATCTGAGTGGATCGTCATGACTTAGTATCGAACTTTCTTTCGGAAACTTGCCGTACAAGCTTCTCTCCAATTCTTTCTGGAAGGATATGAGGTTGTTCTTTCTGTCTTCTTCGGAGATTTTTCGGCCACCTACCTACCTACCTAGGTAGGTAAGAATAGTGAGGTTGAGATATTGTGCAAGATACGCCAGCAAGTGCGGAATAAATAATTGTCATGAAAGCTACAACGCACGCTCAAAAATAGCCTGTTGAAGGTTGTATCCTTACTAGGTATTTATCTTAATGGTGGGTTTGTTACTGGAGTCTCAGTGCAATCTCGAAATTGGGTAGGTATTGTGAACAGGACCTATATTCTTGTTCCTCTTGTTGCTGGTCCTCAGGGTTCAAAAACGAACTGAGGTCTCTGTCTCTTACGAGAAGTTTATATAACTTAGGCTTATGTTTAGGCTACATTTATGGCAATGATCCTGAGGTTTGTAGCAATTTCTTGTCAGTTATCCGAGGGCATATCTCCGTCTTTTTATCGCTTCAACAGGCTGGCCTATCTCTTTACTACTGGATATAAGTCAGGGTCCATAACTCATTCTTATTCACGGCCTGCATCTAACTACCCTACAACAGTTCAAGAAAGAGAACAGGCGAATTATTTTCTTGGTGTAACACCAATTCGCGAGAGTTCTCACCAGATTTGTGCTGAATTGACTACCTACTACCATCGTCACTGTTAAACATTGGGCGGACTTGACTTAAACGGTGGTTGTTTGGCAACAACTGACATTCACAAACCACATGTAATTGCAGCCCCGACGGAGAATGGCATAACATTCTATTTACTACCCGATCAATCGTTGCGAGCAGCTTGGCAGAACAGACCAGTGGCTTCTCTTTCTTTCTTTCCTGGAACCTTCCCAATCAAGAAATACTGCACACACTGACAATCTGTAGATGAAGGAAAGAGCTGACACGGGCCGCTCTCCTTCTGAATAAGGTAGTTTAGACCTCAAGATCTTGCTATAATGCAGGCGCTCTCTGAACCTAAAATGCCATCGACGCTGCCACAACAACAGTACCGAATCAAAACACCAAGACCCAACATCACGATATCGACAAAAAGATATATAAGAGCTCACGAGAGCAAAAGAAGAAGTTGCAATGCGTAATCTGGGAATCGAACCCAGGGCTCCCCGACGCTGCTCGAATGGCAACGGAGAATTTTACCACTAAACCAATTACGCTTTGTTGAAGCGACAGACTAGTATTGAAACCTATGGAGCCTACAGACTCGGCGTTGGCAGAAAACCATTCCTTGCCCATGTTTGATTATCGACGGCTATATTTAAACACGATTCTATAAACACCAGGGTATTATCTCCGAGAGCTCAAAAGGAGCCCAAAAGCATTCAAAACCATCTTCCACGGTACGCCATTCATACCAGTTCTTATGGACCCCAAGACCCCCCCCGTTGCCACCACGACAGCCTACTTCTTGACACCCCGAGCGCTGACTTCGCCCTTCTCACCAATGTTGAGCTTAATTCGGCACTCAGGACAGTACCACTTCGTCGTTCGGGCAGGTACCTCTTCAAGGTCGACACATTCGAGGTGAAACCATTCCTGCTTACACTGCTGGTTTGTCAGTTTCATGTTTGTTTGTTTCTTGCGTGCCGCTGAGGAAGAAAGGTAGGTATTTGAGGCGGTAGAGTCGCTTACGTAGTCAGCATTTTCGCAAGCAATCATTGTGCCAAAGCTGACTCTGTTACAGAGACAATATTTCGGCTCATCTGGGTCAATCGGGTTCCCATCGTCGTCAACATCCTCCAGCTCGACCTCCACAGACCCCTTATCCTTCTTCGTACGAGCCTTCTTCTTCGGTGGCGCCTTTCGTTTACCCACAGCGCTGTTACCGCCGCTTTTGGTGGTGCTAACAATTCCAGGAGCAGGCCGCTTAGTTCGCTTCGGTGGTCGAGGCTCAGGAGCAGGTGTGTTGCGAGCAGTGCTCGCTCGTCGCGGCCGATCTGCAGCTAACGAAGGCTGCGGCTCTTGACTCGCAGCTTTGCCTCGAGAACTGGGCCGGCGTATGGCAAGGCCTTCGGGGCCAGGAGTCAATCTAGGAGTAGGCGCACGAGAAGGAACTTGTTTGTTTGCTGCCTTATTTGCTACTTCAGGAGCAAGTTGAGGGAGTGGTGGTGGAGGAGGGGGAGGGGGAGATGGTGGGGGAGCAAGAGCAATCTGTACATGTTGGAGTTGAGGTGCTGGGGATGAGTTCTCCTCGGTTTTGAGAGGCTCCTCTTCAGATATCTCTGGAATAGGCGGGATCACTTGAGGCGGCGGTAATTCTGCTTGCTGTTGTGCCTGTTGTGTTCGCTTTGCTGCCTCACCTCGGGTCTCTCTTTTACTGTTCTCCCTCACTGGAGGCAGCACAGGAGTCACAGACTTTCTGGTTTCTGTCAATGGTAGAGGAACTGGAGTCTGTTGAGGAGGGGGTTTGGAAGGTCCTGTAGTAGACACTGCAGCTGGACTTGGTGTTGGAGACTTTACTGAGCCTCTTGTGGCCCTGCCAGGGATAGGTATGGGAACGGGTGTTTGTGCGTGTTGCGCCGCAGCCAGATCTCCGGGCGCTGTGGGCACGGATAATGCCTGCTCAGGACTTGGGCCCTTACTCAAAGTAAGCTGAGGAGGCGGCGGGACTGGCGTCTCGGTTTTGGCTCGCTTGGCCTGAGGTCGTAGGGATTGGCTTTCCGTCTTTTCAGCACTCCCGTTGCTGTTGTTAGGTTCCTCCGGCTCCGGCTCCCTTTTTCGTTTCGTTGACCGCGATGCAGCTCGGGTTTTTGCGGGCTTGGGAGTCTCTTTGGGAGTCTCAGACGTTGGCGTCTTTGGAGCTGCTTGGTTACCATTGTTGTTGCTATTGTTATTGTTTCCGTTCCCGAGAAACAACTTTGCAGCTTCGTTCATCTTCCTTGCAGATTCCTCTGCTTCCTCTGCTGCCATCTTTGCAAGGGCCTCTCTTTTTAATTTCTTGGCCTCGTTTAGTTTCATGCCCCTGTTGCTGGTCGGGACCTCTTCAGCCTCTAGTACCTCGACACTCATGGCACCAGCCGGAAGTTGTTTCTCGCCGGATTCGGAGTCTACAACCGGTTTGGGGACTGGGGGCTCGAAGGATTCTCCTTCATCTTCAGCCTTTTTTTTGGCCTCATGATATGCATCAGGACCACGCCCGAGAGCCTTGAGTTCGCGAGCGATCATGGTCTCACTTGGAGTCCATGTTGCATTCTTCTTCATACGTTTCCGCAACTTGGCCAACTCATATTGAGTGAGCTGTAGCCATGGGGCATCAGGACTACCCACGACCGCATCTTCAGGCGGAGGCTGAAGTAGTGCGGCGTTGTTAGCGGCAGCCGCTTGGCTCAGAGCCGGCGTGGCATATGTGACCGGGCGAGCAAGCCGATTTGGTGTCTTGGGTGGTTTAGTTGTAACAACCTTGATTCGTGCCCCAGGAGCAGGCGTTCTTCGATTTGGCGCGGGTGTATCAGAGTCTTCATCTGAGCTAACTTCGCTTTCGTCGGTGTAAGAGTCATAGTCAAGATCGTACGGCGCCTGTATTTCGCCAGGTACAATAATTCTAGGAACTTGTGGACGCCGAGGCTTCTGGCCATCACCTGCAGCTTTGTTCGGTGCCTTGCTCCTTGCTAGTTGTGGCGATTTCGATTGAACAGGACTCTTGGGTTCTTCTGTTGGATAGTTGTCTCTCATCTTCCGTAGTTTGGAGAGCAAAACCTTGGCCTTGGTGTAGTGCCGATTTATGTTCTCGGACATCCTGATAGCTTCAGCATGGGCGAAGGTGCGAGAGTTGATGGCTTGCTCTAGCTGTTCAGAGATATCTGCCCTCAGTTGAACCGGCGCTGGGCGCTCCTCTTGAGGAAGTGTTGGTAATCGACCCCATATTGTTGTCAAATCGTGAACCTTGTGGGAAGCGTTCGCATAGGTTTGGTCGAGTTGGCCGATAAGGGTAAGGGATCGCACAATGTCGGAAGGTAGGTAATCGGTGAAATCGAGAAAATCGGTCACAGTTGTCTGGGCATCAGGATCCGCGCGCGATTCCATGGATGCGAGACTATCGATGCGCTCAAGCGAAGGCGCTTTTAGAGGTAATGTCTGGTTTGTTGGAGAGATGGCCTCCATATTCGTGTCGCCATCGAGATCTGTTCTTTCGCCCATCGTCGCGGTCCGAGTTTGACGCGCCTTAAAAAAACAAAACAAAGACAACAGCGATCGTGTTTAAAGCGGAAATCAGGACGTTATGGTGATGGATAATCTGGTGAAGCCATTTGTCAATGTGGGTTATTGCGCGTCTAGAGCTAACGCGACGGGAGCTCGTTGGCGACGTCAATAGTGGCCTTGTTGCGCTTGCCCAAAACAGACTTGGCCCCACAAGAGCACCATGCGGAGCTGACTCATCACCCTTTGAGATCCAGGACTCAGCTGCCAGGCTGCACTGCAACTCAAATTCCAGTTGTTGAAATGGTCCTGCGCTTTTGCGCGTTTGCATTTGCGCATATGCGATCAGAGAATCTTCTGTGCCCTTTCAATGTCTAGTCGAAACCCAAGGCGTCCTCGTGATCTGGTGGAACGCCTTACCGAAGGAGTCATGATAGATCATGGAACCCTCTAGCGCAGCAGCTCTGAGTATGCCTTGACCTCGGAAACTCGGAGTCAACTTGAAACTCGGCAACACTTATACCGATTGCCGAGAATGATTTTCAAAGATGCCTTGTATTCGTGGTAGATCATGTTTTGGGCGTTGAAAGTTTTCAAGCTAAATGAACTTCAATATTGGAATTACAAAAGTTGGAGGTGATTGAAAGGTCCTGAGGTCATTGAGCAGGGGGTTATTGGTTTGGACTGAAGTTACATGTTCACGAGAAATCCAAAGGTTTGATGGCACTTTGTCCCCTTGTAACTGTATATTCCAATCTAAATATCTTCTGTTACAATCTTCTTGTGAAAGATTTCCCACTCTAAGATAGAACTGAATCCATGATGATCTACCTAAACGCCAAGCACAATGACTCAAGTACAGTCCCAAAGCAAACCGAAAACACAATTCCCAATCTCATGATACAAAACGTCCCAGTCATAGCCTCCTGGCCATGCAAGTAACCCCCCATTCATTATTCCATCACATCATAATACTCAGTTACCAGTCCCAGTCAGGCTCGGTCTCCCTCATCATGACAGCTCCGGCCACTTGCTCAGACTCTTCGACATAGTAGCTTGAGTCGCTTCCGATCAATGTCAAAGTTCCGTAGACAACAAGGCGTCGGCATTTCCTTGTTCTTGTTAGTTGAGTCCGTATAGTAGCTACAAGTATACCTACAATAGCCCTGTGACGCTCACGTTTCCGTAAATCTCCAAGTCTGTGGCCTCAAGTGTTCCCACGACTCGGAGCTTTCCACAGCCCTTGATCTTGTCGTTGGCAACAGTGTATCCGTTCACCAAGATGTTTCCGTAGGCCTTGACCTTGCCACTGTTCCTTTGTCAGTCTTAAATCACACTCAGGTGAAGGAGCGTACTCACTCGCATCTGATGCTTCCATTCAGACCAAGGCTTCCATAGGCGTCAACCTTCTCTCGAACGATTACATCGCCGTTCAAGCTGATGCTGCTTCCAGACTTGACGGACCCAACAACTTCAATGGGTCCATTGAGATCGATCTCATGGTCGCTCTTGATGCTTCGAGATCTCTTGAAAGCCGGAGGGCTAGCGTAAGAGGAGGTAGTGTTGTAGTAGCTAGCCATATTCACGACTTTCGGGTTTGTTTCTTTGTCTCAAGTGTTATCGCAGAAGATTGCAATTGTTGTTATAGGGATAGTGATAGTAAGCTGTTATGCAAAGATGTGAGTGAAGATGGAATTGTGAAATACTGTCCTTAGGAACAAGGACGTTCTTCTTATACTTCACGTTTTCAACCCATCTGCGCAAAGAGGTTGAAACTTCACATAGGCATACTGGAGCCTCAAGAGACTCACGTCCATACAAACAACCCCTTGCTATGTTAGCCCCAGCCGTAAGGCATATCTTGCAGGACGAGATGGGACCCTTATTACTCAAGCCAGGCACGGGACCCGTAGATGGATACCGAGATGCCGGGCACTGCAGCAAAAAGGCGTGACGCCTTATGCAGGTTGGAGCAATAGAGTAGAGGCTCATCGGGCTAGCCAATGGAGATATGCAGGTCTAGAGAAGGATGGGAGGACTAGTAGTAGTTTGTGATTCATCTCGAACCTACCCACACCGGGTGACCAAGTATCAGACTCTTGATTGGCATTTCAACATGTCGATCTATTTTACCATGATTGATTCATTGCAAGATAACCTTACTCTTACGTTATTACTCTTTGGAATTGATCTAGTTGCCATATTGTTCAAGTTCATGAATCTGTAAGAGACACTCAAGGCACTCTTTGTGGAGTTCCCAGCCTAGAAATGTCTAACAACAGGGGTGTAATAAGTCGTCCTATCTCCAGGACCGAGACCAGGACTAACGCCTCATTTTGTCCCACGAACACCACCATTTCACACTCTCGACAATGAACCATGACTGACTAACTTCATTTCTTGCATTCACATGCCCAATGCGTCATAAAAGACCCAGAAAATGGGGAACCAGCTCAGCAGGGGCCGTAAGCTTAGGACTCATTTACTGGTGTTTGCCTTGGGAGAAATATCCCCTTGAGTATACCGAATTGTCGATCAGTCTGTATCTAATTCTGCTGCCTTGATTCCCGGGCGTAATTTAGTGTACTGTATCGTATCGTGCTGCAGGCATTTTAACGTTGAAACCCTTGCTCTCGTTAAGAATCGCCCGAGGCTGTACAGTCTCTTAGTTCCGTTAGTCTACATCGAGTTGTCCCCAGTTGGATCTGCGCCTCAGCCCTATGACTGACCTCTTCTTATTGTTAATTCGCTGATGTTGGAGTATCCCCGTTTAGAGGCGCACACCACCCTGTTTCCTTCTAGAAGACGCCAAGCCAATGCCCAGGGTGCCCCATCGTTGCCTAATAAGCAGTCAAGGCACCTATACGATATCTCGACATTCCCAGCTGCGATGAATCTGGTGTTTCATACCTGCCTAAATATCCGTTCATATGATCTGAACAAGACTAAGGTACTTTAGAGAAGAACTCCTAAAAAATGGTATTCATACGATAGCATAATAACAAACGAAAACCTAATAAAATTACATAGAAAAAGCACTGTAAATATCAAAAACCATGGTCACTTAACGAATTCCACATCGTCAAGTAACCACGCCCTGAATCCTTCTGACTCCGATCGATAAATGAAACCGGGGTATTAATCCCTCCATCTCAAATCAAGGATATTCTCGACACCCTTTCCTTGCTCCCCACCAAGTTTGTCTCTGTAAGGCTGATATAGCTTCTAGAACATGACGCCTCATTCATTTATTCTCCGCCCACGAAGCCCAAGCCAATACCGCTGCAGATGGCAGCAAATGTCCAGACGCCCGCATACACGGCAGCACCAGAGGCATCTACACGATACAAGGTCTTGGACGAGGCAAGGAACGTGTTTACTGCAGTGACAAGGGCAACGACAATTGTTCGACGAATAACAACCTTGGTCTTGACAGTGTAACCCCACACATTCCACCAAACGGTCTCCCCGAGAGATGCAGCCACGGGGTCAAACTCGTTAAGCTTGTCGTCCTCCTTGGCACGTGCTGTCGTCGCGAAAGGCGCAAAGATAAAAGTGCTGGCGGCGATGCCGAACAGGGTCGTCACGGGGAGAATGGCAGCGTATGAAGCATTGTAGGCGGGCTCCAATGTCGGCACTCCTGAGTAGTTGACAACCAGAATACGAGGCAGAATGAATCGTAGCGACAGAACGAGAACAACAGTGTAGATGCCTGTTGACAGAGCGGCCGTGTACGTCTGGAGGGGCAGGTCGAGAAGCTCGCGGTTGGGCAGACCTGCAGCAGCGGCAGCTGAAGGTGTATGGATGGTAGAGAGCGGGCGAAGCAGGAAAAAAGGCACAGCGATTGAGAGAACGTCAATAGCAAGAGCCGAAGCCGAGATAGTCCAGTTGAGCTCATAGAAGGTTGAGAGGAGGTAGTACTGTTTATCAGTCAGTTTTTTGGTGGTCCATATTTTGCGACGGGTGGAGTCAACTGACGTGAGGGCCATGGGAGAGAAGATTCAGCATCGCAACATCCAGGCTGTCCAACTTGCCATACCATCCCAGTGTCAACTCAATCCTAGCATCACCGTTAGTATTTTCCACTACCCAAGCTTATCCGACTCACACTCTCCATCCGGCAAGGAGCGAAACCTCTGCCCAAGTATCCTGGCTTCTGCTCAGAGCAGCAAGCTCGCCGTTGGTAAGCTCGCCCAGCAAGCTATATCCAAGCGAAGCCATCGCAAAGCTTGTCGCAACAGCGAGAGGGAACTGCGCCTGACGGGGAACCACGTCGCGAAAGGTGCGCGGAGGTTGTTGAACCTCCTTTGGCGATGATGGAATTGTCGCCAAGGCTGCGTCATCATCGCCAGCCGCGGCGCTTCGTCGCGAAGTCATTGTTTTGGAGTTGAGACACGCCACTTGTCTAGGACAAATGTATACAAGGTATGAGAGCGTCACGATGCAGAGACAGCAGGGCGCTGATAGTTGGTGATGTTTATGTATCGGAGGTAGGTATTCTTGTGCGTCAGGGAATAAGTGACAGTTGGAGCGATAGAGTGGGGGTGATCCAATAGATGTGACGTTGACGTCGTTCCCGTCGTCGTCAAGGGTAACTGACTTCATTTTCTCCACACTCAAAACTAAGATGACATTGGTTAGTCGCTTTAACAGCCGACAGAGATGAATTTTCTTCCTCCTCAAGATGATCAACTTCTTCTTTTCTTCTTCTTTATTGACTGAGTATCTTATCATTGGCACTTCAATCAAGTGTGACCAAGAGAAGGAAGCTCATCGCTTTCCCCCATCTTGCTATCTCCATCAACAGAAGAAGCTGTATCTTCTTTTGCTCCATTGTGACTTTGAACTGCGTCATGTCTCATCACCTCTCACTCTTCTCAATTAATGCTTCTTCATCTCTATTCATATCTCATGGTGATTCAATGTTAGAACACAGCAATGTGGTCTCAATATTTGATTTCCATTTGATAGATAGGTATTTATTTGGGTGCCAACTCGACGCCTATCCGAATCCTCACTTTAACCTCGTGGCGATGCAATCTCATCTAGCTCCTCAATCCCCAAATAACCTGGGCGAAGCAAAGAAGGGCCTTTCCAACTCATCGGTGCTAAAGATCCGTGGCGGAGCTTGGTCCACCTCAACACGCTGTATAGGTATGTGTACATATAAATAAGAAGGAATAACGTGTATGTCCATCGACGTCATCCGATATATAATCCAACTCCAGAGCCAACATGCCCGACCCAAGAGATATACTCCGTCCCATTCGTTAACCCATTAATGATGCATACAAAATCTTTCACTCCTCCATGCGACCAAAGACACCATCGTCATCATCTTCACTACGACCGCGCGAACGCATCTCGAAGTCGTCGTCATCCATGACCGAATCACCGCTACCGTCCATTCTGACGTCGTCGCTAGGGCGTCTCATCTCACCACGAGTGAAGCTCTCAGGCTGTCGACTTGGAAAGCTGTTGATGAAGCTTGCTGACAGAGATGCCGCCTGATCCAGGTATTGAGCTGGCAGCGGAGGAACAGGAGGGGCATCAGCAGGAACCATGGCAGGTCGGGATCCGTTGTTGCTACCAAAACTACAGCTCAGAAGCTCAACTGCAGCAGCCAAGTCCCGATCGTCCTCGCCTGTAGCGTTACGCCCGGAAGATCCTGGGCGGTGATCATTGCTTGGCTGGCGGTAGTGACCAAATCCTGATCCGTACGGTGCACTTCCTGCTCCGAAGGAAGCAGCCGAAGCAGACTGAAAGCTTGTCGCGTATCCGCCATTGCTGCTGAAGCGCTTGTTTCGGTACGAAGTGCCGTCAACATTGACACCTTCGGCATACGGAGGTGGGGTAGTGTCGGCAGAGCTCTGTCGCTCAGCGGGATCGGAGTATCCGGACGCAGCAGGCGAGGATGAGCCAGCTTCACTCTGGAAGTCCTTGGTAGACTCAGGAGGAGTGTCGGCGCTGTTTTCAACGCCGTTCATGGTTACCAGAACAGAAGCAGCCTCGAGAAGCTGAACCTGCTGATGCTTGGAAATGAGCAGCTTTGAGGTCAAAGCCCACTCAGGTGTATGTTCCCACCTAGACACAGTTAGTGACACCGATCATGGATACGAAACGTTACACGCCAAAAAAACAGCTCTTATCCGAAGACAAGAGTTGCTGTACTGGGGCAAGTCATTGGGAGGAGGGGGACCAACAAGTGCTTAGTCAAGCAGCTGCTATGCTTGTAGCCTTTACCGCACTTGTCACAGCGAACCTCAACCCTGTTGCTGCTCTTCTTGCTCTCCTTGAGAGTCTGGCCATCACTGGCACGGCGTTGACGAGCCTTCTGGAACTTGGTAGTTCCCTCATCAGCCGAGCCCTCGTTCACATCGTCCTCAATGGCGCTACCATTGAGTTCTTGCTTCGTCTCGGGCGTCGACTTGTGGTTCGGGAGGCTAGCGGGCGGAGAGGGAAGGCTGCCGACGAGGGCAGCCCGGGCAGCAGCGCTCTTGGACATCCGGCGTCCACCGTTGCTGATGGGCAAGGCGGAGGAACGCTCACTTTCCCGAAGAGCGGCGGCGATCGCGGTCACATTGGTATTCGGGTTGGTGACGGACTTGCGTCGAGTCACTCGATGGTTGGCGTTGAGAGCACCGGTAAGCAGCGAGTGCGAGCTCGTCCGAGCGTGGGATTGACGGCCGGGCAGGGCCGACGATGTAGACGACATCGGAGAACGATTCTGAGTCAATGGCCTCGAGGACTGCTGCATTTCCTGAAAAGGATGAAGGAGATCAGCAAATCTGGGCCTTGGAAGGTTGTTTTGCCATCTGGCAGGTCGTGCACGGAAAGATCATGACAGGGCAAGATCGGGGTTTGAGGCAGGGCTCGGGTCGGGTTCCCTCCGAGGATTGAGGGCAGCGTACTTTGGATGAGGCCATTGCCGGCGACTTGGGATGGATGTTCAGGATTCGACCGACTTCAGTCGTGTCGATCTCGAACTATGTGTTTGGATTGGTGTTGTTAGTTACTCTTGGGTTTGAAGTTTGTGAAGTGAGGTTGTCAAGTGTCAAGTGTTGAGGAAGGAGAAGTAAAGTCCCGGAGCAAACGAGAAATAATATTTTGGGAGACCAGCCAAGGTGTGTGGCAGAAGGTGCGGGGGAGTGTATCTTGGCTCTGAATAGATGGCTGTGTGATTTTATCACCTCGCTAGTACCTTTTGAGGAATCACTGAACATGACCTTGGCCTTGGAAGTCTGAGAGGGGCCTCCCTCCATGGCTCTACCTGAATGAACCAAGTAGCCAAACAAGCCTGGAGCGGCCACCGGTTCCAACGCCTTCTCCCCCAGGCCCAGGGGCATCCATCCATTCAATGGCGACAGGTGGAGAGTGTAAGACCAGCCAATTGGTTGGCTCCGTTGCCCGAACTGAGTTGCAGCAAGGAAGAGGAGTGGAAGAGCGCCTGACCTGGTCGTGGGGGGCGTGTCTTTTGTACAGTGGGCGTACGATGCGCCCTATTAAGAAACTGGCCAGAGAGAACGTCGCAATCGGATGGCGAACAGGGGCTGAGCCATCTTCCCCTTGCTGTCGACCTGAATAGATAGATAGGTGAGAAGGAGATACGACACGATAGTGCCTGACTCCTTTTATGAAGAGGAAGTTGCAAAGGAATAAACTTCATTGTTCACAATAAGGTACCATCTACCAGCGAGAAACAGCGACGGGTGAGGGAGATACGGGCGGAAATCCGAGGTACGTATCCCCTCATTCCCCCTCCTCGTGGTGCATGAGCCGCTGTGCTTTGCGCTGTGCTCATGATTGGATCCTTGGATAGACTTTTCTCGATAAGGTATGAAATGGGTGATGATTCTCTTTGTGCACCATCATAAAAAGAAGTGCAGACGTGCCAGGGTCCTCTTGTCCGCTGCACAACGTTGTAGCCAGGGGATGAAACTAACCGTTTCCCTGGAGCAGCTGTATCTCAACTCAGGTCCCGTCTGGACAAACGTTGCCAGTAGAGATGGAATAAGAGTTCAGTGGGAGCATCTCGACCAAGTGCGTTAGCAAGGGAGTTGTGTCCGGTCGGGTTCTCATCATCCGTTTTTCTTGTTGGGAATTATCAGCAGTCAAATCGCCTCTGTCATGGACGATTCTGGGCTGATTCGTCACCCGACGCGTCCATGTTCTCATCCTCTCGTCGTACATAATACAGTACACGATTTTGTACAGTTCACTTCACTGCACTGCTCTGGTTGCTCGCTCTCCATTTCCCCAACTTCCGAGACGGGTAGAGTGGACAGTGGTCCCGTGGCCTAGCTTGGCGAGGCCATCCGACGTCCGCTCCAGGCTTAATCGAGATGGACAGAGAGCTCGCACTGGGCGGAGAGGGTGTTGATGAAATGAATGAGGGAGGACTGATTTGGAGATGGACATGGAGTGGGGTGGTGTTGAAGCCTGGGGAATTGAAAGAGGGGCTGTACACTCGTACGGTGTGTCTGCGTACTGTGCTGCAAAGGTGCGTGCATCTCATTCACTCACTTACCTGGCCGCCCTCAGAGAGCAAGAAAACATCTAATCCTAAACTAAGGTGCTAAAAATACCTAGTCTAAAGGTCTCCTCAGTTATACTTAACTTATCTAAGGCTTTTTGTCACTTAGGATAGAGGTCCTAACCTAAGTCTTTTGACACCCGAAGGCCTGGAGAGTCTCGATGCGCGAGCCACTTTAACCATCGAAAACAATAGTTCGATGCATGCCGAGAGCATGCCGAGAGCATACCTGGAAATGACAGTACGTTTCTATGTGGTGATAACAAACCTGTCTCAGATTCTACTTCCAGGTCCCAGGTGTCCTTCTCGGTCCTCGATTTGATTCGAGAACTGTTTAGCTTTTCTTCATCTCGACCCGGTGACCGACTCATCTTGCATCGGATATTTTAGAAGCGAGCCGAGAATCTTAGGGACCGGTTTGCCCGGCATCGAAACTTTTATTGCCTTGTGGAATAAACTCTTCCGTCGTCTTGTGGCTTGAGGTCCCCCACGATATAATGAAGCCTCTGTCCCGTTTCTGGAAGAGGGCTTGAAGTGAACAGATAAGAGAGACAGTAGCCCTTCAGGTCAAGGATGAGGAAGAGTAACGAGGCTCTCGTGTCTCTCACTAGCTGTACCAGCTGGAGACGCGTCTAATAACACGTCCATGGGTTTGTTTCGAGCCCTGTAGTGTGGAGGTTTGGAAAACCTGTTTCAGTGACCTTTCACACGTAATCCTTTTCCATGGATCGCATGAAGTTTTTATGTTTTGAGTTTAATTGTGCAGTTACAATTGTGTTCCTGAATGGACTGGATGTTGTGTGGAGTTTAAACGCGAGCCGCTCACATCAGCCGTATCCAGGTACGAGATTAAATCCAGCGGTAAATCGAGCGTTCACAACCAGTCATTTATGAACGACTTGTAAAATCATTCTGAATGCCAATAACAGACTGTACTAATTCGGCTCATTGCATTAACGTCCTGACCTGACATTGAATGAATCCTCTATCCGTACTACGTACCACTTACACATGGTGAAGATCCCCGTCACTTCAGACCTAAACCCTTGACCTAACCCTTGACCTACTCCTTTTTGGTTTAACGTCCCAGCTCAAGCCAAGGTGAGGAGCCCTGATCTGATCAGATAACGCTGTTTCTTCGGTCAACTGATCGCTGGGTTGGGCTGGGCTGGGCTGATGTTTTATAACCCGACCCGGACATGGTTTTTGTGTCTCTTGTTGTCGGGCAAAAGTTAGTCGGAAAGAAGTTCTTATTCGGCAATGGCTGATTCCAGGGCGATCCAAGAAAAAAGCTCAAGACCCCTTCTTTTCCAAAGTTTTTTTTTTTTGGTCTGTTTGTCTAAAAGCGATGACAACTGCTTGCCGGAACCACAAATTTCATGTAATCTCAAAGGTTATTGCATTGAATGCGTAGGAACGTATTACTGTTACTTTATATTAAAACCTCGAAGAGAACATTCTCGCATTTCGAGTATGAGATACCGTCTCCATCTTCAGTCACTGGATTGCATTTCCCCGAAATGGACATGGGGTGTGTACATAACAAGTCGCCCAGATGGTTTAGCTGCGTCTCGTCAGCTACGCCCACTACACTGTGGCACTGTCATCTTGAGTGTGAACTCTTTGGGAACAGTAAAAGGAGATGCCCTGAATTTGGCTGCCACCGCAATCTTTAGCCTCTAGAGCGTAGCTAAGGCGCAGCGCGGAGGCTCCAGGCATCAGTAATAGAGAGCTGAAAAGGGAACCGTGCTCAGCAGGGTAAAAGAAGTCCGTCGGCTCATTGATCAGTTGAAAGATGGTCTCTTTGACGACACGCAATGCGCTGTGCCTCTTTTCGATTGGTGTTGGCCTCTCAAAGAGAGAAGCCAGATTAACCAGATTCTCACGTAATAAGGGAAGAGAGGTAAAAGGGATGCGGGTGTGTATATGCCAACGTAACAAACAGTCCGAGCGATAGATGATGATACCTCAGAAGAGAAGCGGTTGAAGTGTCTCAATGGACAATGTGTTTGATGTGCATCTTTGGCGGCAATTAGCTGCACGCATTGTCGAATCCTAGAGCTTTCTCTAGTTGGAGTTGCAGTTGCAGTCGAGTTCGATAGGTTCGTGATATTCAGCCAGGATTATAGAGATACTCTATTACCCCTCAAATGGCTAAGATCATCCCGTCTATGTTCTAAACCTGTCCTGGATGATTGACCGGTCTCACCTGACAAGTCTACCGATTGCTGGTCACAAGGACCATCAAGAGGCTCGCATCGTGGGGAAGAAACCTTGACATGTCTATTCCTGTTGTGCACATACACATACGTACAGTATTGGTGATAATTGTGGAAGGTGTAACATCAAATGGTGGACTGCCGGGTTTCTTAGTCCGGTCTATCGAGATCTCTCTCTCTTTTGTTATTGTTAATTTTGCAAGACATCAATGGTATGTTGACTCGATCAAAAGCAAACCAAGGCACAGAGTCCATTTTTAGCAGTCAAGATTTACAACATGTTCCTGACTATCCTCCGAAACCACTACGGTCTTGAGATAGGGCCTCGACGATCAATTTGAATCCCAGCTCACATCGGAAAAAAACTGCCAATGAAGCTATGCCCTCCAATGCCAATTTTTTTTAATTTTTTTATTGGAACGATTGGGCTTTGACACATGGAGCTAATGATCAGAGGCATCAGTTGGAATGGTTACATTATCACTTGGTGACCTGGTATTCTCTTACACAAACAATGCCGAATTGGCTTTGAGAATCGGTAATAAGATTTCAAACTTTTTTTTTTCTTTTCTTCAAGTTTATGATACAATGACGCCATCAAGTGTTCTCCCCTGGCCATGGAACCCTTGTCAAAGAGCATCATGCGGTGGATTCTTGACTTTTTGTTTTTTTTTGTTCTCATGTCAATTGCTCATTGACTTTTTTCTTCTTTTTTTCTGACACATGATGTAACTCTGACATGAGAATGAACAACAAATAAAATAAAAACATGCTCAAGCTGGTGTGGGAAAAAAAAAAGATGGGTTCCTTAAAGCAAAGACTCCATCAGAGGCTCAGAGTGGAATTCTGGGATGCATTGGGAGCTTCTGAGACTACCTTGACAAAACCAATCAGACTCAGTAAACATTCCTCCACAGTTTACCAATCTCGATCTTCGATCCTGTCTTGGCTGGCAAAGGATTGAACAGAAAAACTCCCTCACTGCCGTGCCAGTATGCCGGTTATTGGCTAACTCTGAGACATTGGCACGAGGGCGTCGAGAATACCTACAGTACAGTGCATTGCATCCGAGTGCATTGTAGCGCAACAATGGCCTGAGCCCAGTCCTCCCTCTTGTCCTTGAAGTCTGTTCTGCAATGCAAATCACTGGCCAGCCGCCTGCACTATGGCGATCCGGGGTGCTTGATAAGGCACCAGCACCAGCACCAAACAAAGCCGCCTCTCGCAAGACCCGCTGCCCGGTTCACAGGCTTTTCCCTATTGGAGTATGGTTCTACTCAAGAGGCTTAGCTGGCTTCATGACAGCTGGGGCCGGGTGGATTTGTGATACGCCAGAAACACACAGTTCTGTTCCGTTCACCAACCCAACAATAACCTCTTCTCCGGGGGCAGAAGACCTAACACTAATCCAAAAGGGTTCGATGCAAATGGAATGTTCGGTCACGACCCTTGGTCTATAGGGCAGCAATGAATTTGGTGGAAGTGGATGATAGTGAGTTATGCATGGATGGTATATGAGTTCCAACGACCCAGAATATCAACCTATTCGGACCTTTGAATCAACTCCTATGTAAGGGAACTCAGCGTACTGTACGGTACGGCGGTCACGGACTATAGACAGCCGATTTGTACAGCACATACCGTACCGCGGCTTAACTCGTACCACCGGCACTTAGATTATGATGCCGCCTGCTGCTGTCGGTTCAGAGCGGCAGTGAAGCCCGAAGCTCCGTCTCCGTGAGAACCTATTTGCTGTCCTGTACTGTCGCCGAGGCTTTCCCCGCCTTCACTGGATTACCTACTGTTACCCCTCTATCACGACGCGGCCGCTGATATGAATATTGGCTGAGCGGGACTCGCACATATAGCGTCGATAATACACACAGGGGTGTGCGTGCTTTACACTTGCATCACAGCAGGGATTCTAATGAGAATGTGGATATTCCTTTCAGTATCCGTCTTGATAAGAATGGGGAAATTCATGCCTCAGTTCACTGGAACACTGACAAAGAGTGTTTGAAGGATGCCTGGACGATGTTACTTGACATGTTACAAGAATGAAGAGCAACGTAAGCATGTTGGGTGTTGTCGACCTCTTATTCTGTTCCTGAGCTGTTCCTGCATGACATGGAAGCTCTGTCCACGTGGTATCATATCATTGTGTTTTGGAATCTCCCTCGCATCCGGCCCAACACGAAGACATGACAAGGATTCCATCACTGTGATCAACCATTAACTGCTACAGACGTTCCCAATGCCATGGGTCTAGTCTGTCGGTTCCCGTAGATCAGCAATGCTTATCGGGCTCGGCCAGTTTAGAACATGGGACGAAGGAATGTTGGGAGGGGACCCTGCCTCGGCGACGAGCCCTATGATGAGCCCTACGACGGGTACCCGAATTCCTTGGTTCCTTGATTCTGATTCCAGAAACGTGACGACTTTTTTTAAGCTCTGTGGCTTGACAATTGTTGGTTGTATGTTACGTTGTTGATGAGGCTTGACTGGATTCCATAGAGACTACCTACTACCTAATGCCCTGGCCTGGACTGCACATCCAGGTAAGTCATGGCGTGCTAATCTGAAGATATGAGCTCAAAAAGGTTATTATTTGCAATTCACCGTAAGTTTCATCAACAAATAAGGTCTATGGCCTGTAGTTACGCAAGTTGTAGTCATAAATTGGTGACCAACAGTCGCTGCCGATATCGGAACACTAGGTGCGAATTGTATGAGCACCTTTTTGTCTTGAGAAGGGATTAGGGTATCGCAAAGAGCTTCTGAGCAGCAGTTGTTTGTTTGGTCCAGTGGTTTTCGAGGAGTTTACGGATACACTTTGATTCCTTTGATTTTCCTGTCGGCACCAGCGAGGTTCCACTGGTGGCAGAAGCCTTCATACCTGGTATCTGCCGTGTTCCTGAAAAGACGCCGATCATGACATCAATTCACTTATAAGCCACAGCAACGAGATCAGAGGCTTTTTCAGAGACATCTCGTGTTAGCAAAGATAACAAAACAATATCCTGAAAAAAAATAAAAAAAAATATCTTATTTGCTGCTTGTATTTGAAGCAAAGTCACACACAGGAGACGGAACATAGCCGCGCCGCAAGATCTACAGCCTAGCTCATGTACCCCAGATTAATTAAAACAACGTTAGTTTCGATTTCCGGCGGGCGCTGGAGCCTTTCCCATGTCCAAATCCGTTGACACACGGAAAATAGAGTCAAGATAGCGATGCGTAACACTTGTTGCAGCAAGATAGAGGCCATTTGTAACAGACCAGTACCTTACAAGACCACCCCCCACGCTGGCCAGTGGCGTAGTGACGACTGTATTTTAATAATTTGTGAGACTTAAAGAGTGAGGGAAATACTTTTTTCTATACTTTTTCTTTTCTTTTGGAGAGTGAAAGTCAAATCTGTTGTTACTGCGACGACACAGTTTACCAGTAATCAACGCGAATCTAAACTTCAAACAATACAACCAACATCACAACATGCCTGATCAGGATGTATATCGAAAAGTCGGCCGAGGCGGCGCCGGGAATTTCGTATCAAGCAAACCTGAAGATGCCGCCAACGTAAGCTGACCGTGATCAATCATCTCTTTAGTATCTCACACTCTCAGGCCGATCTTGAAGCACAGAACCTAGCAACAGAAGAAGTCCAGCCATCCGCCAACGCCCCATCACGAGCTGGCCGCGGTGGCTTCGGCAATTACGTCAATCCAGAAGAACTGCCAGATGCCAAAGAGCAGGACGAGATGGCTCACAAGACTGCTGCGGCTGTGAATGCAAGTCTCAAGAAGAATCACGTTGTGAGGGGAGGGCTTGGTGGGAGAGGTGGAGCAGGAAACTGGAAACATGCTATTTCGTTTGAAGAAGAGGAGAGGATGAGAGAAGAAGAGAGATCGAGAGGTGAGCAATTGGCCAAGAAGGTGAAGGAGGAGGTTGATAAGGGTCTAAGAATGCCTGAAAAGGCACATCATGGACATCATGTTAAGCATAACGAACAATGAGGCTTGCTAATGGCAGTGGGACGGTCGGGACTTGTGTTAGAATGCTTAGAGCCGCGTGGATTTATTATACTTGTTAAAGTCTCGATTCATATCTTGTCATTCATATCGCTCTGGTCATGTCCAAAACTATCCTCTAAATAGAACTAATGCTTCATCTCATCTCACTAAACCTTCCCGAGGTTCGTAAGCCTGATGACAAGGGAGCCTTTACCTTCTCAGAAGGCCTTGGGCAGCTCAACTTCTCTCGACAACTTGAGCGCAATCGAGCTGAGCTCATCCAAACCAGTCACGTCCTCTTCCAACCCAGGCATCTCGAAGAGATCATAATCGGGATCACACTCGGCACCAGCAGGGGGCAATGTGCCCTTCTGGAAGTATTCTCGTATATAAGTGATGGAGCATGCTGAAGGCGCCGCAAGGGAACAGTGCTTTGAAAGGGTTAGATAGGATGGCGAAAAGGTTGGGGCTGACTTACACCGTAGGAGTTCTGCTTGAGAACAACTGAGCTGGGAAACTTGACAGAGTTGTTAAACGCACTCTGTAAAGGCGTCACATTATCAGCCATATTGCCGATGTAGAGAATTGGATGTGCAGTATCTCCACTAAAGTCGGCTTCTCAAGATGTTAGTCTCGTAGCTCATATCATTAGGAGTCACTCACCATCTGTAAACTTCCACTTTGGCCTCATCTTTCTTCCGACGCAAGACACACGGAAATTGGAGTTGACTGCTCCCGCCCAACGACTCTTGTGTGTAATTCTGTCAAAATAGTCTGCAATCTCCTGCGGTGTTTCTGTCACAGGCCTTGAGTCCAGACACATAATAGCAGGGAAAGCGTCGAGCTCCATAGAGGTCTCAAGGGGCATAGTTGTAGGAGTTTCTCCAAGTTCACACATATCTCCGTTGAGGCTCTTATTTCTACCCTCAATCACCATCTCATAATAGGGAATTCCGTCGCCCTCTTCTAAAGAAGCGAACACACGAGCCAGTTGAGGGAACTTCTTCAGGGGAGCATAAATGGAAGTTTGGATAAGGCGTTGGAGATGGGAGTAGGTGATCAGGAGAGGTAGTTCAGGGCCGGAATCGTGAGTCCAAGCTGGAACGAGAACAGGTGATGTCTTGAGATGTGTGAGGAGGTTGCTTCGACGTTCCTCGATGGCTTTTGGTGAGTCAGCATAAAAAGCACATTTGAGAGGCCCGGATTTATGGCAGGCTTTATCGAAGCCATCGAAGATCATATCTGTGTCGGAGACAAAGTTACCGTGGTCCAAGTTGAACCAGTCGTGGTAGTCAACATTTCCTGATTCCGAGTCAGTCAGGAATACAATGCGATATATATCTTGCCAACTCACCGTCGCTGACCAGTCTCTCGACACGCTCAGGGTAAAGTCCAGCGAAAACACCACCAAGAACAGTGCCATAGCTGAATCCCCAGTATCGTAGCTTCTCGTGGCCTGTCTTGTCAAGAATCTCGAGCATGTCTCGAGCAATGGATGCACTGCCAAGGAATTCCATCAGACCAGTCTCCTCCATGGCCTGCTCACAAGTTCCGGAGTAGGCAGATGCTCGGGCATAGGCATCGTAAATGAGACCAGGGTGTTCATCGGCAACGGGTGTGTCTTGGAGACTCCATAGCTTTCTCTTTTGAGAAGAGCCCCAGCACTCAACTCGAGGCGTAGAGACGCCGACTGTGAAGTGTTAGATGGTCTAGTGGTATTTGATAAGGCCTAGTATAGCTCACCTCCACGGGGATCGAAGCTGATAATGTCCTAAAATTATAAGTATAAAGCTTGGTTAGAGTTTCCGGCTTTTCAACTTACATGGTTGTCACCAACAGCTGCTTGTAGGACATGTCCCTCTTTTCTTACAAAGGAAACTCCCGATCCACCAGGTCCCTACGTCCATAGGTCAGCTCCTGAAGGCTTCAGGCACAAAGAGATCATACTCCAGGATTCACAAAGAGCGGAGAAACAGGGTTGTCTTTTGTCTTGGCTGGTAGCTTGATAACACCAAGAACAACTCTCTTATGGTCAGAGGGCTCAAGCCAGTCCATTGGGACCTATGTATAAGTTAGCATGTACGACAGCAGGAGATGATGAATTGCTCACGTCAAGTCTTGCACACTCAAACTTTTCGTAACACGGCTCCCAATGGAGTGCTCGGCTTGGCTTGACCTATCTTTGTTAGTCCACTCTTTGTATTTCTTATCCATAGTGTGTGCTTACATCGCTCCAAGTCCATGGCTTCTCTGCTGGACCCTCAATATTCACTGGGTGTGGATGAGGTCGATGGTGGAAGAATGTGATAAGACAAACAGCTGCCAAGAGGCCCAGCACGGTGGAACAATGGGACTTTCGTGGTCGTTGTTGAAGCTGTCCTCGTAAGAGAGGCGTTGCGTCTACGGTCGCCTTTTCACTCATAGTAACAACCCAGCAGATCAAGGTTACTCGCTTCAAGCAAATCAAGAATACAAGACACTACTCGCAAACGCAGAAATCACAGAAAATAAAGATGAAGAGACAAACCCAAGGAAAACAAAAAAGGGCAAAAAGAATTGGACCCTTGAGTCGGTCGGACACCTCCAAGTTACGAATTAAAGCCTTTTGCCTAAGACATGCAGCGGCTCGATAAGAGATCATCAGCGGGCAACCAGGCTACTAACCCAGCAAAGTAAAACACGCCCTTTCAGCCCGCCATGAGAGTCTGTCTAGGGCCTCTGCTAGGCTTCTCCTTGCAATTGCGACGCTCAGAGTTCTGCTTACGTTGTCCTATCACACGGCAGTTTATTCCAATCACCTAATTTGGCATGGGTCATGAGATCTCATTTTGATCTTCAATGTCTTCCTAAACTAGTTCCCCGCATATTCCGGCTTAACAGCTGTTTTCCTCAACTGTTGGTCTTGACAAAATAACCGTCCAATCATTCTTTTCCCGTCTAAAAGCTCCGGAAACAACAGTGTTTGGTCAAAGTGTATAGAGCAACAACGATAAGAACTACTTGGGCTTCTCGGCCTTGGGATACTGGAACATCAATCATTCCCGCCAAGTCACATCGCAAAGAAACCAACTCGCAATTGAATTGGTGTCGGTGTGTATCTCATGACGAAGAAAAATGGCTTTTCTATAGTATCCCAACGCCGTGGTATGCCTTCGAATCAAAAACACCCATAACGCCCTGTCTCGTAGACCTCTCGCTGTCTCTGCCATGTAAAACTTTTCTCTTTCATACTCTTTCTCCCATGACTTTTCCCACTCAATCGGCATCCATGTCGATATCGTCCATCTCATCATCCTCATCACCATCCTCGTCCTCGTCCTCGTCGTCTTCATCGTCGAACATGCCGCTATCGCCCTCTTCATCCTCATCGTCATCTTCGTCAACCTCAAGCGCAATGGCGACCTTCTTCTTCTCGCCACCAAAGGCCTTGGACTTCTCGCGCTCAGGCTCCATCTCCTCGATCTCCTCCTCAGTCATGCCCAGGTCGCGCAGGCGCTTCTTCTCGCTGCCGCGCATGCGGGGCAGGAGATGCTCGTTCTCGGCGACCAGCTTGCGGGCGAGGGCGAGCTCACGCTCACGCTTGCCAGCCATGCGCTTCTTGTAGAAGACGCGCTCACGACGTTGGCGGATCTCGGACACGCGCTCCATGGCCTTGAGGGTCTTGGCCATGAGGTCTCGGTCGTAGCGAACGGGCACGTTGCGGCGGGCGGCGAACTGCAGTGTTGAGTCGACAGTCATCTCCTTGCCGGCGGCCTTGCGGAAAGCCTTTGTCCACTTCAGCTTGCGAGGGTTACGCTTCATCTTGAACTATAGAAGTGTATCAGCGGCAAGGTCTTTGGTAAGTCGAGATATGTACACGTACGTTCTTGTGGCATTTGCTGCGACAGAAGCGAAAGACTCTGGCATCGTTTCGCACAAAGGTGATACCCTTGCTGGGATAAGCAGGGCGACTGCAAAAGTAACAGGTTTCGATTCTGAAGCATTTTGTTAGTTGTAGCTCATAGTAGAGCTTGAGTCGCTATATCACAGATGCTCGCTCTCGCAGAGGACAAATTCCACCTCTGCAAGAACGAACATCCGATATAGAACCCATCAGCAATAAAGACATACCTCATTTTGCCTGGGTGGTGGTCTGAAAGACCAAAACAACTTCAATTCAACTTCCACCCCACTGGTTTGAACAGCCTTCTCTTTTCCGCGGTCAATCAAAAAACTTTTTGCTCAAACTGTCTTATCGATAACGTTTTCACACCCCGGACAAACTTTTGTCCCCGCCTCCGGTCTGCGCCGGCTGGAAAAATCAAGTGGCCCCGATCTCGAGTTCCGAATAACTCTGCGTCACTAAACTTATTGTCGATACCGCAATCGCTCTACAAAATGGCTTCTGTTATGGCTATAGGTGCCGGCGCTGCCGTCGCGGCGTTTTTGGTATGCTTGCAATGATTCCAGGCAGTGATTATGGGTACTAATACCTTTTGCAGGGCCGAGCTGGTCTTGTCGCATGGAGGCGATCTCGAGGCGGCGTTGGAGCCATGGGCAAGGCCTTCTACAAGGGTGGTTTCGAGCCCAAGATGACCAAGAAGGAGGCTACTCTGATCCTGTCTCTCAAGTATGTCTTGATCCAACTCTTCTCATACTCAGCCTACTAATATCTTCCAGCGAGCGAGCTGTTACCAAGGAAAAGGTCCGAAAGGCTCACCGAACTCTCATGCTTCTCAACCATCCCGATCGAGGCGGCAGCCCCTACCTTGCGACCAAAGTAAACGAGGCCAAGGAGTTCCTGGACAAGAACGGTTAATTACGATAATGAAAACTACTCTCCCAAGTCCGGTATTCGAGCCACGAACCAATTACCAAAGGATCTTACCAGAATAATCAATGACTGGGTCTAAGCGTGGGCGTATGGCCGCGTGTGTATATTGTACACTACTTGTTTCCATAGCGATGGCGTTTGTTGCGTTTAGAGAAAGCTCTTTAGAGCCAGGTGAAGGTATATGCCGTTGTTGAAAGCTATCAAGGCTAAACGCTGTATGAATTAAGGGTCCTAACGACCCGTTCTCTTCTCACTCCGGTTTTTGTTCTGGTGGTTACTTTACATAAGTCTCGAAATATCATCTACCCCCTTTCCGGTCCTATTTCGTTCTGGGAATCGTCAAGTTGATCATCTGGTTGTTTTCTGGCTGTCTTTCTTCCACTTCTCCTGACTTCGAAAATACCCTTCAGTCAACCTTGTTGAGCATCTTATTGCTCAACTCCTCTTCCTTCCGAATGTCTTCCAGTGCAATACTGAGCATAGCACAGAGAGTGTAGTGCGCATCGTTTCCTGCATTGTGCAGGTGCTTATGGGCAATATCAAGATCGTTCAGTACGGCGCCGAGGCTTCGTCCATTGGTTGAACCACGCCAAGCTTGGTGAATGTCCTGAGTGTCCACCGGTTCTGCGAGTCCCCCAAGTAATTGTAGGTCCAAGCCCAGTTCAGTGAAATAGTTGATGTCCTGTTTCACATCGTGTCCGACGATGACAATGTTTCGTTGATCATTAAGCCAGGGGTTGAAGATTTTCATGATGGAGTCTGCAACCGTTGACCTTGTTGGGAATGTGCTCGTCCTAGGTTACAGTTAGTGACTGCTTGGGTTTCGGGGATGATATCCTTACCCAAAGTCGAATGCGTCAGGGCATCCCTTGACGAACTGATGGTTTCGCAAACCAGCATACTCATGGACTCGGAGATGGTGAGTCTTGATGAAGGGCCACCAGCCACGGCCGATAATCTTAGGGTCGATGCCTTTGGTGTCTCGTGTGTCAAGGATAGCGATACCAATTTCAGATACCGGGTTGGGCTTTCTTTCAAGGGCCTCAACATCGACGCAGATGAAAACAACGTCGTAGCCATCGGGATCTCCCAGCAGACCAATAAATCTCTGAGTGTTACGAAGCATTCGTTCTCTGTGACTCTTTTTTCTTGCAGCCTTGTCGGGATCTGCCCTGTTTCTGGGGGGGAACCCGGACTTGACAAGTCGAAACTTGGCTTTCCAGGCCAGCTGCTGTTTTGGAGTTGTTGCCTTGAAGGCTTTGGTGTCACTATTGTCGATAGCGGGCCATGGTCGAACATCAAGAGATGTCTCTTCCTCAGATCGTCTCAAGTATCGAGGGCTTGGGGTACCATATTCGCCGAATTTGAGGTAGAATTTGTCCGCGTTCACACCGGGAGGAATCTTGAGGGAAGTGTCGAGTTCGAGGTTAATTTCTTCAAGAAAGACTTCGAACTGAGCGGTTGGAATCAAAAGGTAGGGGTCTCTAGCCGGCTCCTCTGGATCATGAAGATAGAAGCTTGTCAAGTTAGCATCAAAGATAATATTGAAAAGATTGACCTACAAGTCCCAGGTTTTTTCGTAGAGAATTCTGGTGAAGAACGGCTTTGTCTGTAGAATGGTGAGCCAGCGAAGAGTTATGAAAATGGGATACGTACACGAGGCTTGTTGACCTTGCCCACGAAGCGTTCAGGATACGAGATCACGACTTTGAATGGACAGAAGGCGAAATCTTTGGATACCGTCTGGCAGATGCGAAACTTGGAGTTGTCAAATGCCTTTGCCTTTTTCTCGGCAAGTTCGCGCCGTCTGGCAGCATAAGTGTTGGCTTCTTGTTGCTGAACAGTTTGAGCAATCTGCTCTCTTGTAACTTGTCTCTGACGCTCCATCATCCCACCATAGCCGTTGTCGTCTCCTTGGCCGACTGAGTTGTCTGAAGTTTCGTCGTCGTCTTCTTCGTCCTTGGGCCTCTCCTCCAGCTTCACACCGTTGCCTAGAAGTTGCTGCAGTTTCACCAGCTGGGCATCGAGGGCCGACATGTCGGCTGAAATCAAAAGCGATGAAATCGAAAGTCAAAGAGAAAATAGTGAGAGCTCAACTGGAGTAGCAGTGTTGAGAAAATGATGTCGTGAACTGGGAATGGAAATGGTGCTGCTGAGCTGAAAGATGGATGTGGTGGAGGTTGAAAGATGGCGGCGTTAGATGGAAGGAGATACGAAGGGGTAAAGAAAAAAGGGCAGCGAAGAGTACCGTCTTGATTTTGGCGAATGAATATCGGCCAGTGCCCTATGATTCACTGTCAAAAGGTGCATTTAAAAGCAAAAGTTTTATCAAGTCAAACAGAAACTCGTTTGGCAGGTGGTAGATAAAAATGCCACTGCTTGTACACGGCTCGTTACATGAGAACTTCACACCGGCCAATCAATATATTGGTACACAAACGCCCACTCCTTTTACAAACAATAGATGCATTTGCCGTTTCAAGATTACTTTGATTTGTAGAACTGTTCAAGGTCAATAAATATTATATCGTCACATTTTAAGAACTTACCTCGTCTGCCTCTTCTGGCGATATATCAGACACCTCTGACTGCTGTTTATCAATGAGACCAAGACGACCCCACCGGACCTTGAACCAGAAGTCTCGTCTATCGCCCCCAAGTGCCTCGGACATGAGCTGCTTCTTCATGTCTTGAATGAAAGTGTTGTATAGGCCTGGTTCTTCGAGGTTGATGAGCTCCTCCCTCATCACGCCGAGACATTCCAGAGCACGTTGATACTTGGCATCACCAAAGCTCTCCGTGACAAACGTAGAGATGATTGCACCCATCTGCTTTGCTGCGTCTTCAATTTGAGAAAGCTCCTCAGTTGCAGCAAGCATCTGCTTGAATTCGGGTACTGCGTTATCAGGGCTAATGTCGCCCTTCTCCTCTTCACCCAGAAGAGCATCCACATCAAGACCGGAAATAGGTTTGACGGTTTCTCGGCCACGCTTGCCTTTGACCTTGGGTGGAACTGATGTTATTAGTTAGCCATGGTACACAATCACTGGACGGATTAGAACAAACCTTTCTTCACATCCGCAGCTTCAACAAGAGCATCCACCTTCCTCTGAACTGTTTCAATTAGGTCTTGAGTTGGGTGAGCAAATCGCAGCAAGATAGATGGAACATCTGGAACTGGTCTATCCGGATGCAATGCTCGTGATTTTACGGCATGGTTCACCCTGTGAACCGTAGGGTTGAAAGTCTCATCAATAGAGACGTATTCAGCAGGGTCACTGCAAGAATTAGTTACCGAAAACCCCAAGATAGCATGAAAACATACCCCTTGTCATCTATTCCGTATGTCGACAGATCCATTGCGTCGACATAGTTGCTCATCGCATCATTCAGCTCGTCCGTGGGCAATAGCCTGTGCTTTGTAAGGGTCTGACCAGTAACCGTGATCACCTTGTCCAAAGGAGGGAACTGGTAGCTTCGGATGTCCTCTGCAAATGGCAGTGGAATATCGTACAGGCACTCCATGTCTGGCTCCATGCCGGGCGCGAGCAATACCAACAATGGGTCTTTTCCATCCTTAGTCACAATTCGGGCAATTGCATAAGACTCAAGCTCGGAGAGAGCCCATACCAGGGATGAAAGAGCAAGAGCAGATTTGGCGTCAAATTTACGAGCTATTGTCACGCAAGTCTCGCCTAGGTTGAGGAAAGGCTCGTACTAGATGTTATCAGCACTAGAAAGGACAGGATATTTGGTGATAGGCATACCTTTGAGCATGGAATGAAGCCAACGATTGAGAAGCTCTTCTGTGTATCAATCTTGGTGATATTGTATTCCGACTCGCTGATATGCACTGCAGTTCGGCCATACTTGTAACCCTTGGCAAGATCATCAAACTCGACGTCTCGCTTTCCTCCTGGGGCATCTGGGTCATTGACTTTGTAAGAACGAGCTTGCTTCACTGCAGAGAACTCGATTCCCTCCATATCGTCGGCGTCGGCTTGCGTGGCTTCAGAATCCGGTGCACCTTCTGACTTGACAACGACTGTGCTTGCAGTTAAAGGTCGCGCCAGCTTCGTCTTGAAATATCTTTCCACATTGATATTCAACGCGGCAGGGAAGGTGTTGGGATCTCCGAGGGTAAGAGGACCATCATAGGTTTTGTAAGGCTTCACTGCCTTGATTCGTGGCGTATCTAGCTCGTCGATGGCTTCTGTAATGTTCGCAATAACCCCATCTTGACAGTCATTGACAAGCGATTTCAAGGCTTGCTCATTCTCTTTCTGTGAACTTTTAGCTATGATTCTCACTGCATCCCATCATACTAACCTTTGTGCTCGGCTTATCCTCTTCCTTAAAGCCGTATTCCGGATCATCAAAGTCTACTCCCCTGTATCATGTTAAAATTGCCGTTGAAATATCCATTCAACTTACAGGACAGCGAGTTGAATGTTGGAGTCATTCATCTTCTTAGAAATGTCACCCAAATCATCCGCATCCATTGGACCTTGGCCGTCCGTGATCAAGAAGATTTTTCTGTTCCACTTGAGCTTCTTTGTGAATGTATCAATCATATCAACAGCCAGAACAATGGCTGAAACAGCATCTCCAGACCATGTATTGCTCGGCTTGACTAGTGATTGAAGATTCCTCAGAGATGACATGGTCATCGGTCCCAGCTCCTGCAACACTGAGATATTCTCATACCCATCATCGTCTTGTAGCTTGTTGTCAGTCTCATCTGTTCTCAGACCCAACACGCCAACGCATAGCGTTTTCCTGTTTGCTGCAACGATGTCTATGATTTTGTCCCACACGTATTGCATACTGTATTCCAGATCAGACTCTGATCTTCCACTGTGAGTTTGGCCCATAGTCGACCCAAGGTCCAATATGAAAACGGTCGCTTCCTTCTCAGCCATGGTGGAGATGGCTTGTATAGAAACCGGTGATACGGAAAGAATGTCAGGAGATTCAAGATGGAGTCAAGAGTTTGAAGTCAATCAAAACTCACTATGATGAAAGAGAACAGAAAGGAGTGAGTTACGCTTCCTAAGACCAGTCGCGCCTTTAAATGAATGGCAATCAAAAGAAACGTCTCACAATGAATCCTTGTAATCGTTAGGCAGAACCACCCCAAGATGTACTAAGGTTGGTGACCCATCGCGTCGGACGGGTCAAAGCTCCTGCCGACCTTCTCACGACAGGACGCGCGAGATCACGTGCTACTGATGCCTGATAAAGCTCCGTTCATTGGATGAGTTTATTAAGCCACCAGAAATGCAAGAGTAGAGCAGTCAAGTAATAGCAAATAACAGTAGCAACATTGTATATCTCTTAAATCGTGAATATCGTTTCATCATGGACATTAGGTACAACTCGATACGGAGCTTGTACAATCACGTGACCAGATGTGATATCATGACTATTGAAACACCTCAGTGCCTCGGCAAGTTTGGATCCGAATTCATCAAACACTAAGTGAAAGAATTACAACAATGGCAAGCACAGCAAAGGCAGTGGCCTTCTCGCCGGCTCCTTATCATATCATCACGTAAGTTTATATAACTTTATGAATTCAATTGCAGGAGAAAAGGCATCGCTAACTCTACGGTAGCTATGGAACGCTACTTGGAACGACTTTCTTCCATGTATGTATCTCACAAAATTACGAACCCTTTCATTTCTAACAGCTGGACAGACCTTCATCAATGGTATCGTAATGTTCAGGACGGTCGACCGTCCAAGCTTCTCTGCCATCCAGCAGAAGCTCTTCCCCATCTACTTCGGCCTCCAGACTGTCTTGCCCGGTGTTCTAGCTTTGACATATCCCGGAAACACCTTGATTGGTCTGTCAAATGGTCCTGCTGGTTTGGTATCGGAGTTTGCCCGCTGGCACTCCCTGCTGCCTATTAGCATCATGGCTTTGACCGGAGCTGTCAACCTGCTTGTCTTCCTGCCTTTGACAATGGAGGTTATGAAGCAGCGACGTGGCCAAGGTATGTCAAGTTTCATGGAGTTGCTTTAAGGCAATACTAACAAGTTATAGTCAAGCGAGATGGCAAGGAGTGGTATGCTGAGGGACCTCAAAGTGATCAAATGAAGGCTCTGAACAAGAAGTTTGGCATGCTCCACGGCATCTCATCCTTGTTCAACCTCATCACTTTTGCAGCAGCTGTTGGATACGGCTTCACTCTTGGCGGTCGCGTGCTATCTGTTGCGGACCTTGCTTAAATAATGTACTGATGAAAAGAAAATTCAGGTTGAAACTCTAAATTGCTAGAAATGCAAATACTCTTCTCCGTCCAGTCTAACTATCCTGTATTCTCAATCGTACAAGCCAGATCTCTAATGTCTATTCGTAGTGTCGTAAATCGTTGAACTCTTGATATAGCCCTGAAAACAATGCGCCAGTTGGTTTTTTATAACGTGTAAACCGATACAGCTTTAAAGTCCTGCACATGTAAAGTTTGGGGCAGGTGGCTTAGAACCGCCATGAAGAACGGAGTTCTTCTTTGGCTTTCTCGAAGTCTCGCATGCGCTGAGCCTTGATCTCTTCCTCGTTGCGAGCATGTTGGGCTCGACGCTGGTTGGCCTCAATTTGTCCCTTGGTAGTCCATCGACCGGGTTGACGGTCAAGCATGCTTTGGATATCGAGTTCTTCTGTAGGCTTAGGGAACTCGCGGTTAAGGGCAGGAAGCCTGTGTCCAGCTTGATCGAACTCCTCGCCCTTGAATCCAGGAGTTGACGCAGGGGTTGTCTCAGTGGATTGTGTCTTGTGAATGCTGAAATAGCTGTTGGCGTTGCCAGAGGTAGGTGCTGCGGTTGTTGGTGCAGTGGGATTCATTTTGTGTGGTGTTTGAGTGAGATGTGAATTGGGTTGGGTCACGAAGTATTGATGATTTTTGTGTGATGAGTACGGTCAAGAAAATGTATGTGTGAGACAATCTTTATATAGGTTTTTAGGGGATAGATATCGTGATGGCTGTGATATCGTGACGAGGTCTTGTGACTGATTTTGGAGTATGCTTTGCGCTTGTTCGCTCAAAATAACAGCACAGATTGTACGAGAAGATGAAAAGTTTTAAATCAAGAAACAAGATAAGCCAGCTCGATGCGGTTTTCATAGTAGATATTTATGGTTACGTACGTATCCATCTGGGTCAGCTATCAATTCTTTCTCTTTCTGAACCAAGTGGGAACTCCTGTCGTCGATCAGAAATGGTGTGGGACCCTTGAAGCCTCTAGCTTCAGGGTCCACGGGCGCCACTCTCTGATACGGAAGCAACCAGGGCAGAGCATAGCGGTGAATGGATGTTGTATTCCACGGATTCGGTTACGTTTGTCGGTCTGTAAGTCCAGCTGACGAGTAAGGAGGCTCTAAATCTCGCCGCCTCGGAGCAAGCGAGTGAAAAAAGAAAGAAGAAAAAATCACAAGGTAGACCGAAGACGGATGTAGCCCGTTATCTCCAGGACAGAAAAAAAAGTCTCCGTAAGAAAACGTGGAATTCTAGAAAACCCACCGATGACGATTAGGGTGGTCCATTACTCAGGGCGGAATTGACGAGCCAATAATAGATCGGTTCTGGTCACTGAAATGGTTGCTGGAAAGATTTCGACTTTAGAGATTCGGTCGCCACGCGGAACAGGCTCGCGGCTCTTGGTAGCTTCGGGGCCAATCAATCGTTTCGGTATTTGGAAACTGAGGTCGGAGATGCAGAAAATGCAGGGTTGTTATCTCTGCATGAATAAGCCTCAAGTTTGCATGCCTGCATCCCTAACGTACTTAGTAGATAACCAGTGAGTCATGGAGACTGCAAAGATATTTGCATTCTCATAGAGTACTACCCTGTATCAATTATTCAATGTGGATTTCATGAAGAAGACTCCAGAGGTTAACTGAATCAGAAGATGGTTCTATCGTCATGATCAATCGTGATCACCTTCTTTAGTAGACCCGCACGTATTTCCATGTCTAGAAGAATTACATCACAGTAAACTCCACGACTAAGTAGCCATGACTAAGCAATTGGCCGAGTCAGTCAGTCACTGTTGATGATGGTTGATGATCTATCTTGAATCAACCAACTAAACCTACTGTCGATCATTAATCATTCTTCTTATTTGATTGTTTCACAAACAAGATGGCATCGTCACCAAAGTACATCAGCGGAGATGCTGCCGCTGTTAGCGAGTTCGTCGACAAATTCGACGTGAGTCATTTACTGTATACAATTCGAGCATCAACTGACACTCATGAATAGGTCTTCCTGCTTGATTGCGATGGTAGATAACCATAATTTGTAGCTGAACAAGAAACTGACTCATTCAGGTGTTCTATGGTCTGGCGATCATGTGTATGAGGGAGTCCCCGAGACCATTCAATATCTGAGATCAAAGGGTCAGCATACTATCCTCACGATCCGAAACGAGGCTCACATCGGCACAGGAAAGAGAACCGTTTTCGTGACAAATAACTCAACAAAGTCTCGTGATGAATACCTCAAGAAACTCACCAATCTTGGTATCCCCAGTGACAAGGATGATGTATTCGGTTCAAGCTACTCTGCTGCGATCTACATCTCACGCATTTTGAAGCTACCTGAGAACAAGCGCAAGGTCTTCATTATTGGAGAGGCTGGAATCGAGCACGAGCTTGATTCTGAGGGTGTTCCTCACATTGGAGGCACAGATGAGGCGTTCCGGCGAGATATCACAAATGACGACTTCAAGGGTATCGCTGATGGCTCACTTCTCGACCCCGAGGTCGGAGTAGTTCTCTGCGGTCTTGATTACCACGTGAACTACCTCAAGTATGCCCACGCCATGCACTACATCAAGCGGGGAGCTATTTTCCTTGCTACCAATGTTGATTCAACATTGCCGATGCACCACGACTTCTTCCTTGGAGCTGGGTCTTGTCACATCCCTGTTGTTCATGCGACAGGAAAGCAGCCGTTGGCTCTCGGCAAGCCCAGCCAAGCTATGATGGACGCTGTTGAGGGCAAGTTCCAACTTGACCGCGCCCGAACTTGTATGGTTGGTGACCGACTGAATACTGATATCAAGTTTGGTATCGAGGGTCGACTGGGTGGAACACTACATGTTCTGACTGGCGTAAACAAGAAGGAGGATTGGGAGAAGGCCGATGCCATTGCTGTGCCCTCTCATTACGCTGACAAGTTCAGCGATCTTAGACTGGCAGAGAAGCAATAGACCATAGACCATAATATAGATTATAGACTAGCTATGCAACTGATTCCTCTAAGTATATAGACTATGGTGAAATTGGATACTGCCTTCATGCTGACCAAAGCAAAGCACTTAGTGCCCTTGATGAACCACATTCACAAACTTAAGCTTGCTTCTTGCTCTCCATCTTCTTCGCAATGTCGCTGGTCCGAATGACCTTTGACCCAGGAGTCTTGTAGGGGGTGAAAGATTTGGGCAAAAACATGCCAACCTGTTCCTGGTACTTAGGATACTCAGTATACTTGCCAGCTGTGATGAGCTCAGTGAGCCAAGTCGAACCCTGAAAGAGAAGGATCAAGGCAGCAGCGCCGGTAAAAGTGTAGCTATACATGTTCTTGGTTGCGAAGCAACTCCACTGGTATAGCACAAACCAAATCATTTGCTCCGCAGCAAAGTTGGGATGTCTGCTGTAAGCCCAGAGACCAGAAGTGTTGAAGCCACGGTCAAGGTCGGCTTGGGAGTACTTGAAATTCTTGGGGACCTTGGCCTCGGCCTGGTACTGATGCTTGGCCGCGTAGTAGTCTATACAATGGTTAGCCCACTAAACATCAAAGCACATGGAATACTCACCCCACTGCTGACCATCGCTAACCCACTCGCTGTAGACCAGCCCGACCATGATGAGAGCAAAGACAATATCGGCAGTGGTCACATCCTGCTCAAACTTGGTAGAGCACAGAATGGCATACGCAGGAACGCATGAGAAGCTGAAGAGCAGAACGCTCTGGTAGAAAGAGATGAAGGTGACGTTAAAGAGGAACCAGACAAATCGGGGCACATATTGCTGGAGAATGGCCCTGCATGATATGAGCTGATTGAATAAATATGAGTGGACAATCAACTTACCATCGATAATCTTCAGATCCTTTATTGTAACCACCCTTACGCCAGTAATTATATGTCAGGCGGCACTGTTACACAGCATTAGCGATAACTGAACGAATGAGATGTAAGGTCACATACACTCCAAAGGGTTGTAGCAGCAGCAATAAGGTCAACTCGTGAAGAAGGAACACCAGCAAGACGCGCCCAGACTGAGAGATGGACGACGTATAAGTTTGGGAGAATCGACCACATTCGATCAACTTGAGAGTAGTTTCTGTTGATCTCGGAGACAACGAGGAATACAAAGCCAAGGGCAATAGAGATCGCAAAGCCCGAAATGAGAGGGTTTGTATCAACATAAATCTGCCTCAGCCCATGAGGACTGGCAATGTTGTCAAGAATCTGTCGAGGAAGAGCATAGAGCTGCGGAATGTAGGGTTCGACTGTTTTGGCGTACTCGCCGCAGTCCTCAATGGACTTGACAAATGGGAGAGACATGATTCTTGATCTTGATGAGACAATGATTGACCTCAGATTTTGCGTCTTTGATATGCAGCACAGGTGGTTTAATACCCACGTATAGTGATGTCCAGCTTCAATAGCGTCATAGATGTCATTCGAAGTGGAAACCACTTTAGACCATGGAAGGACACTTCTGTTGCCTGGTTCCCGCCTTGTCTGCGGGACCACTAAGCTTTTAGGGGACACTCCCCTAGATTAAGCCGATTCAGCCGCTGTGGCTAGTGGTGGTCCTCCTGTGTAGCCACTGAAGAGGCTTAATCCGGGAGAACTTAATTTTCAATGTCAACCCTTGGCCTTGCCTCAAGTTTCCCTCCTCACCGTGAATATCGGAAATGAGCTTCAGAGCGTTCGGGTAAATATTGAGGCTACAGGTGATTCTGCAAACAGTTTATCATGGCAACTGGCAAACAATTCCAATAACTGAAGTTTTATTGTTGAGAGATTATGGCAGCAAAGCATTTTTGCTGCAAACGCGCCTAGTTGACCGTGTTTGTTATGCACATCGTGCTTGCCTCGACACAAAACTTCGTCTGCACTCCCAGCCTGAGGCAACTCTCCACTCGCTTTATGTGCCTTAATCACTACGACGGTTGGAAACATTGCATCAGAGCTATAAAACAGTCACAAAGACTTACACTCTTTCAAAATGAGAGTCCTTTGTGTGGCTGAGAAGCCCTCTATATCCAAAGCCGTGGCTACACATCTTTCTGGAGGCCGTATCGAAACGGTAGAGACCACTCCGGCTCACATCAAAAACATCTTGCTAACTCGCCTTTATAGCATAATACAAGAAACAAGTACATCAAGAACTACTCATTCGATTTCGACTTTGGTCGTCAATTAGGCAATTGTTCTGTTACTATGACATGCGTCACTGGACACTTAACCAACGTCGACTTTACTCCAGCTCACAAAAACTGGTATCAACCGCCTCCAGAGTCATTATTCACCGCCCCTATTGTCACGAGTGTCAGCGAAGTAAGAGTTCCCATCCTGATCCGGTAACAATAAATATTAATCTTTCAAAGGACAAGAAGACAATAGCTCAGAATTTAGAATCGCAAGCGAGATATGCCCAAGCTCTAGTAATCTGGACAGATTGTGATCGTGAAGGAGAACACATCGGCAATGAAATCGTCGAAGCCGCTCGAAAGGGAAAACCTGGTATCCAGGTTTTACGAGCAAGGTTCAGCAATGTCGAGCGAGCGTACGTTTTTATGTCCCCTTCTTGAACGAAGTAACTACTAACAATAACAGTCATGTTATCTCAGCAGCCAAGAACCTTGCAACTTTGGATGAGAGGCAGGTCCATGCTGTGTCTGCAAGAATCGAGCTGGATCTTCGTATTGGATATGCATTCACCCGTTTTCTCACAAACAACTTACGGCCTCTTGGAGGACCTATGGAGAAACTGACTCTGAGTTATGGTTTGTGCCCTGATCTTCACCTTCTTTACTTCTTGCTGATTGTTCAGGGTCTTGCCAGTTCCCAACCCTTGGATTCGTCGTGGACCGTTACTTTCGTGTGAAGAACTTCGTCCCTGAGCCGTTCTGGAGCATAAAGCTGATGCACAGCCGAGACGGTAAAAAGGTCGATTTCTTCTGGCTGCGGAACAGGTTGTTCGATCGAATGTCCACAGTCATTCTGTATGAGAGATGTCTCGCAGCCAAAACAGCAACGGTGATAAAAGTTCAGCAGAAACCCACTCGAAAGTTCAAGCCATTACCTCTGACAACCGTTGAATTACAAAAGGCTGCGACAAGGTTACTCCAGATGAGCGGACAGCAGGCCATGACCATTGCTGAAGGTCTATATAACAAGGGGTTTATTAGTTACCCCCGAACGGAAACAGACCGGTTTGATAAAGGGATGAATCTCCGTGCTCTAGTTGAGAAGCAAACCAGCGATCAGAGATGGGGCTCATTTGCGCAGAACCTTGCCAGTGGTGCTTTCAAACAGCCAAGAGAGGGGAGACACGACGATAAGGCACATCCTCCTATTCACCCCATTACATATGCCTCGCCTTCCGTCTTGAGTCGCGACGAGGCTCGTTTATATGAATACGTTGCACGCAGATTTCTTGCCTGCTGCTCAGATGATGCCCACGGTATGGCAACTGACGTTGAGCTTGAATTTGGAGAGGAGCGTTTCAATGCCCATGGAGTCATTGTGCTAGAGAGGAACTACCTTGACGTATTCATTTATGAAAAATGGAACAACACAGTGGAACTTCCGAAGTTCACAGAAGGCGAGCGCTTTCAGCCAACGGAGGCTATGATGACAGAAGGGAAGACCACAGCGCCTGGTTACCTGACTGAAGCCGATTTGATCGCTCTCATGGATGCCAATGGGATCGGCACAGATGCTACCATGGCTGAGCACATCCAGAAGATCCAGGACAGGGAATACGTCGCTACAATCAGCCGATCAGGTCAAGCATCGGCAGATGATGAGGATGCGGACACAAGTACGTCCACAAGAGGTCGTGGACGTGGACGTGGTGGTCGAGGCGCCAGACGTGGACGCGGTGGTTCATCATCCTCAGGCGGCCGAGGCGGCTTGAAAGTCTTTGTCCCTACACAGCTTGGAGTGGCTCTAATCCTGGGATTCGATCGAATGAACTTCGAAACCAGCCTTGGTAAACCATTTCTCCGGAAGGAGATGGAAATCAAGATGAAGGCTATCTGCGAGGGTCGTACGAACAAGGAAGTCGTCCTACGGGAAAGCCTCGCTCAGTACAAACAAGTATTCGAACAGTCCCAACAGAAACTGGGAGTTCTACGAACGGTATGTCCCTTATGCTACAGAAACTCGGTTCATTGTACCACTGACCCTGATCAATCAGGCATGCCGCGAGTTTGTCTTTGCTTCGTGAGATTCGGGCCCTCGATATTCAGGGCATGGAAACCCTTAGTCGATACCACACTCACAATTTAGAACTCGGGCAATCTTTGAAGATATCTGGGGTTGAGCAGCCAACCCTGGAAGTTGACGACATTACGAGCTTACCTCCACCCCCATTGTCTCATTTGTGGGTCGCTAGACTTGTGAAGTTGTGAGATTCGAATCCGACTTGGAGCCTATCAGCCGGTGGATCATGCACACGTACGATCTGAATGATGTGATTTGGGTATCGTCAAAGATGGCCTCGAAACATGGCGGCGGCATATACATCAAACCACCCCTCATTGGAGATGTACATGGCGGCGACGGGGTTGGCTCAGCTGCAGCTGTAACCATGTCCCAAAGAGTCACAGTGGTGTAAGCATGGCAGTGACGAGTCTGCTAAACTCGGTAATAGACAGGCGAGACAGGGAAGCATTGTGCGTCAACCACCTGGTTGGGAACGAATGGACGAGGTCACTCAAGGTGGAGGTCTTCGGAGCGGGATAGAACGGGATCGCCAACGGCACAGGAGCCACCGGCCCCCGCACGACGCGATATCGTAGCCTCGGGCTTCAAGAGCGCGGGGCAACGGGATTGATGGATTGAGTCCGCATCCCTTCCGTTCTTCCCTATCGATGCGCGGGGAAGAGGCTTTTTTATGAGGTGCCCACGGCGCAGCATTGTCCAACGTGGGGTTTTTTCAATGGATGACGGGTCACACTGGCGCCCAAGTATGAATTTCCTTGGTTTGATGAAACATCAAGAGGGGAGGCTTTGTCGCCATGATCCATCGGCTGGTCGGTGCCTCCACCATGCGAAGTAGACTTGCTGTTGGACGACGATACCAGCATCTAGAAAGGTGACAAACTTGAGCCGGTAATACTGACGGCATCGTGAGTCCAATCATAGAGAAGGACCTTGGCAACGTGACAGTAATACATCAAGGATGGCTTCCTTAGATGATGTATTAGTACTCGAATTCCAGTACATCTGACACAACGAATTACCTTGATTTACAAATGGAGAAAGTACGCGAATGCATCTATGTACGAACTTGGACACAGCCATCGACAACAATACGAAGGCTCCGAGAATGGCTGTGATTACGTGGGATTGGCTAAGGAACAACTTGCGAAGGCAGACAGAGTGGGATAGGGCTTTGAAGTGAATACCTGAGTACTTCGGTCAAGCCGGTAAACACGATGGTGGTGTCGTATCTTTGGAATTGATTATTAGGGTTATTCACCACAAATAACGCCAGTACAGGCGCCCGCGCGGTCACAAGGGAGACGAGTCTTGATATGAAGCGATTACACAAATGACCAAGCCAGAGCAAGGACCGTATGAGCAATATCTCAAAAACGGTACCACGGGAACAGTCACAGGTGTGCCCACGCCTTGGATGGGGTTTTAGGAACACGCCCCCATCGCGATACTCACGGGATGCCACAGCTGGAACACGGGTGGCTTTGGGTTCGCCGGGAGCGTGCCTCTCTCATGCTTCTAGCCCTACACACTTACGAACACAGAGTTTGGATCACGCAGGTACGTGTCAAATTAGGCACACAATAATATTCCAGAATTTCAAGTTTGATGCCCTGTCTCAGTCCTCCTTTTCAAAGCACCAAGGGCTCACTAACAACAACCGGACGAAATTAGGGCATGATGATGGAAATTGGTCCATTGCTGATGACTTGATGTTCCCAGTAAAGGAGGGACCCCTTACCCCTGTCGATGAATGCTAACGAGGCCCGCTGATTCCGAGGAAAGGGCCAAAGACACTTATACAGAGAGTGAGGTTGGACACAAAAGACTTACATGCCTTTATTGCAGAACTATACTATAGGGTGCCTGCATTATTCTTGCATGAGCTGGATGGGTGCAGGTGTTTTCTACGATCAGCATTGCTTCCATGGGTGTCCCTGTGATGCATGTCATGACGACCACGTTTCCACAAGCAAGAATAGAAGGCAATGACGCCGATGACTTTTTCCTTCAGTTGAGTCACCATTTCGATGAATCAACCGCACATTCGAGTCGATCCCACTAAGTCGCGTCGACGGCGATGGAGGGATGGAATGTTGGCGACTATAATCTGGTGGCTGATGTTGAATCGCGAACAGCCACAACCTTGAACCACTGACTAACATCAATAAACTCCAACAACCTTACCCCAATCTCCTGGGCCCCGTGGCCTAAGGTGTTGGCCAAAAGGGAGTCTCTTACACGCTAAGACTGACACCGGCTCAGTAATAGAGCTGCGACTAATTAATAAATCCCCAGACTCTGCGAAAATTGGAGACAGTAGCATAACTTGACATGACAGATAGAGAGAGAAGCGAGCCCCATCCTGCCGAGAGACCAGAGCCAGCCGTCGCAAACACGGGGTGCATGCCTGGGCCCTGCTTCAAGCTGGAAAAGCAGTATGACGATCGATGCCGGTACCGCTTAGTTAGACGCGCTGCCTCGGAACCTTGAGAAGAAATGCCAAATGCCCGACTCCCTCCGTCTCAAGTCTCCAGTAACCTTTCAACATGTCGCACATGATGATATATAATGGTGGAGTGAATTATGCCCTCGTCTCCGTGGGCCGTAAAGCCCCGAGGTCCGGAACTAGAGCAGGGCGCCGGAGCCGGGCCCGTCACGACTGTGACTGTATTGTTTTGTATTGTCCTTGTTGCTTTTCTTTCAGGATGAGATTTCAACTTTGTCATCCGGAAGCTGAGCCGACATTTGATGGTGTGCCATGCCCTCCTAAACATCCTTACAGAACCCACGAGACTGGAAAAAGGGAGTCAATAGCGAAAAAGCGCGAGCCATATCGTGGGCTCAGCGCTGAACCAAGCTGGAGCTCACTAGGGCATGAAACGGGCAATTTATTTCGTTTGGCTGGGCCGGATCGCTTCCCCGTTTGCGCTGTGGCCCGGATCCTCTCGTTTCCCTAGACTACCAGATGCTTGGGAATTAGAAGCAAATGAAAAACAGAAAAAAACAATTTCACATGGACCAGAGAGTGCCACTTTTGGCAGGGAATGAAGAAAAGAAGCGTGATAGAATCACAGAGAAAGGGGAAACTTTGTTGGGTTCCAGGCTTCTTCTATGGCTTTGGGTTGCATGTCTCAACCTACAGCAAGTGCAAGTTTGGCTAGCAAATGGATGATTGATTGTGATTGAGTGACTTATCTATCCTCCCAATCAACCTTATCATCCAACGCTGAGGCACACGCCCCTAAAAATAAAGGCACCTCCAACAAGCCAAACATGGGGGGCAGACGAATGGATTCAAGGTTTTAACCCGTTTGGGGGCTGTGGCCTGCGATTGCGCTGTGATTTGTCGGTATAGGGTGGTGTGCTTCTAGCACGTACAGTGCCACTAAAATTGGCACCCACCAACCCCGAATGAACTGGGTGCTTGTTTTGAGGTGAGAATTGCCTTCCAACAGGCAGAGACAGGGCACATTGACCTCGCGATAGGTGCTGAATGCACCCAAGTGAAGTGTAAGTGCAGGTGCAAGTGCAAGCGCAATGTCCAAGTACGTACCTACCTCACACTCGCTGGGCAGGACAGGCTCAGGCAGTCAATCAGTCAGTCAGTCAGTCACACACTCATATACATAACCTACTTATCTCCCTCCCCTTCCCTGGATGTTCTTTCATCAAACACAACAACACTACCAGAAGAACCACAAGATTCGTACAAGAGTCTCTTGTCACAGTCCAGATCATCGCGCCAGCTCTGCCCAACATAGCCATATACCAGCCATTCAGCAACAAAGTCTTGCAAGCTCTCCTTACGCCAGGCTTCTGAATAGGTACGTACCTTCACCTTAGTCTGACGCAGTGCACCGACCGCGGTGACTCGAGAGCGAGCCGGGATCCATTTCTCATGACCGCAACTCTTTACCGCTCCCATAGGGCAGCACCTCGTTCTCGTTCTCTTCACAGAGATCGCGTCGCAAATTTTATCTCTTTCTCAAGATCAAAATCGCTGACCAAAGTCTCCCATTTCCAGACTTGCTCGTTCGGAAGCGCATACAATCAAGACCGAAACTCGGTAAACATGGCTACCATGGCAGCGGCTGCTCGTGATATCTCCCAGGCCTCCTTGAGCCGAGACAACTTAACTGCTGTAGCGGCTCGGAGTGTCCCTGCGACTGTGACACGATCTCAACAACCCCTTCCTACTCCCCCCAACTCCATCTCTCCCAACCTGCCGCCTCATGGCCTCAAGGCGCAGCTCCAGAAGGCCAAGCTTGAGCCTATTGACTCAGACCTGGACCTTCACGAGCCTTCGGATCGACGATGTTCGATCTCGCCTGGCCTCGAGGCCTCGGGTGCCATCACCGGCTCTCTCCTCGCTAAATATCACCTGCCAGAGATCCTGCTCAACCATGGTCCCTTGGCTATCAGACACATCATGGGGTACCTGACCACTTCGGTCCCCGGATTCTCTGGAATCCCCCCAACAAAGGCGCGGAGACTAGTCGTGGGAGCTTTGGAGGGTCGGGGAGGAGAAGGAGGCGGACTGGATGGAGAGGTGGAATTTGAAAAGGTGGGATGGGGCCGATGGGATGCTCGTAAGCGAGGACAGCCTTCGCGACACCGACAAGGAACTCCTCCTTCATCCTACGGCGCGGGCATCCCCATCAGCAAGAACGGCGGTAGGGGTCAGGACCGACCCAGACTCAGCACTGCGTCAAGCAACGGAGATTCGGTTCAGTATTCTCATGATGATAACGACATTTACATGATGGAGCATGAGGCCGACAAGATGTCCATGGATGGATCTGGATCCGCTTCGTGCTCCGAGGCTCCGGATGATGATGTCGTTATGAACGATGACCCTGAGGATGCGACGGATGACGAGGATTGGGCTACCATGGGGGCTGCTGCTCTTCGAGCCGAGTCTTACCCCAACCAGGCGGCGGCTCAGACGGACCATGGTTTCCGATCCTCTTCTGCATATGCACCAGGTGCACTTCGTTCGTTCTCTGCCAGCTCCGGCATGGCTCGTACACCTCAAACACTCAACATCGACTTCTCGGCGTTGGCGGGCACCTCTGACGCACAGGAGCGGGAGGCCGTCGAGGCCCTCCTGCAGCTCGGTTCTGTATAATACCTCTCTGCATGCACGGCGTTTTTTGGGCTTTCGGGATTTCTGAAAGCGATCGAATGGGGCCGGGGCTGGTTGGCTTAAGGAGAGGCCGTGTCGGCCCACACCTATGACCGAGGCGGCGACCTCTGGATCATCATTATTATCACGATGACACGGTTCTCTTAACGTTTTTCTTCGGGCTATTCTCTTTCTTAATATGGGCTCGGTTTTCGGCGTCTTGGTACTCGGCGGCATGTGTCTACAAAGACAGATGAATCATCGTCGGCTGTGGAAGGTCAGCAAACGGGCAATGTTCCAATGACTGGGTGTCTCCCGAAACTTTTCGGTGCCCAGAGCAGGAATGTTATATATCCGGGTCTTATTTCTTATTATTGAGGGGACACAAGTTGTCGAGGCATTGCTTCCGTCACTTGATATTCCTGTCGCTCCATGGGGGCTGTTCGATTCTAGCCCCAAGGCGCATACTTATGCCGGGAGCTTTAGCTTCTGTGCGACACGACAACACCCTTGACGGGAAGGGCTGGTCTCCGATGTTGAGTCGTCTCCTTGGGGTATTTGTTTTACAATACCCGGTCACCCAAGTTTTGGCTTTGCATGATTACCAGATCCTACCACTTCAACACCATGTGGAGGATTATGACGACGATTATTTTATACCATTTGTGGGCAGTTGCAGCCAGTTTTTGGGCCTCGTTTTGCAACTTTGTCGGATCTTTGTTTAATCAACTTTTATGGGCATTTGATGTGGGGAACGCATCATCGTCAACAGATAGAGGAGGAAAGGGACAAAAAGGGACATCCTGAATGGACCCTTGAACACAACATATAGGGATATGATATCATGGCTGGAACCAGTTGGGCTCGAACGCTACACGCTCGCCCTCGCGTCTTTTGTTTGCCGAGGGCACAAAGACTGAAAAAAGGAGTAAAATCATATTGGAGCGAGGGATTAGATAGCTTCCTGGTCGTTAGTATCTAAAGCCTCTTGAGCTTACCAATGGAAGTTCTGATCTTTCCTTTGCACATGGAGTATCTATAGCATTGTACGTGTGAATGTTGAATTTGATGTTATGAAGACGAGGAGGTTGGTCGGTGAAAACCGATGGGGAGTATGGCGTCAATCTGTAAATTGGTTGGGAAATTGAACTGTGGTGTTGAGAAAGTGAAGGCACAAAGCATGTGATGATACCATCATAGAATAGCGAGCTCAGAGTTTATAGATAAGAAACTCGTGTTCAGCCAATGTGTCTATCAATGATGTTCCCATGTTGGAAAGGTTAAAGGAAACTATAATGAAAGAGTTTTTTGGCGGAGAGAAGTGAAGTCATTCGATCGATGGAGACAGTGATAATATGCAGTCACGTGAATGGTCATGTTTTTGAGGAATATTTCGTAATCGCAGATACTGGTAGTGTAACCGTCTTTTTGTGAGTGGCGTGTTGATTAAACCACTGGTGAAGGCTTGAATATGCTATGAGCTATATTGTTGAACTCATCTTTGATTTACTTCCTGTGACATGAACAAGGAGAAATGTTTCGTATGATGGAAGTTATTTCGTGTAAGTGGTGTTGATTCCTAAATCCGTGTTATGTGGATTTGTAGAGTAGAACGCTGGTCCTTTATTCTCAAACCATGGTGATGATGGAACCAAATAATACTGAAACCCATGAGAGATATTTCTGTAGAAACAAACCAACTATCAATATGCCGTCGCTATTTGACGAGACCGAGGTTCACCACAATATATTGTAGTTGCCTACCCTACACATATTTTCCATCTTCATCACGATTAAACAATTCGTTCTGGAGGCCTCTTTCTTCCATCGCTATGTATGGTATGCACTTATTCGGCGCCTAGAGTTGAAAGATTATGAGACAGTACGGTTCTCGAATTCAGTGAAATCAATATCAGCCTATTGCACCCAACAACACCAACACTGCTCACCAGTCGGACTCTTTCCCTCAGTCACAAAGCAGTACCATCACGCCAAGGAAACAACAAGCGTTAATAGCCGGTAATAGCGAAATAGACGATCTTCTTATTCTATCCTGCCGCTGGCATCTTGGCTTTGACATGCGATGAGGTGATTATCAAAGCACTTCTGATCTTGGCTACAAAGCTTGAGCAGGCTTATGTTCACAAGACAAGAACGAGAAGACCTCGGACATTTCTTGGCCTGCACTGCCACCGTTTGTCGTCATCACCAAGACCTTGGCATCAACAGGAGTGGGATGCTGAAGTTCTGGGCATTCCCTGGGCGTTCCCTTGGCTTTTGCTTGGCCTGATAGTGGTGCTTGGTCTGGGGTAATAGTTCGGGGAGGAGGAAAGGGTTCCTGCAGAGGAAGGAGGAGAATATATCTTCAGTGCGGGATTTGTTGAATAATTGTTGATGTAATCTTGATACTCGGTGGAGAGGACTGTAAGAGCGCTTAGAGGATTAACTGATATTGACTTCACTGGATGACGATGAAAGAACGGCAAAACCTGTAAGTCTACGTACGAGGCTGCATCATATTTCTCTGGGCATTTCACGGACGTATCTTCATCTCCGATTCCCCATTGCGGCAACGATGGTTTCAGATCCTCGGCGTTCTTATTTCCCTCGGCGAGCTTACAGGAACAGGTTATTCCAACGGCAAATGTCCAGGATACTTTTGAGCGTTATCAACTCCATTGTTTATGTTACTATACTGTGCTGCAACTGGACAGATTAAGAGATCTCGGAAGTTTTGAGAAGTGATATCTTGTTAAAGATGCATGTCAATACGGAGAATGAATATGAGGAAGCATTGACTATGCGACCCGACCCGCAAACCGGTCAGATGCTCAGATAAAAAACGTGATAACACGTTGTTCTGTCTAATGAATCGGAGTTGATTTTGAACAGTCTTACACTGTAGCCACCATGCAGAGAACATTCCCTCCTTATTCTTAACCGAAGCATCATATCAAAGTTTAGTGCGATCGACTTAATCTGAGCCCAGACAGGCAGGCAGTAAACGGCAGTGAAAAGAAGCATAATCACATTCTAGCAAGGGGAAAACGTGTGCTTGGCTCTACATTTCTTGGCGTGCCTACATGAAAGAGGAGAAAGGGAAAAAACCACCAAGACGACTTGTCTTGGCAAGGAGACGCCAAGGGAGTCTTGGCAGTCTGGGGCCAAGCTTGACAAGAAATGGAGAATATTGTCTTGGCTAAATGTCTCGGCGAAGAAAATAAGGATAAACAAGAGTGATGGAGAGGCGCTGGGCCTGGGCAGATGGGCGGAAAGCTTGGTTGTGTGGGAGTCTGGCTTGGCTGATGACATGAGGTTACCTAGGAACTGTACTGGGTGAGAGAAGGGTTCACTGAGTCAGTTCAGTTATTGATCAAGTTATGTGTTTGTTGGGTATGATTTGAGCGCCTCCCTCCTTATTGTTAATATCATAAAATTGCGTGCTTTGTCTGGTGCTTTTGACTCATCTATCGGAAGACGTCAATCTCCCACTATCCGATACATAACCTGGGAATAACAGAGATTGAACCTACGACTCTTCCGGCAGAGTTTGTCAATTTTAGTTGATATTAACGTTAGGCTACGGGGGATAACAGTTCCCCGATAGACCCGGAACTCTCCATTTATAATTTTTACTGGCTCACTCAATCACTGCCTCTCCCCTGCTTAACTCCGCATGCAGCACATTTCATTCGTACAACATTTGTCTCTTCTCCTTTGGATTTGGCCCCCGCCGAAGACTCCCTGAGGTGAAGAGCACAAGGTGAGAGAGAGTAAAAGGGTGTCAGGTCAGGGCCGAACTCCCAATGGCTCAGGTGACGGAACGACAAAACACTTGACGCAGTAGGTGGCCAGCTTTGTGTGAGGCCAATATGGACAAGACCAATAGAACGACGCACATGAGGGGCAGTGCCCAGAATGCCAAGCCTTGGCGCTCTTGGCATCCTCAATCTGCCATCAAACTAAGTGTAGCTCAGGCCAAGAGTTACTCCCCACCATGAGCATATGGGTATGGCTGGTCATGTACCCATCACCTGTCGGTACATCCGTTCTTGCCAAGACTTTTGCCAAGAGCCGCCAAGAATCCCGCCGTCTTCATTCTCTTGCCCAAGAGTTTTGGGTGAATGTAAAGGGAGCTCACTCCCCCCGTTTACTCATTTATCAAGGACGAACTCTCTTTTGAACATCTCACTCATCTGTAATCATCTGTCTCTATCAATCAATTTTTAACTTGTTTCTTTAGACAAGTTTCGATTGATTCTACCCTGAGAGACACCCATCGTACCCTCGTTGAACTAAGCAAGACCCTCTACACTCTGACTAGTCTTGGTCAGTTATACAGCATCGCCACTGAGCGGGCTTGATCAGATATCCCATTATTCAATTCTCTTCTATTCCCGTCATGTCTCCTCCAGCTCCAGAGCAGAAGCCTCAGCTTCAACAACAACAGTCCCAGCAGCAGGGCTCATCATCAGGAGATTCATCTTCTGGCAGTGCCAATGACTCAAAGTCTGTGACGCCTGCACCTAGCGCCGCATCTAATACATCCCAGAGCAGCACTGCTCCCTCAACATCAAGCGACGATAACCTTATCTGCCGATGGAATGCTTGCAACCAAAAGTTCCCCGCTCCCGAGGCTCTCTACGTAAGATATTGAAACATCATTAAAGAGCAACAAAAATTGACCTCTTACAGGAGCATATTTGTGAGCGCCATGTTGGCCGCAAGAGCACAAACAACCTCAACTTGACTTGCCAGTGGAACTCTTGCCGAACTACTACGGTCAAGCGAGACCACATCACCTCGCACATCCGTGTTCATGTTCCTCTCAAGCCTCACAAGTGTGAGTTCTGCGGCAAGTCTTTCAAGCGTCCTCAGGACTTGAAGAAGCATGTCAAGGTAAGGATCATAACCACAACCCATTTCTAAGAATACATCAAGCTCACACAAACCAGACCCATGCCGATGACTCTGTACTCGTTCGCCCATCCCAGGATCCTCAAGGTGGACTCAACTACAGGCCACAGCCTCCCAAGGGTATGTCTCATCTCGACTCTAGTCCACGGCTGTGGTCCTCCGGTTTTCCTTCTCTCGAGGCTAATCCGCCTCCAGGCCCCTCTAGCTATTATGATCACACTGGTCAGATGCGAACTAACGCAGCTGCCTTTGCTCATCAGGCAGGCCATCCTAATGGCGGTTACTATGCTCCCCAGCCCTCTACCAACTATGGCCTCTACTTCAATCAGCCTCCTATCAACAATGCTCGCACCGAGCACCTTGGATACAGCGCTGCTCCTGGCGGTTATGACCGAAAGCGCACCTACGACATGGTTGACGACTTCTTCGGAAGCGCCAAGCGTCGACAGATCGATCCCTCGTCTTATGCCCAGATTGGCCGTTCCTTGATGCCCCTTCATGGCAACCTCTCCGTTCCCAACGGTCCTATGACTGCTACCGAGCAGTACATGCCTCAGCCCGCTCCCGCTCCGGTCCACGCTGGTCCTACTCCTAGCCAGAACCCCTTGGCTCAGCAATACTACCTGCCCATGCCCAGCGCGCGAACTCAGAAGGATCTCATCCACATCGACACCATTCTTGGCCAGATGCAAGACACCATCTACGAGAATGCTAACCATGCTACTGCCGGTGTCCACATTCACCACGCTGAGAACGGCTTCAACGGTTACCGCAACACTCCTTCGCCTCCTACCTCTCACAGGTCTCCTACCGGCATGCATGTCGGAGCTGACGGCTACCAGCCTGTGTCTGCCGCTAGCATGGCCTCGCCTCTGACGGCCATCTCATCTACCGGCACTCCTGCTGTTACACCGCCCTCCAGCTCCATGTCATACACATCTGGTCACTCACCAAGCCCATCATCCTCTGCCATGTCTCCTCAGTCCCGCCACGGCTCGACTGCCTCAGTCATGTACCCCACTCTCCCCACAAGCCTCCCTGCTGTGAGCCAGGGCTTCGGCCACTCTGCCACAACCACTCTTGGCCCTAGCTTTGATGGCAGTGAGCGTCGCCGCTACTCCGGTGGTATGCTCCAGCGAGCTCGTGCTGGTCCTCTTCCCCTGCCTCATGAGGACACCAGTGGTGCTTCCACTCCCAAGGCTAGCGAGTCTGCTCTGTCTGTCGGCTCTCCCTCCTCAGAGTCTGACGTCAGTGACGCTACCCGTGAGCGTGAGGAGCAATATGACCGCTGGCTCGAGAACATGCGAGTCATTGAGACTCTTCGTGAGTATGTCCGTGGACGTCTGGAGCGCAAGGAGTTCGTGGACGAGAACGAGTCGCCACGATCTAGCCACTCTGACGCTATGGATGTTGACCCCAAGAGCCCTCAAGCTCCTCCCAGAGAATTGGGTACCCCCCGTGAGGGATCCTCTCTTTACCCTATCCTTCGCATGCCTGGCTCTTAGGTCAGTCCTTGAGTCAGCTGCTGGTTTGGCTGTACGTGTACTATTATCGTCTATCTTTTTCCCTGCATCAAAGCAATGCGGAATGTTATGTTCACGTGGTCTCAATGTTGATATGAAGTTTGAAGCTTTTGGTTCTGGGACGCTCTGAGTTGAGCTTTCCAAAATAGCGGCTGGGAAGGGCCTACTGTTTAGTTGGTGGAATATAAGGACAGATGCAATGCAATGAACCTGAAGTCCGGGTTTCTTTTTCATTTTCTTCTTTTGTCAGCTACTGCTTGGCACTCTTGTGGTCAATCAATGATGGATTATGAATGATATAGGCAAAAAGGTGGCTCGGTTTTGAGATGAGATAGCTGGGATTCTGAATTATCGAGTACTATCAACAAGAACAATATCAAAAAGTGCCAAACAATCTCCCAAGACCATTCTGACCTTCTCATACATCATAGCTGATGTCATTGTCTGATTGTATACGAGACACACGTTACTCAATACGAAGCATCGTGATGATCTCCGAATATGATCGACAAGCTACATATAGATAGATTACGCACAGAGTACCTAATGCAAGGACACATGCACTCCACGATCAAGTAGGAACAATGTAGAACAAATATTCTTAGGAACAATGTAGAACAAATATTCTCCGATAAATCGCCTCCATTCCGGCGAAAAAGTCGATCACTGTAGTGAGCCCCGTGCTGACCCCGAGGCGAAGCAGCGATCTCTGTCGCGAATATATAGCCAAGGATGGCCATGCGCTGTCGATCACTATGAGGCTGTGAGAGGACAAACGTCACTCTGCAAAATTTGTGATTAAGTAGAGCTAGTTTACGATAAATGGACGTATTCTTGTTTGCGCGTGGTGTTTGTTGTTTCATGGATATAACGTGGTTATGATGCATGATAGTGTTTGTTGCATGCGGATGAGTTGGAACGATATTGGTCTTGCATTTAGCATGGATAGTATTTAGCATATAAATAAGTCATTTAGCATATATATAAAGTGATTAGTATGCGAAGTGTGTTGCATCTAAGGATTCGCAACATTTAGCATATAAGATAGTATTTAGCATGTAAGACAAAGTAGACCCTTTCAGTTCAAGCCAACGCAACTTATACCTTTATTCACCGATCAAACAGCTTTTCAAAGTTAAATCTACATACCGACTCCAAAAACAGCCTAAATGGGCACGTTTGTCCCGCTTTGACTTTGTCAAGCGAGGCTTCAAAGCCAGCCCAGGTCCTGAAACACCTCGGGAAATGAATGACGGCACTTGCATGCACAGAATAGAAAACACACCAAGAGGAAGAATTGGACCATGAAAGTTAGGATACACCGGAGCGTCTCATGTAGATGAAGTCATGCCCGAAAAGAGTCTTGGTCGACGTAACGAAATGCGTGCTCTAGTTTCTCGTAAGTTCCCTAGGTCTTACAGGATGATGGTAGGATTTGGCGTATACTCCTCTTTTAATCTGGGTTGAGGCTGATTCTGTTGGTGAAGGATTCGGGAGGATTAGAAGGTTAATTGTGACTGTCACACATACATACATAAGTTATATGCAAAATAACGGTAAATGGCAGTAAACGGATCCTTAACTGATCTTTGACCAGGGAAAAGAAGAAGAAGGGAAGGACGGGACGGTTTCATCAGCCGGTGGCGCTTACCCATTTTTTGTTTGTTCTGTCTGATCTGGTCCGTTCTGTTGCTGTTAAAGTATATTTTAAGGAGCCCTTGTTCCTCGTGTAATTCACTTCAATGGTACTTATTTATGCCTCGTGTCCTGCCTTGTCCTCCTGTTCTGTACCTCTATTCTCTGTTCCTCTCTTCCAAGCGATTCACGAACAAGCACTGTTGTTCACTAATAACCTCAACCTATATCCTCTTCCTCTTACTTGCAACTCCTCTGCCAAATCTATCTACTCATATCAACACTAAGAATAACTCAACATGCGTTTCTTCGCCGTCGCAGCTCTCCTAAGCGTCGCCCTCGCTGCGCCAGCCTACGACAAAACCGACGGCACATGCTGCTGCTGCGATATCTCCAAGCCCGCCACAGTCTGTAAGAAAGACGTCAAACCCGAAGACTGCTTCTGCGCCGCCGTCGTGTGTCCTGCCGGTGCCCCTACCATCTGGGCCACCTCTACTACTACTCCTGCAACTACCACCACGGCCGCTCCCGTTAAGCGCGAGGAAAAGACACCTGCCCCTGCTGGACCTCCTTGTTGCTGCTGCGATCCGTCAAAGAATGCCATCGTCTGTACCGTGCGTGCCGAGGGAGAGGACAACTCGTGCATTTGTCCTATGGTGATGTGTCCCGCTGATGCATCGACCTTGACTGTTTATTCGACTCCCAAGGAGACGGGCAAATAAGGAATAAACCCGAAAAGATGTTGCTCTTCACTTGAAGTTGTTAACTTGCTGTTCAACTCTTCGCTTCTTGATGTATATCCCTAGGGTCTCGGTTTTGATTTCAGTTGGCATAGCAAAGCGTGGGGGAGCACCAGAATGGATCAAGTATGACTGTCCTAAGAGAGTCCTGCAAGACAACTGAACATTATCAATCAATAGCATGCTTGTTTGTCTCCAGATGAAAGAGGTCTCAGCTCGTGATGTCGTCCGGTGCTCCCGGAGTAGTGCTGTAAAGAAATACTGACAACTCTCCTTGGCTCAGGCACTGAACAAAAGATAGTTAAACTTGGAGAACTATCCTATTCCATTAGCTCAATGTTTTCTGACTTAAAAGCCGTTCAACTCAACGTCAAGGGGTAGTGTAAGCCAGCGAGACGGTCGGCCAATCAGAAGCGCTACACACCCAGACATTCGATGTAAGAGGTAATCAAAGGAAAGCGCATCTACAGGATTACAATCCGATTAAATGCCTTGCCAACCTCCCTTCTGTCGGTCTCTCAGCCAGGCTCTCAAATATCACCAAAAATTATTCATGGGTCACTATAGATACTCAAAATTGTTAGGATAAGAAATTATACACTATCGACTACAGATAGATATAGTTAGTTGCTACTCCAAAGTGCTCCGTGTCGTATCCCAAGACTCAACCCCATGGAAAATAAGAAATTGTTTTACTCTGAGTAAAAGTGTTCTGCTTCGGCCTATGTTACCCATCAACTGCCGGAGTGATCCAAGGCCTCTCCACGGGGCGCATCACTGCCACCCCTCTCCGCCTCATTTTTATCCGTTCATTAAACCCTCTGTTTCCTAGGACCTTGGACCATGGCAGCTTGTTTCTGACTGTTCAAGTCGGTTGACGGGAAAAGTGAGGGATCTATATGCAAAAGTATGATGGGGGAGGGGCGACCACTTGATGGGTAGCAATGCGAAAATTAGACCGCAGCGTAAACGGGTATATATAGTAACGGGTCATGAATAGTGCCGTTGACTCTCCGGTTGCAATGGCAAGGTCGAGCCATGGTAGGCGGGTTAGTTCGCTAATTTTTGGTGGGAAGAAAAGTCCCAAAATGAAGAATCGTATTCAAAGCTTTGTCGTGACAAGGTCGTCCAGACGGCTCTAAGATGCATCGCCGGCGACGAACGAAAGGAAAGGGAAGCGTCAAGGAGAGGCATCTCTTTATTGGAATTGAGTACGGTCCTTCTCCTTGAGGCCGCCAATTTGGTCCATGTCGATAGAGTAGAACTGGCCCTTAGCCTCCTTCTCGTAGGCGGGCAGTTGCTCCTCGTTCATGGGCTCCAGACCGACAGTCGAGTTATCACCAACGCGGACAACGAGCACACGACCGCTCTGCTGTCGGCCTTGCTCATCCTTCTCATCGGGGAAGGTGATGTGAATCTCGGGAACGTTATCGGGGGAGTAAGGGGGAGAGTTGGGGTTGGCAAGCATAGGACGGCCGTCCTGGTTGACGACGAAGACGCTGGAGCGGCCGTTATGTGTTGTCTCGATGGTGAGGCCGCGGTGGTTGGTGAATCGCTTGCTATTGCTGTCGTAGTAAGAAGGCAGACCATCCTCCTCGGACTGGATGGTTTGCTGCTTCTGACGGCGAGCGCGGCGGAAGAGGAAAAGGATGGCGACCAAAATGAGGCCGAGGAAGACAAGGCCGAGAAGGCCAAGCATGAGGTTGATCATGTTGTCGTTTGAGCCATCAGAATCGGCAGGCATATCAGATCGGGTAACGAGGTTCAAAATAGAAGGCATCGTGAATAGAGTTTGTGGTTGAATGTTACGTAGGTGCAGCAACGGATTTTGAGTTCGTAATAACGATGGGTGCTCCGAGTAGAGAGAACGAACGTAAAGCCAGCAACGTCTATTCATCATGTTAGCAAGCCATCATCTCATGGTCATGACTGAAATGACACCCGGCGAGAGCGATCGAGCCTGTCTGTGGCGGTTGTCAAGTGCATAGTCATCTGCAACGCAGCCTCCAATATTTGCAGCCAACTGCCATTCCGTATCAAGGCCGGAAGAGCCCATCTAGACTCGAAAGTAGTCTTGTGTTGGAGGATTGGCCAGTTCGAAGCCATGGCGATCCCACCAATGCAATGCATGCCATGACGTGTTGCAGAATGACAACCTAAACAGACCACTCGATAAAACAAAGGTGGCAGGTGGCAGGTGGAGGGTCAGATGGGACAGGATAACGTACGCCAGGGAGAAGATATCGCCAATAGTTCGTCTATGAATGCCTGGCGAGTACCGAAAACCGAGGTGGTTGGTGATGGGCCTAAGATAGTGGGTAGAACGAAGGGAGAGAGGGGGTTGGAAAGACCGGACGGAAATCAGCTGAAAGAGTGAAGCTGAAGATCCAAAAAGCGATTGAGAACAAGATGTACTGGGAGCGAAAAAACGATGCCGTCGACGATATTCACAAACTTGGCCCGCGAGGATTGGGTTGGGAAAGAGAAAGAAACAACCACAACAGCAGAGGGAGAGGGTTTTTGGCTCGGAGCCTGTCCTGAGCTACACTTGATCACGACAGGGGCCCCTGCCCCGGAAATGAGACTTGGGGCCAGGTGCAGTCCATGGTAGGGGCCGCTAGGCGCTCAGAGAAGCTAGACAGCTACTAGGGACCACTGTTTCTTTGGTCCTTTCAGGGGCACCGTCACTGCAATTGGCCGCTAAACCACCTGTCGTGGTGTGCTGGGCCACCTTCCTTTCCAAAGGACGTGCGGTCACCGCAGTTTGGTTGGTTAGACCATCCAATAAGAACTCTGCTAAGGCCCCGCTTCCTTTTAATTCGGCTTCTTCAACAGGAGATGTGACCTGTTGGCTCTAGGTTCATCCTCTTGTTCCCTGGTGATGCTGACCATGGCCAGCGGGCCCTTGAAATTCTTCAACTTGGCTTTTCTAGTGACTGGATATTCGCTGGGATTCGCTGTACTCGACACCCACATGTTCCCTATAACCGCCCGGTTCATTGGTCGAGGCGGTTGTGCTCCCCCTGCCAAGCCAAGTCTGGATGTTCTTTTCCTCGACGAGGGCAGACGACAACAAAAGAACCGGCTCTGACTGGTGACCTTATCGATAAAGAGAAGCAAGGAATCGAATGCCTCTTCTGCTGCTGGATTGGACTGGACTCTTTGTGCTCATCTAAACGACGCTGAAAAGAGCCTAGAATTTCACGCGAGTGTGGCAAGCGATGGATCCATCGTTTTGGACGCCAATGCAAGGTACGAACGGTTATCACATACAAAAGGGACAAGTCCAAGCCCCCAATCCTGAGCTAACCCAGTGAGTGCCACGACGCTTGCAACGATGGAGCGAGACGCCTCAACCGAATGCGCGTGATGAGTTTGTTCGAGAACAACGCATAGTCACTCTTCTTTCGTGGGTTTTCTTCAATTAATACGGGCAAATAAGCAATACAGCACACGCGTTCGTGCTTCTATTTACAGTAGGACGATCACAAAAGGCAATCGGCCGAGCTCTTCATCCATTTGCAAGCCATATCCATGTTCGGGGAAACGGCCGGGCACGCAATCGATTGTTCCTTGCATTTCGTTTCTTCTGGCCGCTTATCCACCTTCATTTTGGTAGGCCCTCTGAAGTGGCACCGGTATCTGTGCTTTTATCAGCGATACCTGATCTGATCAGGAGACATATAGCTCTCCTTTCTCCTTCTTGTGCACTTGTCATTTACCTTGAGCTTTGACTAGGTCTTGGGGTTGAGGATAGTTGCATTGGCTTTGACTTTACTTGAGTATCTTGTCAAGCTGGTAAACAGAAACATACCCTGGCTATCTGTGTCTCTCGATGTTTTCAACACACCATACCAGGTGTTTGTTTGCCAAGGGGAAACTGTCACAAAAAACGGTTGCGTGACATACTACGTATATCCCTCACGTAAAGACGTAGATTCGTTCTCGTTTATTTGCAGTCCTGCGACAAGACATTTTAGAAACACAAGTACAATCATAAGGACGCGCGGTCAATCAATCAAATAGCCTCGTTTCTTAGTCTATTAGCATGTTTACTATAGTTGTCTTAAGATTGGATTTTCCCGAATTTTCGGAGATGTAGCTCCCTCGGCTTTGTAGGGAAGCAAATATCATTTGTTTATCTCGTTTGATTAGTCACCTCACCAGTGTTATTTCTTCAACAAACATCACCAGCACAACATACAACCTGCTCCAGGATACAGAGAGTTTCATGCTATAATGCAATTGCCAGGGTCAAGTACCATGGAATCTAAATGGATAAACTCTACACCTATTCCTTTCAAGCATATCGTTGTCTAGCGATACCAAAACAGGTGTCTGTGTATCGAATGCTGGCCGCTTGGTCATGGTAACCGGAAATTTAGTCTTCAGATCTGACAACAACGCTTTGACGCATGAACACCTCAACTATGTCCGAAGCCTGTGAATATTATGTTTCTCAACAGCCTCATGCGAGAGCGATCGTTGCTGGGTCAGAAGAGTAGCATACTCCAAGCCGCTTCTATCGGGTTCATGGAATGCAATATCGAGATCCTCTAAGCACAGGGTGAAACATTTCTGCACCACAACAAACAAAGAGACTGGTCACGATTCACGATGTCGGGCCAAGAATAACACAGAATGTCTTCACTAGATTCCACATGAGCTCATCGAGCTACTAAGGTAGATAGTCTGTTAGCTGATGTTTTCGTAGTGGGGCTTTTGCCTCTTGAGGAGTTGTTAAAAGGTCTACACAATATGTGCCACAGGCGAAGCAATCATCCCAGTAGTTTTAGGCAATATTAGTGATTATACGAGGCTCTAGAGACTTACAGTCTCAGGTCGAAATCCTCATTAGCAAGTGGAGTTGGTGTGGTTTTTTAAGTCATACCCAGCCATAGAAGTTTCATTCTGAGAGCTCTGGAATACCATGACATATACACATACAAGGAGCTTTCTTGAGTCATGGAATCGAATCAACTATTAAAGTGCTGGTTTCCAGAATACGAAAATACTGAAGCCTCGTATCTGGATCTCCCCCTTGCATGAGGGGTAAAATGCCTCAGACTCTTTCTATCGACTCATATGACACCTGAATCGGACCTATGCTTACTCTTTGCTTGGTATTCGACGTGAGGCGTTTGCTCTGTTGTGTTGGAGCCGGAAAACTTAGGGGCGAGACACCAATGTTCGACCAGAACCAATGGATTTCACCAGACAACGTGATGTTGGCTTATACCTCTGGATGAGATAACGCAGGAAACACCACTACTGTCGTGGAGCTTGAATAGTCAATTACTTGCTGTTGTTGAGGGGGATATCAGCAAAATAAACCCGGCCAGACGCCGACGGGCGAGAGAGATACTCCCTTTGAACGTACTTGAACCAAAACTTATGCAAAGGGTATTTCTGCCCGATGGCTATTGCATGTAATTGCATCCGTTTTGAGATCGCATACCCTACGCACGCCCAGTTCCTTGATGAGTCTAGCGTTGCTGTTGAAACTTGAGATGACTTGTGAAGCCGCATGCTTGAGTGACACGGCCCGAGAAAAACGAGAGGGCACAATCAAGAAGGAGTTACGAATATGAACTCTCTCGTTGACCTAGAAGCCTCATCAAAGTCAAACTCCCAGAGCTTCCTCCCTGATTAGGATTTGATTATGCGGGTGATTTGCGAGCTAAGCTATATTGGGGCTAGTATAGCGGGTTGAAAGACGATCTTGGTCTAGCCCTCAGGGGCCGCCCGAGCGCCCGTCTTGGCTTTCCTTGTGAGGCTTGAAGCTATGGGATAGTAGTGTCGAAAGTTGAGGTAAATACTGACCTTTTCGTGATGATTATATGGACATCTTGTCAGCCAGTCAACGCATGAAGAGAAAAAGCCCATCGAGGAGTTTGACCGAGTAAGATATGGGACTTATTGGATGAGAAAAAGCTTCGCCATTGGACCCCTCCTTTCAACCAAAGTCTCTCAGCTCAGAGTCGCAAGTCACGATCCATCTTGATGTCACCCGCGTGCAAAACGCACAGTTCGTACGGCCGTCGGGAGATGCGAGGCCTCCTCATTGTGCCATGTAGCGAGGTAATACAGAGATATGAGAACAGCCAGCCAAACTCTGGAGCAGTTCATGTGGGTTGCAGCCCGGCCTCTGGTTCAACAATGAACAAAGGAGGCTGTCACAACGGTGAGTTGGTCGGCGGAGTGATAGATAGACTGACAGGTATCATTGCGTTGGTTATTGGAGGCAAAAAACCTGATGCCTTAGCTGTGTAATCATGGTTTGGCTTACACAGGATACACCGACTAAAGAAAAAGAATGGCGCTATGGGACTGAAGGTTGTTGGCTCAGTGGTGACAATTTCATACGCCGACAATTGGGAAGGAGATATCCAGGTTGTCAACAGGTAACAATAAAGAGCCCTTCATTTCCCCTCTTTTGGCAAACTATCTCTTTCTCCTGAATTATTAACTATCCGTACCTATCGAGGGGTTCTGAATTTCATCAACCTCCCTGATCCACCTCGAGCAATACGATCCCTCCCTGCACCAAGGAAGACCCTTGTCAACAGCCCTCATTAAGCATATCCGTCCTCCCCTCTTTCTGATACAGCAAAAGGCGGAGAGCCAGAGCCAGACACGCACATCATTCCTCTGCCCACAAGGCAAGGCAAGGCAAGACACGACAAGACAGCCAGGCAGCACAAGCAACCTCTCCCCCTCCCTCCCTTCACCAGGAGCCCTGAATAGGAGCACCAAAAGGCCAAAAGTCCTACCAGCTTTACTCTGTTTGGGGCCCGCACATTCCGACGCCGGCGTGCAACCTTACATTGATTTAGTTTGCCCTTGTTTCCTTTCACTGGTTCACGGGAGACTGCATTTCATGTAAAACCGCTCTACACCCGCTTGCTTCGAGCTGTCGCTTGCCACATCTTCTTTGTTCAAACCGACTTGAGCTCGAACACTATAGGTTCTTACCTACCTTACTGTCTAACCTTGGGCCTGAGCTTGGGTTTTCTTCAGCAGATACTGGACCAACACGTTTTTTAATACTTTAATTTACCATTTTCTTGCCAACAAATTTTGGCCTACCCCTTGTTATACGCGGGACATGCTCGCAAATATCACCAACAAAAACAATTAATCCGGGAGCGGGAGGGATCGCATTTATATCTACTCACTACCTTGTCTATATTTCTTTCGAGTTTTCTACAACAAGAACAAAATCTCTGGACCGTCTAATTTTTCTTATTAAATATTCACCTCGACGACAATACTCAGTCACCTCCGTCACATATCAATACCCATACCTACCTACGATTGCCACGCCTGTCACTTTCACGCACCAAGGACTCGTGGACCCCTACAAAGACCATCCATTGTCGCCCCTAGCCCCATTGGTCTACATAATCAACCCTCTATACCTATACCTCGCTTTCTAGGATCCTGGAACATTCCTAAACATATTCCACACAAACAATCAACAGCCTTCATACTGCCGAGGCAGAAGTACAACAACAACAAACAGTATTATATTTGAATATCTGTTACTATCCTTACATTGAGACATAATGACCAACCACCAGACTGGGTCGGTAAGTTGACTGATTTCTATTTCTATCATATCTTCAACCACCAATCTCGTTACACTTTTCTTCGTCTGCCCCCAAACATTCAGGGCCCTTGTTTTTTCTTTAAGGTGCTTGCCCCCATGGCCCACGTTCCAGGGAGTGCGACGTCAGAGATGGATGGTCGTGTGTCTCGACTTGTCCCAAATGCGTCAGATTCAAACTACGAATAGCTAGCGCACGTCGGGATTCGCTGCCGTTGGCACCTTGCACCTTGCCTTGCCTTCCATTAGGTGCCTCATAACATCTGCAACACAAAAAAATGGTCCCCCATAATCTGTCTTGTCTCGTCTCGTCTACCTTGCCATAACCTACCCCATGCATTCGATACCAAACCAACCAAGCCCTGCCCGGACAAAACACACATTCTTTTAACATCAACATCAACGTCCATATCCCGACCAAGTTGATTTATTCTTTTTTCGACTCATGCTTATATATCCATCATCTCAATAGCGACGTCCAGCCGCCAGGCCTATCAATTCCAACACCATGGCCACGGGAGCCTTTGATCAATCGCAACGGCAGCCCATGCCTTCTCAGACCAACAACAGCACAAATGCCACAGGATGGGATGCTTTCCACACACGTAGCTTGTTCGCAAATGGTATGTGAATATTGTCCTTTCCGCCCAAGCTATCCCATTGTGCGTATACTCACACATGCCAAAGAGAATGGCGAGCGACGCGGATCCAATGCGTTCAACGCACCCACCACCTCCGCCCTCTGGGGAGCAACACTCGCAACACGATCGCCCAGTACATCGCCGAGTAGAATGACACAAGATCACATCCCCAACAATGACCTAGGAAATGACCAAGGCTTATCGGGGCACTTCGCCCAAATGGGCATTTCGAAAGAAAGGAGCACTGCTATGTATGGCAATGCATTCCGCTACGATTCAGATCCTTTCAATGGCTTCGGCCGGGCACAAGACCACCGCTCTAACTCCTCACGACATTCTCAGTCCTCGCCCTCCTACCGTGCTACCCATACCGCAAGCAAATCGACACAGTCCCAGCAACAATTCCCCAATCACATGAGCAACCACCAGGCTCTCAATCAAAAAGCATTTAATCATAATAACAGCCAGAGCCTGGATGCAACATCCTTCAACCTTCTGGGAAACATGTCAAGTGGATTTGCTTTCGACCCCAATTGTCAGCCCTGGAACAATGATGCTAGCGGACAACGTGTCAACGGCAACAGCTTGGATCTGAATTCTGAAATGATGAATGCACAAGTCCCTACGATGCACCGAGGTTCCATCGACCGCCTCTCGAACCTCACAGAGCAAGGATCCAACCCCAGAACGAACCCGCAAATTTGGAGCCAGGTGTATTCTGCTCGACCAGTGGAACAAGGGCTCCGCATATCGAACCAAGTCAACCAGCTGGCTGCACAGTCTATGCCCTATTATGCTCACCAGCTGGCGATGTTCTCTGAACCCAACGCCCCGTATGCCCTCGGACTTGACCAGTACCCTCAACGCTATCACCAGCTGACGCACAACAATTCTGGGTATGGAGCACCATACGCCTATCATCAGAACAATGGCCCTGGGCCCAAGATTTACAAAAATCAATGGGTGAAAGAGTTCTGTGGACGGTTAACGAAGAGATCTGGTCCTCAACCCGAGCTTTGTGAAGCCTACGGCCACATGGTCGATGCCAGTGGAGAACAGGAGTCGTCAAGGTGGCTTCAAACGAAGCTGGCCGTTGCAACCAATGAAGAGAAGACTCGAATTTTGCTAGAGATAGCAGATGATGCTCGCACCGTGATGATCTGCTCATTTGGCAACTACGTAATGCAGAATTTGATCGAATATACGGGACAGGGAGAGAAATATCACATTCTCCAACAAATGAAAGGCCACGTCAATGATCTAGCACGGAACAAACACGGTTGCCGTGTGGTCCAGAAGGTACGCACTATCGTCTCTTGTTCAATCTTCAGACTTCTAATTCAAGCAGGCCATAGAGCACTTCCTGGTCGAGCAAAACCTCGAACTTGTCCAGGAGATCCGACCACATCTCCTTGATTTGATGAAGCATGAAACTGGAAACCATGTTGTTCAGAAATTCGTTCAAGAGCTCCCTTCAGCACATCTCAGCTTCTTTGTTGGGGTTGCTGAAGAACATGCCTTGGAACTCAGCCAGGATTCGCATGGGTGCCGGGTTATCCAGCGACTCCTGGAGGTGTGCCAGGAGGAGGATATCAGAAAGGTTTTGGATCCGCTTTACCCATCGATGGAGATGCTTGCCACAAACCAATTCGGCAACTATGTCGTTCAGGCTATCATCGAGCACCGACCCGGCAATGACAGGGATCGAATTGTTGAGATGGTCATCAACAAACTCTTGTACTTCTCCAAGAACAAAATTTCGTCCAATGTGGTCGAGAAGTGCATCGCGTTTGGCTCGGACGAACAACGAACACGAATCCGAGAACAGCTTTGTACTGTCAGTGCGAGTGGGAAGGACACTTTGTTTGAGCTGATCAACGATCAGTTTGCAAACTATGTTATCAGTAAGTGGTCTCTCTGTTTATCCATGCGAAGATGGCTGACACAAGGTAGAAAGCCTAGTTCACAACACCAAAGGTCCCGGGCAGCAGCAGCTGGCACAAAAGATCCATACGCACCTTGAAGCGATGAAGAAGAGCGCACCCCTCCCAAAGCCGTCACACAGTTTGAGTCAAGTTGTGGAGAAGATCTTGATCGTCGACGGCATGGCTATCAATCTCAAAATTGAAGTTGACTCGGCTGAGCCAACTCCAATGTTGACCAATGAAACGAATAGCCCGCAAAGCGATGGGCTACCAAGTGCCAACGGCAGCGCTATTGGAGTCCCATCTGCCGGCATCAAGAACCCGGAGGTAGCTGTTCACGTCCATAACGATGAGGCGTAAACAGCCAACCGATGATTTACAGCGGCAGCGCACTCACCCACATGCAAACGAGAAAGCAAGCAAAACAAAGAATCTTACTTCATACCTTGTATTACACATAGATTTGGATGTCTTGGCTAATAAGAGACAAAATCTCACCGCGGAAGGCCCTCCGCTGAGGTGAACATACGGACAAAAGAACAAGGCAGGCACTTGATCATAGGAATTATGCCATCACGAGGTACAGACAGTGCACTTAATACAATGAGGTGCCGCTGGGAGTTTGGTAGGATGATGGGTGTTTTGTATTGGTTATTGGGTTTATTCATGTCTTGCAGCTTATGTGTTTTCTGGGATAGTAAACGAAAGAACATGACAGCGTTACAATCTTACAAATGGTCTCCCTTGATGAAGAGGAGGTGGGTTGGAATGAAAAGGGGAAAGGAGACGATGTTTTCGAAGAACCCTAGAATTCATGAACAGATCGTGTCTTATATTACCCCAAGACAGGGCCATAGCTGTTACGGGAGATGAGATTCATTACAAAAAGGTAGATTGAATATTTAATTAGAAAGCTAGTCTAATAAGGACCCCTGCGGCTATGAGCGGCAATTCGCAAACAAGCTACTGAGCACTAAACCAGTTTTGGAGAAATGACATAGGAGGGCGAGATCCATTGGAGGCCAAGTCATTCAAGCAGGTACGCACGCCGATTGCCGGTTCCTCTCCGACGGGAAACCCTTTGTATCTTTAGTACCATACCTAAGGTACTTACTCAACGTGCTACATCTTTTAGACCGCACCATATCAAAACACAACAAACACTTCCATAACACGACAATATTATTCCAGAGAGACCCTTATTTCCATGATTGAATTACTTGGAACTCGCTAGCCATTGCTAATCCTACGCCCCAAATCTATCCCTACTCACTCCTTTTCTATCCGCGGGGTCATCTTTGCCCACCATGACGGCAGCTGCTCGGTTGACCTTCTTAAGCCCGCAGGTCTTACGGGGTCTACGTGCGACGCCGCGTTCTGCAGCTGGCTTTGCTCGACATAGAGGCACTTTCGCGCGTAGGAGAGGAAAAGCTGTTGAGCCTCAACCCCTAAAGGCAGATACGACCGCCAAGCTTAATGCCTCGCACCCACTCACTAGCGAAACACCTACTCGTCCCGAGCCCGAGAGCAGTACGACACAAGAGTCAGTACAGGCGACGCCAGACAAGTCAGTGTCTACGAACGAGGCTGCTGCGTCGACAAGTAGCAAACAACAACCTAAGGAGAATGAGACACCGAAGGAAGAACAAGCCAGAACAGCTCGGGAAGAGGCAAAACAGAGCGGACCCCTTGAAGCAGTGTTGCATATGGAACCACCAGAAATAACCAAGAAGACGACGACAACAAGACCAGGTCCGGCCATGTGCCCACCGCCTTATGTCCACCATTTCGATACTTACTCGCTCGTGAAGCAATTACAAGAAGGAGGTTATACGCAGGAGCAAGCTACAACATCAATGAAGGCGATTCGAACGTTACTTGCAGAGAATCTCGAGATAGCGCAGTCAACTCTTGTCAGTAAGAGCGATGTGGAAAACGTGAGATCTTGTTCGATGGAGGGCTAAGAAACATTCGCTAACAGCTTCCTCAGGAAACATACCTTTTCACAGCGGCTTGTTCAGAGTTGAGTACCGAGATTAAGAATAACCGACGGCTTGAAGAAGAGCAGCTACGACAACAGCGAACACATTTACAGCACGAGGTCGATATCTTGACGCAGTCACTCAATCAGGAGGTTCATACACTTAATGATAATGTTCGAGGTTCCTTTAACGATCGCAAAATGGCCGTCAGAGAAGAGCAGAAAAGCGTCGAGAGCTCTGTAAGGATCCTTTCCGATATCGGCAAGGTTTGGTGACTGACACTACCACAGATTCAACAAATAAATTACAAGATCAGCATTGTTCTTAGTAGCGATGCTAAATCAGAAATCGAGGCAGTAAGATGGATTCTTATCCGTCGCTCTGTTCTTGGAATACTCTTCATGGCTGTTTTGACGCTTGGTACACTTCGATATGCCACATACGTTAGCCATGAACGACAAAGAGAAGCAGATCGTCTCAAGAAAGAAGAGGAAGAGAAGCGAAGAAACGGCGGGAAGCAGGATCGCGCGACGGATGCTGACGCAATTGCAATCCTGGCTGCCAACTAGGCACGGAGAGACATACGAAGAGGAGGACAATAACAACACATACAGACGAACGAACACTTTTCCCTTGGGATTTATAATGGATACCCTATAGATTTTCTACTTGGAACTACAACACGGTGTTAAAAGGCTGCGTCATGAGAACTTGTGGAAGTTTCATGAGCTGATGAGCCTTGGTTATGATGGGCTAGGCATGGATGGATACACATCGTACATACAGACATGACATATAATTGGCTTTGACAAGCTTATTTTCATAGACGTACATAGACATTCTGAATATTTAAGACCAGATTGACTCTGGATTTTCTTTATAGTTGGTTACGTTCTGGAGTTACAGATCATGGCTGACCACGTGCGATAAGAGGAGTGTATGGCACTTTACCCCACGCGCCGCCTTGTCAGTCGCGCCTCTCAACCACCAAGACCAAACATCTTCAGCATCACCATCATCCTCTCAACATGGCGCCCGATCCACAACCCGAACGGCCCGCGCAACCCGAAGCAGCGCAAGAAACAGCTCGACCTCAATCACAAGAACCAGAGCAACAACCAGAATCAGAACAAGATCCTCCTGCATCACCTCCCCTCCCCCCGCGACACACAGCCGTTACGCCTGGTCCCCGCGCAGCGCGTCTGCAAGAACTCTACGCGCGATCGCTCAAGAAGACTCTGGGGAAGATTGGATGGGACAATGTTGCCGGCTGTTATCCTACGGTTGCGAAGAGGGCGGAGGGTGTGTTGAGGCAGGTTCAGGGACAAATGGTTGATAAGCTTGGCGAGAAGTGCGAGGTATGTCTTAACGAAGTGGTAAATAAGGACAATGCTAACATGAGAGGGGCAGAAAGAGTTTGATAATATTATGGTGTCAAGGCAGGTCGTTCCTAAGCTCAATGATCTAGAGAGTCTTATTAGCGATGCCTCTCGCCGACGCGCCGAGTCAACAACAGAAGAGCCAACACCGTACGTTCCCTTCTCACTACTACCATCACCATCCACTAACAAATATCTAGTCCTCATCTTCTTCCCCCATCAGCAATCCTTGCTGCACATCTCACGCCCGCCCTCACAGCGCATCAGTCGCAACTCAATGCTCGCCTACAAACAACACAATCGCAAAATGCTCTGTTGTACGATGAAGTTCGTCGCCAAAGAGAAGAGATTCGCACACTTCTCGATGCCCTCGAGGCTGTCGTCGCCGATGTCCAGGGCGCCAATGACGCGCTGCGCCCGGTTGTGGACGATGTTGCTGCTGAGACGAGACAGGGTATAGCAGCCGTTGACGCTGCCAATGGTAGTGGGCAACAAGGAGCGTCATCATGAACTTGAATGATGATGAAAAAGAAGCTTATAGATAACATAAGAGCTAGATGTATGCTGTGGTCATACAATGGGTCCGGGAGTAATGGGCGTTACGATACCAATGTTTTATCTTGTATAACAGCATTTACGAAGCAACGTTCACAGTTAATCAAGCATTTAGTTGATATGAGATATCTTTCACAATGTTTCTTGTAATGGCTTCTATATACAGGCACCGCAATCCATGCAGACGTGTATGAGTTGCTGATATGGAAAAGCAACCATGGCCACCTATGCTGAAAACCAAATGGCCGAGGGCGTGACTCACCACAACTCATGCCGTGTAGCGTCCTCAATGTCAAAAGTACGAGGATCTAAGCAAACAATAAATGAAATGCAAACTCCGTTCCATGATCGTAAGACCCCGTCATCATTGGCTGATGCATCCGCAGCCTTCCATGCGCCAGATATGCAGAGAGAAAATATGTACTGCTAAGAAAGTAAGAGATGAGGAGAAGAATATCTAACTCCGTATGTGACATAATATGATAGGTGATCTAGTTGTATGTGTTGTAGAATGAACTCATGATGGGTTAAATGTGTGTCATCTTAAAGGGGGATATGACTGGTCCCGGTGGTGTCTGTCGTAAGAGAATAGTCGTTGACTCCAGTGAGTACGTAGTAATGATGAGATAGATCATAGGTGATATAGTGATAGTAGGAGGGTGTGTCCGTTTGGCCAAGAACTTAGATGAGTCTGTTTTCGGTATGAACCGTTTGCCAAGCCCCAAAGTAGTCGATCTCACCATAGGCAGGCGGGAGGACCCTGACCATTCGGCCTGTCGTCCAATCAACATAGAACTTCTTGCCTTTGCTGATGATGTATGGTGTTTTGCGGGGACTTCTAAAGAGTAGGTTGCTGTAACAGAGCTTGGCGTACAGCAAGTCATGAGCACTCGACCACTGATGTTCTGGTATCCATTTTCCATCGACAGGGTCAATGCCCATATTGTTGTATGACGTTGTGCTGAGACGACGGGCAAGGTCTATTCGTGGAGGGGGTTCAACCACCTCTTCTTCATCCCCTTCAACCTCGATTTCAGGTTCTAACCTGGTTTGAGATTCTGGAGCTAGTCGCAAAGGTGGCGCTGATGGACGAGCCTCATTTGATGTCGCAGAGACTTCTTCAGATCCTCCTTCAATACCGAGTTCTGACAAGTCAATAGCTGTAGCTGTTGGCGTTTGGCCATGGAACCAACGGATTCGTTGTATTCGGGGAATAGACATATCACGCGGGAAATCTCGGTCTTCCAAAGGTAGAGCAATATCGATAGCTGCGAACAGACCTTCGAGCCACTTGTTGAATGTACTCAGCTCGATACAACATAGGAGAAACTGGTCTGTCTCTGCTCGAATACGGATGGTATATCGCCTCCTAAATCTTGTTAATAACACAAATCCTACGCCTCAAGCATTCTGATAGCTTACTTCGTATAGTCAGCGGCAATACCGACATCCGCATACAAGAGGCTATATGTCTTCTCGAGCTTGCCCCTCTTCACCCATGGAGGGTTATCTGGGTCGACCGATGGTCCGTCACTGCGTGTTCTCCCCCAACTCCATGCTTTCTTGGTCCCATATATGCTAAGCGCAGTCCCATTCAAACAGACGTGAACGGGATACCATTGACGATCCTCGGCCCTCTTTATCAAGTTTTCGATTTCGTGTTTCTTGTCAAATACGCCCTCCAATAATATTGAATTCTTATAGTCGGGTAAGTTTTCTTTTCCTGTATCTGGATGAAGCTGAGGTTCGCCGCCCCCACCAGTCGTGAGCTCCTTCCCCTTCTCCAAACGATCACCATCATGGGAGATATTCGACGTTGTCGGCGGCGGATCTCGCTCTTGCTGGTACGGAGGCGGCTGGGAGGGTCGGCGCGGGTTTGTCATGACACGCTGGTAGTAGAGGTCCTCCTCCATCGATACACGCCGCCTGAGGGGCGGCGATGTAGAAGCGGTCGTGGATGATACATCGTCCTCGGCCGTGGCCCTGCGTAGGTCCATTGGAGGGAGATGGGACTTATATGAAGTCGGAGAGGGCCCCACGACCGACCGATACGGAACGGAAACGGCTCACGGGGTGACTCTGTCGTCTGGGGGCGTGAACCTCAACGAGCATTGGCCATAGGAGTCTCCATAGAGGACGGTAAACTGAGGAGGTTGATCATTCCGACCCGCTCTGAGGTTGTGTGGAGAGGTTTGGAAGAAGAGACTGGAGCGAGCCAACAGAAGACGTAGGTGAGAGGATCAGAACAGTCAGCATGGATCCACGAAGAGAAGCATCTGTTGTGGAAGAAGGTCGCACGCAGGGGTTCGTAAGTTTGAGGAGAGAATCGTGGATCGAAGGGGGGTGTGAGTCGAGCTGGAAGACGGGGTTCAACGGGATGCCGGTAGGGCCCAAACCAGGCGTGCCTCCGTCCAGCTTCGATGGGGTATGGAAGAGGAATGGAAATGCGGCGGCTCTTTTGCTCGGGGTGACTAGGATCGATGGTAAAGGTCAGGGAAACGGTGACCAAACCAGAGCAGCCAGACCAAAGCAAAGCGACGTCAGCCGTTTCAAAAGGGCCCACGTTGAACCGAGCTTTGAAGAGGATTCAGATGAGAGAGTGGAGCGGTAGCCGGAAGTCGTAGAAACGTGAGGGTGTGGGAATGGTATTTGGGAGCGTGGACCAAAACGCTGGCACAGGCTCAGGCTCAGAGTGGCGAGATGAGGCTGCTGGCGCGCTGTTGCAGTGGACGCTACCGTATTTTTCTTTCTTTCGAGAAAAGCGATTTCGCCTAAATCGAGCAAGTCAGGACAATCACATTTGGGATCTGATGCGACAGAGTCTTGATTGGCCTTTTGTCTCGGCCGGGTTGTGGGATGCGCGGATGTGATGCGATCCGCACTTTTGAAGAGCGCATCAAAGTGCAGCAGTGTTTACTGTACTAAATGCGCCGAATTTCCGCGCTGACTGCCGATCTCGCCTGTGCTAACGGATATCTTTTTCAGATTTGGCGTAGGGCTCTGTATCTTTGTCTTGAATGTGCTATTGTTGATCTCGAGTATGTCGCGATGATGAAGAGTGCAAGATGTCGTTGGTGGTGCCAAGTCCAGGGTTCTCCTCTTCCTTCCAAGGCTTGGTCGTCGACTCGATTCGACTCCGCAGAGCTGGGCAGTGAGATTGTACTGTAAGTAGCCAGTAGATGTCGGGGAAAGAGCATCCTGATCGTTAAAAGACCCCCGGTCCCGGGAAAGCACGACACATGGCATGGCTTGCTTGACCTGTTCTGTGCCTGCGCCTGCCTGGCACTGTCTCTCGGTGGTGGACTGTCAGTGGCAGCCGCATGTTGCAGGTTCAAAAGGACCACCTTCCCGCCAAAAGGTCCCGCGCGAACTAGGGTCTCACAAGCCCACACTCACAGAACCGCACAAGGAAGTTGCAGCACACGGCCCCACCTTCCCTCGCTAGTCCCGGACGGGGAGGTCACAAAAGGGTGACGGATAACCGGCACAGGACTTGCCTGAGAGAGTTTCTCTCCACTGCCAATGGAAGCTTTGTTACGTAGTATGAATTTAACCTTGAATTATATGTTTGTCGATATTCTAATCACCCAACCCTCTTTGGGCGATTATAGTCTCGTAGTTTTGCTAGAAAGGCAATTGCCGTTCCAACATCCAAAAAGCCATACCAGCCAGTAAATCGAGGGAGGCGCCCGATAGAGTTCAAGCCTCGATACGGACTAATCTATTCAACGTACATAAGCCACAATCGATATCTCGGCCGGGTCTCGACTTCAATATCCGGAGCTCCAGGTCATCGCTTAAACACGAGACCTGCAAGTCATTCATTTTGATGATTGATAGGACGTCAACTCGCACAAAAGTCCTTTCCACTGTGAAGATACTTTCGGCTCTCATTTCATTAATCCGAGACGCCGCATTGCAGGAGCAACAGCAAGAGCCAACCAACAAGAAAACGGCACCTTGTTCCGTTACAAAAGTGCCCTTTACCGTTTTGATGAATAACGATTCAATCTGATTGCTGATTCGCTCGTCAAAAGCGAACCAGACTCCTGGGAACTCTCCGGAGTACGTATCTTTTCCTCCAGGACAGCTTACCTCATCGCTCTTGAAGCGTTGCGCTCAACAAAGGAACTTTTGATACTAGCATTGGCACCTTTGATAGTGGCCCCTCTCTATGTCTGGGGTCAGGCTCTTCTACTCGGCGTCTCTTTTTCTTTGAATCATAAAAGCCCCACACTAATACTCTACATGAGTATTTCTTGCTATTCTATTATTCATAGTCAGCCATCGTGGCATTTTCATTCCTTGTTGCAAGTCAATCATTTTTCATGTTTCATGCGGATTGGCTCGACGAATCATCTATGAACTGATCGACTCATCCTCGGACTCGAATGCGAAGAAGGGATATCAACTCACTCACGCAACACATCGAATCTAATTAATACCTACACGGACCACACCGAACCCCCTCTTCTTCTACGGAGGACCAATAGACATTGTCAATAGAATATCTTAGAGCGGCCCGCGCGGGTTGTACAACATTTCCGGACCATCTCCGTCAGAAACTTCCCGTCTTACTGTCCATTGGGTTCCCAATATGGTACACTATTAAGCACAAGAACCTGGAGCAGGGCCGATTGATAACTAGTACTATCACGATCAATGTTGCATGCATTACCTACTTTGTTGCGGGGGAGAGAACACGCAAGCAGTCTTCTTGGTGTGACGTGACGTTTGATCATCAAGATAATGAACCAATTCATCATGCAGTGAGATTGTTTGATTGCTTGGGGGCTTGGATTGCTGCTAATTCCGTCCGTGACACCGGCAGTCGAATTGCTTCTCGACGATCACGCAAATCACACGGTAATTATTCCTCCGAGAGACCTGTAAGCAACGCTGAAAAGTTCAGGCTCTATGTCGATCCTTTCCTTGTCTTGTTTTGCAAGGAACATGATCCTAAAGAGTACCATGGACGGAGTTTTAAGTCGAGGCTCTCACATTCCATCCACAAGTTAATTAGAGAGGTATATGTGATTCATGTATCGTCAACCAAGCCTACACGCTTACAGACAAGCTCTCCATGGATGATCCTCTCCCGTCTTGGCTGCAACCTTTACTCCTAAAACAATCCCAACGAAAATATGATCAGCTCAAGCCACTGTCTCAGATATTCCCATAGTAAACTGATCGTCCAGGATAATAATAACGATACTCCCCGGATCTCTCGGCAAAAACCTTGCTTGCATCGTCCCATCGCCAGAAATTCTCCCTCACATAATATTGGCTGTTTTTTTCTCCTTGAGGTCTGCTTTTAGAAGGTCGCAAAAATACCCGGGGGAACCTTTTGTTTCCCCATGTCATTGTGCGGCGTGTCCGGAATAAGCTATGTACAATAATAGGACACGCCCTGGCTATTCGGGATAGTCTCCGACGAACCGAAAGGATAGAATCAAATCGCGGTGTCTGCTACAGGAACACGTGCAACTTTGACCGTCGATAGATTCAAAATTAAGCTCTCTCTGCATAGTAACTATTACGCGTGGGTATCCTCTCTCGATCAAAAGTCCCCCAGTAACTGGCTTGGCCTTTTGTCAATGCTTTTTCCTGTTACAAAAGAACCTTGACCAACATCCATCAATAACAACAATTTCTCATGCGACGAACCGTTCGACTTGTTTGATCCACGAGGCTCTGCAAGCTTAACTTCGGATATCATCGCATGAAGAAAACGAGCGACATTGCTTCTACGGGACCTTCTAGACCGATACTGGATATCATGACCGTCAAGCCCCTCTTGTCCTGGATCTTCAACATGTTACGTTACGTGACATGACATGACATGGCATACATGAAAACATTGACATCATATGAAAATTTTGCTTTCACTCGCTGATCTGGTAGCTCGACTCAAACATTGGAAACCAAAAAGGTACTGATCATTACTACTTGCACAGTAAAAAGTACAGAACATGGTCCCTCCAGGCCCATTCATTCTTCACAGGCCTGGACTCTCATCCACCATCGTCAACTGTCACTGCTTCGTAAGTATACCCGTTCGACGTCCTTCTGCCCATCCGGGTACTGCCACCTCTATCGCCCGTCCGTTCGCTTTTGTAAGAATATACACGGTCATTAGAAAGTAATGATGCCAAACCAAAGCTCCCAGCCTAGGACCTTTCCCCCGTTTTTGCTGAAATCCGTAACCCAATCGCCGGCTGAGAGGATCAGATGCAGATGCAGCGCGCAAACCACCGAAACTGAAAAACGAACAAATATGACTCCAAATTCCCAACTCCATCCTTCCTCCAAAAGGGAATACCAAACTCCGCTCCCTTGCCGCTCCCCCTGACCATCTGCTGAGCTTGTTTCTTGTTGCCATCCCCTCGTGTTGATGTTTGATAATGGTTATGTATATCACGTAGATTAGTTGTGATTACTTCGATTTAGGATCCTGGTCGTTCCAGGACCTAGATAGCAAGTCTCGAGACTGACACTGATGTGCGAGTCTGACCCTGGCCACATTATATATACCAGTCGCCATTGCTTAAGCATTATGAGACTGGGCACCACCACGGCCACGGGGAGCGCCACCCCGGCCACGGTTCTGACCAGAGAAGTTGCCTCGAGGGCCCTGGCCGCCAGATCGTCCGCCCTCAGCACCACCACGGCCACGGCCTGGAACGGGGCCTCGGCCACCAGCGTTATTGGCACCGGGCTTGTTGCGACGGGACTCGATCACGATGGTCTCGCCGTTGATGGTGTGAGGGTTGGCAGCAACTGCGGCCTTGGAGGCTTCAGGGGTCTTGAACTCAACGAACGCACAGTTCTATGCCATGTTAGCTTCAACGATAGTGTCATAGTAGAGGGTATAAGCATACCTTCTGGCGGATGATATCAAGGCTCTTCAACTCGCCAAAAGCAGTCAAAGCGTTCCTGAGGTCTGCATCCTGAACCTTATCCGTCACGAACTTAACGTATGCGGTGGTGCTTTCCTTATCGGCAGGAGGTCCGGAAACAGACTGAGGTCGGTTCTGTCGCTTAGAGTCACTGCCGGCAGTCTGCCATCCAGCCGCATCCTTACTAGCGGACTCAGTAGCAGGCGCGGCAGAGGTAGCAGCAGGAGCAGCAGCGGGAGCGGGAGCACGGCTCTGGTTCACGGGAGGAGTAGTAGTCTTGGGGAGAGGAACAACGGGCTTGGGAAGGTTGGCGGCAGCTCGGCTGGCCCATGTCATGGGCTTAGGGGGAGCAGCAGGCTTCTCAGGAGCTGCAGGAGGAGCAGCGATAGGCTTGGAAACGGGTGTAGGGCTAGGGTCCTTGGGCTTCTCGGGCTCCTTGACGTCTTCCTCGGCAAGCTCCTTGGCAGCCTCATCAGCGGTCTCGGCAGGAACCTCAGGCTTGGTCTCGGGGGCCTTGGCCTCATCAACCTCCTCAGGTGTGCTGCCGTTGAGAGTTACACTGTCCTTAGAAGTGGAAACTTCCTCGAGCTTCTGATCAACAACTTCGGGATCGAGGGCGGGGGCCTCCTCCTTGGTTTCCTCGACAGACTGGGGAGCCTCGGGCTCGACAGGGACAGCAGGTTCCTCTGTAGCGGGAGCAGCAGGCTCCTCGGCAGGCTCTTCAGAGGCGGCAGCAGACTCGTCATCGCTCTCGTCATCGATATATCGCAGGATATCATTGAGGACAAAGTAGCCGGAGGGTTGCTGGGCGAGGACAAAGGTCTGGACGAACTTCTTAGGTGCTTTGTTGTTGTTGCAAGTCTCGCCAATGACTTGAATGACGATGTTCTCAAAGGAAGCCTGGGAGTCAACATTGGATATCCTGACCTTGCAGTCGTGGAAGTCTAGGTTCTTGATGCGTTCTTGAATGTCCTGTTGCTTTGTTAGCAACCAATTCAAATATTCTTTTTGCCATCTTAGCTTACCTGTCGGCCAACAGAGACTTTGGCAACCTCAGCTTCACGACCGTAGACGAATTGTGAGCGCTTGCCGTAGAAGAGCTATCAAGTTCGTTAGTATGAATTAAGCGTAGCGACAACGGAGTTAACATACGTGAAGCTTCTCAGGCGACTTGCTCAAGGTGGTGTAGAATTGTTCCACGAAATACCAGCCAACCTCATCCTTGGATGGGTTGTTGGTGGCAGAAGCGGCGGCGGTAGCAGAGCCATCGGCAGCCGAGGTAGTAGGAGCTGTTTGTTGTTGGTCGGCAGGTTCCTTGTACTGATCCTGTTGGGTAAAGTTACCGTTGGAGGCCATGATGGCTGTGTGTTGTAATGTGAAGTTTGATATGACAAGTGTGATGCGGAGCGAAAATTAGGTTGGGTGCGCAACCGGCGAGCTCTCTGTGTCGCGGAAACGGGTCGAACGAGGGTGAGAAAACGTCGAAAAAACAGAGCCTGATGTTACGGGTTCAAGCTCAAGACGACGATCGCGTTCGGTCGAAATTGAAGTGATGGGTTTGGGTTGGGTTGGGTCGAGTCGAAGCAAGCAAGCAGAATAGGGCAAGCCTGATGACAAAATGGAGTCGAGGGTTCGTGGTTGGAAGGCAAAGGCGTGAGGGGTGGCAAGGTCGAACTTCGGGATCGGAGGAGGGATCGAGAGTTATGGGACTTCGAAGGAGAGAAATGGAAAAGATAGTGGAGAGAGGTAGAGCTTCAATTAGCTGTCAACCGAGATGGAGAAGGGTTAGGAGAGGGAGGAGTCGAATTGTTTACAGGCTCTGCAATTGGGATGAAAGCGATGTTTGGACAATGTGTGATGTGTTTGTGTGGCTCCAGTAAGAAAACGACTTCAAGAGCTCTGCTCCAACTAGAGAGTGGTCTGTGCGTCATCTGTCTTGTTCTCTTTCCCTCTTTTTCACGATTCTCACTTCGGAACGGGAAGTGTGTAATAGTTTTCCCGAAGACGTGCCAAGTCTTGAGACTCGACTGCAAACATCAGCTAATTTGCGATCATACAAAGGAAGAAATGATTGCATGAATTACAATACTTGAATGCTTACAGGACCGAGTCACATCAAACTCACCCAAACTTTTTGGGATATCTCAACTATATCGCTAGTTTTTCAGGGATCTTCACGTCAGCATTATGTAGCGTTCTAGCATACAACCCTGTCATTGCAGCATTGCAGACTTGGAAATAATTGGTGTGGTATCTGACGTTAAACGCCTCCATGACAATTTATAACACTTTGCTTTTTGGTGATAGCCTCATATAAACATTTCCAACTAATACATATTAATCAACGGTTGTCAATTGGAGCAACACAGGTTCAAGATCATCACTAGCTTAATTCCATACATCATTTATTAACACAACTACCCGACTTCACATCTATCTTCACTTAAGCTACTGGCTCTACTTGAGGGTTTACCACAAGGTTACATTCCAGTACTAAAAGAAGTTGGCTCTAACAGCTTCGACTCATAATAAAATGTCTCGTCGTTTTGCTTCTTACTACATCTCACTGCGTTGGTACAATCCTTTCGACATGGTCCACCCAGCATCCTAGAAATCGGACAAGGTACTAAATCTTTGCACTTTGATATGCGCATTTCGAGTTTCTGATGAGAAGCAAACAGCAAAACAAATGAATTTTGAATCGATTCCTGCCGAATCCTTGAAGTTGAATGACTTCAATGCTATTGATCTTGCCAGAAATTACCGGATTAGTACACCCTAGGTGAGTGTTTGGACCCCTGCCTCGGTGAGCAAAATTGCGGGGTCAACTGATAAGATAGCTCGCCCGTTCGAAATTTTTATCGTAGAAAGTAAAAAAATCCAGTGGACAGCCGCCTTCTATAGCAGGCATTGAGATCTCAAGTCCCATTCAAATCACAACCACCAACCAAAACTTTCGATTCTCAATCCTTCTTCGACCTCACCCCTTTTCGAATCACCCTTGAACCCCATTTATCAACTAATAACACCGCAAAAATGCCCAAGTCGAAGCGCGCAAAGGTCGTCCACCTCACACAGGTCTCCAAGAAGACGCGCGAGGACAAGGACAAACTTTTCCAGAACATCCGCGATGCCGTCCCCGAGTACCAAAACTGCTTTGTCTTCAGCGTAGATAACATGCGAAACAACCACCTCAAGGACGTCCGACGTGAGCTGTCCGATTGCCGGTAATGCCTCTCTGTGTAAGCCTCTTGATCGCAACTAATTCTGTATAGTCTCTTCTTCGGAAAGACAAAGCTCATGGCAAAGGCTCTTGGCCAGACACCTGAGGAGGCCATCGCCCCTGGAATTGAGGACCTCAGCCGTTATTTGACTGGTACCGTCGGCCTGATCTTGACCAACCGCCCCGCCGAAGAAATCCTCTCTTACTTTGAGAACCTCGCTCCTGTCGACTTTGCCCGCGCCGGTGCCGTGGCCACGCGCGATTTCTCTATCCCTACCGGTGTTGTCTATGCTACCGCTGGTGAGGTTCCTGCTGAGCACGACGTTCCTCTCGAGCACACCATCGAGCCTGAGCTGCGACGTCTTGGTGTCCCTACCCGTATGGTCAAGGGTCGTGTCGTTCTCGGTGATGAGGCTGGTCAGGGTGAAGAGTATGTTGTTTGCAAGGAGGGTGATGTTTTGGATTCACGACAGACAAGATTGCTTAAGCTCTTCGATGTGTGCTTGAGCGAGTTCAAGGTCAAGGTGTTAGCGTAAGTTGAACCTCTTCTGAAAGCACCAACCCAGCACAAGAACAAAAGCTAACATAGTATAGATACTGGAACGCTGCTAGCTCCGAGGTGACAGAGGTCAACCACAACGCTATGGATGAGAATTAGATGAGCCTAGGATAAGGCATAGAAAACGGTGCTAGACGTTAGGTTTAACATCTTCTGTTTGAATGACTGATACCAGCATGAAATTTTTATGGGATCTCGGCGTTGAGGGCCATGGGATATGGAAGGGCATCATGTTTTACCAATAGGCCCGCCCGAATGACAATACGTACTTCACAACATTCACAAGATTCGGTTCCTTTTCTTAACTGTTATTGAACATGAAACTCCTAAGTGATACATCAGAGTCGGACTCCGTAGCCGGCCTAGGCAACATCTCGAGGGTCAGTACGGAGTAGGTCACCGAGTCTTACCCTTGTGCAGCATACAATGGCCAATTCACCATCGAACTATCCTCCAAATTTTACCCCGACTCCCAGAAAAACAAATAGAATACATAGAAAGGTTACCTGACACGTTGCGTAAACCTGAGTCCATATGGATGTACCGGAGGATGAAACCTCAAACAACTGAGTTGACTGTCATGTCTTGAATGGTTAGATGATGACAGCAGAAAAGTGAAATCCGACGAATCTTATCGGGCAGAGGCGTATAATATAATCCGGATTGCTTGAGATTCGTGGTTGGCGATGATGGTTTGCTTACCCTTTGGTGGAAAAGGGGTCTGAATTAATGACAGGAAGATCGGCAACCCACCACACAAGGTCATGGAGAATTACTCCATTAATAACGGCGAAGCTTTCGAGGATCCTCGTAGCCACCGTCATAGCCACGCTTTCGGCCACCATCGTCATCACGGGGTCTGTCGTAGTCTCGGTCCCGTTCACGATACCCACCTTCTCGTCGACCTCCGATGGGTTCCATGTTGCTTCCGGTGCGTCGGTTCTCGCGTTCTCCGCCGTATCGGCCACCGTGTCTGTCGTCATATGAGCGACCACCGCTACGAGAATCATACCCACCGGGGCCTCGGTCACCCCCCCTTCGGTCGCCACGGTCCCGGTCACCATAGCCGCCGCCGTTTCTACGGTCGAATCCAGGGCCGGACGGGGCATCACTCGGTGCGCCATAGCCGCCTCGGTCACCTCCCCTTTCGCCTCCTCGGTCGCCGCTTCGGAAACCTCCTCCACGGCCGCCGAATCCTCCTCTAAAGCCACCGCGGCCGCGACCTCCGTCGAAACCCTTAAAACCGCCACGGAAACCGCTACCGCTAAAGCCACCAGGGCCCATAGGACGAGCAGCCATAGCCCTAGTATAGCCTCGTCCTCCAAGGCCACCACCAAGTCGTCGAGGTTTCCAGCCCTTAACAGTTCTGCCTCGTTCGACGTCTACCTTGATACGTCGATCCTTGATGCGCATGCCGTCACAAGCATCCAAAGCCGCTGCTCATGGTTGCGCCGAATGGCGCAGGTGTCAGTCAATCTTACCCTAAATAGTACCTTGTGTGCTGAACGGATTTGACAAAAGAAAAGGAAGAAGCAGAGACGGGCAAGCTTGAGGGCCCTTTGGTGTCTCGCATATACTTCGTGAGAAGGGCAAGCTTGAGGGCCACAACTCAAAAGGTACATCCAGGGAAGAAAACAAATGGCTAGTCAGACGGGGAAGGGTTTATATTTACCTCGCATATCTTTCTCTCGTTCGAATACGACGAAAGCATAGCCTCGGTGGGGCTTTTTCTTCTTGTTTGGCTTCTCATGAGCGTGAGTATCGACGACGATACGAATCTGTGATGGTGTCAGTCACTGGCTATGCGATGTTTTAATGATGGTTGCATACACGCTCGATGGGGCCGTAGCGACCAAATTCCTTCTCGAGATCCCTCTCATCAGCATCGTAACTGAGACGCGCGACCATCAAAGTCTTGAACGCATCGCCACGAACATTGGGATCCTCGTTCGGCTTATCTGTAAACCACGTTAGCATCTGTGTTGCGATAGAATGTCCAGGTCTCCTGACGATGATCGGGCGCTTCTCGGAGGAGCGTCTCCAACTTCTCCTTCTTCTCCCGCTTCTTGCGATCGCGGGCTTGCAACCAACTCTCAGTGGGGTTATAAACATCAGTCTCCTTGTACTTCTGGAGCTCCGGGAGATACTGGGCGACACCGTTGATGGGCGCTGTCCTGCGATGCTGAGGCGCATAATCGGGGGGATCAAGGAATCGCAGAGGTGGTCGCGCCGCGAAGAGCGCGAGCAGGTTAGGGGGAAGCTTGTCGGTCATTGCACTATCTCGAGTCGAACGGGGTGAAAGGAGCGATAAATGAAGTTATTAGCCGAGAATGAATAGGCGAACGTCAGGTCGCGATGAAGGATAGACAGAAAAAGCTAAGATAGGACGAGATTTAATTGAAGGTGTCGCGCCTTCGTTCGTGGGGGAAATTAATCCTTGAGCCTGCTTGGACTCGAGGGATGCCTAGTAGCGGCTGAGGCGCTCCTGTCAGCCGATGTTCTGCCGACACACGCTAAACCGAGGTCGGACACCCTCCACTGCGAGCTGATTTTCTGGTGATAGCCTCTCGGCACGTTAATTCTTTCTAGCTGTTATCGAATCATTTTAGTACTTGATACGGCCACGCAAATATGACTGTCAAGGCGATAAGACAAATAGCAAAGGGACAAGTATGTTCAGTGTGACGATCTCTTAGAGGCATAAGTGCTGACCTTGACAGAATGGCCTCGGCGCATTTATCCTCCAGTGCAAGAAGTTAGACTTCTACTACTGTGACTGGGCTGGTAGCTCCAAGGGTATGAAGTATGTGAAACAATTCAACCTCTCTTTCGTCTTTTCGGCATTGTCTAACCTGATGACAGTGGCTTCATCAAATCTCTTCTCCCCAAGTTCGCCGCCGCCAACCCTCAAGTCGAATTCTCCATCTCTCCCCGACCCGGCAAGCACCCCGTCGTTGTCGGTCACTACATCAATGGTCGAACTAAGCCCATCTGCGTACGAAACTTATCACCATACGAAATCCTTCAGAAGGCCGAGTTATTGCGTGACGCTAGCGGAGAGAAACTGAAGCGTTACAACAAAGCCGTCAACAGCACCCAACCAAGTGTGCGTGGGGTCTGGTCCCCATACCACGGCAAGGGAATGGTTGTTTAAGAGCTGACTTCTACGATTGGGTTTTCTGTACATTTATGTGTTTATAAACAATATTGGGGTTACTTGTAGCATTGGGTTGCGAGGAAATTTGTACGATTTATAGCAAGATCTCCATGATGTTGGGAGCATGAATGTCAACTGCTTCACATCTTCACCACCGGCTGCACGTCTATGCTCAATTAAGATGTTTCTTGTGATGATTGAAGTAGAATCACTTGAGGAAAGTCTTTCTCAAATATTACTATAATCATGACCAATATTCATGGGTATAATCATTTTTGTTTCATTCATCATCTATCTGCTCTCATGCCAAGGTACCAAGACCTTAACGGAACAAGACTTTTTTCTTTTGAATTAATGCATTTACTGCTTGGTAGCGTTGATGATGTCGACGACTAAAAGTATCAGTTAGCACAGTACCCTCAAAGGAATAGGAGTAAGACTTACAGGCAGGCTTGAGAGAAGCACCACCAACGAGGAAACCGTCAATGTCGGGCTGCTTGGAGAGCTCGCCACAGTTCTTCTCGTTGACACTGCCACCGTAGAGGATTCGGGTCTCGTCAGCAACCTTGTCGCTGATACCACGGAGGAGGTCACGGATAGCCTTGTGGACCTCCTGGGCCTGCTCAGTGGTAGCAACCTTGCCAGTGCCGATAGCCCAGATGGGCTCGTAGGCGATGACAATGTTGGACCAGTCGGAGATCTGGGACTTGAGAGACTCGAGCTGCTTAGAGACAAAGTCGATGGTCTTGCCAGCCTCACGGGTCTCGAGAGTCTCGCCGCAGCACCAGATGACCTTGAGGCCGTTCTCGGTGGCGTACTTGGTCTTGGAGGAGATGGTCTCGTCGGACTCGCCGAGGATCTCACGACGCTCAGAGTGGCCGAGGATGACCCAGTTGATGTCGCTGTCCTTGAGCTGGGAGACAGAGATCTCGCCGGTGAAAGCACCGTTGGGCTTGTTGAAGACGTTCTGGGCGGCGACCTCGATGTCCTTGCGGAGGGTCTCACGGACGAGAGGGAGGTAGATGGCAGGAGGAGAGACAACGACCTCTGAGAACGTGTTAGTTAATGTTGTTCTAGCAAAAGAAGTGAGGGGTTCTGTTAAGAAGCTGGGATGATACGCGGGGGAGGGGAACAGAAGAATGGCGTACCAGCGTTCTTGTCGAGATCAGCGTTGTTGAGGTTATCGACAATCTCCTTGATGGACGACTTGGAGCCGTTCCTATAAAGGATCATTGTTAGCTTCTGAGTAGCTCCAAGAAATATCTGCGGCCTTTTTGCTTCATGGAGGGGGAGGGGCACCAAGAAAATCGATAGAGCAGAGCAAAGCAGAGCAGATTGCTATGGCGGGGTAAAAACCTACATCTTGAAGTTGCCGCCGACGAAGAACTTGCGAGCCATGATGATGAATTAATATAAAATGGTGTTTTAGAGGAGATAGTTTTAGGCGAGCAAAAATTGAGGCAGATGAAGAAGAATGGGAAGTGGTGTTTTGAGTTGGGGAAAGCTACGTAAATAGTCCCTCAGTAATGGATGGATGTTAGTAGCTCAGCTACCTACGTCTACGTCTCAAGGTGGGTAGGTTGTGCTTAATCTGGGGCGCTCAGGCCAGCCAAGTCAGGTCATGAATTATTGCCAGACAACGAGGGCATGGATCAATGGGTTCAGTTTTGGATTTAGTAGATTGTTAGGGGGGTCATTGAGTATAATGATACCATATTATTTCTGGTGAGAACAGCCAGTTCAAATTCAGTCTCTATATGTAGCTCAACACCCGGATAGCATCACTTACAACACATCAACGCTCTCACTTACCGACGGCAGACCTCGGAGCTTATTACCGTTCATTATACGCTGCCCTTCCGTTTCTCTCCTTCATCCACTGGTCCGTCAATCACTATCCAGTAACGCAATTCGCTATTACACTCTAAAACGAAAGACTTCCAGATGTTTCCCTCAGGTACCCGAGTCACTACCGTACCGTTTTTTTGGTTTTTTTTTTTTGGCTGATCCAACACAGTAGCGTCATAGTGGAGGCTCAAGGACCCTAACAGCCATCATAGGCCTCCACTAACAACCTACGAGATGCTACTGAAACCACCGAGACCGTGACCGAGCCGACAACATCTCGGAGCTACTCGCGCCGCAGTCGTCGTGCCATCAATCGACTTTGACCTCTACAAAGCACGGTCTCTATAGTTCTGATGAGGTGAGGTGAGGCGAGGCGAGTTGAGTTGAGTCTCAACCACGGATGCAGGGGAAAACATCCCGAAAACACAAAAGAGCTGCATTCACTGTATCTCCACGATCTGGCCCGGAGACCATGACCCTGATTCTCCCGAAAACCTGCAGGTTTCACCGCTGATCTTGACATGTTTCTCACCCTCTGATATCCCATCCACGATGCATCTACAACGAATCTAGGACCTTGAAACCAGTTGCAAGGATCGAAAAAACCCCTGGTCCATCTAACAATGTCACTCAGTCGGCCCATGAATACTGTCGAACCATACACGATAATCATGTCAGTCCATCCTCAAAGCGTTTGCATGGTCACGCCCGCATGTTAGTAAACTCTTCTCATAAACAAACTCGATTGAACTCAAATCCTATCTGCAGTAATGCTATCAATATCAAAATTCCTCCCAAACAAAGTGTCTAAATCTGCTACCCTTTCCTGTTGTCAAGGGCCATCTGTTATTGGTGTACTTGTCTGTGAAATCTGTATCAAACTCATATCAGAATGATCAGTCTATCTGTTGTCCTCCTCTCGACGTCCCCCTTTTTCCTTCTCAGCTCGACTCTGAAAGTCGTTGATGTTTCTCCCATAACGGGGACTCCGTTATCATCCTGGCGCAATAGTAGCGCAATCCTTAGGTTGACATCCGTGGTCCGTGTCCTTGGATTGATGAATTCCGGTGGTAATGCAGTGCATCCGTTCCTAGGGGAAAGAGTCTACTCGGCTGGACGTGTCCTTCTGCCGTAGATCAGGGGCATCATTGCCCGGTCCTTGGGACGTCTTGGAGATTCAGAATTTGTCTCTATTTTAGACGGACTTCTTATCTCTGCCTGTGCACTTGCACAAATCAATTTTGGTGTTTTTCGGTAGCAGACAAGACGCGCATGTCTGGGAGATGGTTAGTTTGAACCAGTACATACGTCGAGACAACTTACGAATCATTCAGCCAGTGCCAACCAGGGTGTTTCCAGGGTTGTTCATGGCATTGAGGTCGTTGGTGAGCTTCATCATGGAACCAAGGCGGTTCTGGAGAGTTCCGATGTGCTGGAGGTTCTGGGTGTCCTCAGGCTTGACGAGGCTTCGCATGAGGCTCTCCACAGCCTTGCGGTGCTCCATCCACTGGTCAATAAGGGGCTGGGTCATGTTCTCCTTGGGCTCCGGGGGAGGTGGCATCGACTTGACAGTCGCCTTGCGGCTGTGGGAAGTCTGAGCCTCGGCAGTCTCAGTCTTGCGCTTACGTCCCTTAGCAGGCTGAGCAGGTCCAGTTGTAGGTGAGCCGCTGGAGCTTCCGTGATCGTTGTGAACACGCTTCATGTGGTCACGCAAGTTCCACTGGCGGGGGAATCCATTTCCAGGAACGGCTCGCTCACAACCCTCATAAACACAAAGAAAAGGCTTGTCGCCATGACCATGGAGTCCGTGGGCCTCACGTTCGTGGCGGAGGAGGCAAGCAGTCGAGGAGAAGCGGGCGCCCTCGCACGACTCAGCCTTGCAGCGGTAGGGCTTCAGGTGAGAGTCCACGAATTTGCTGGCTCAGTCAGTATTCGTCATCTCATTAATTCGATTTATGATTTCTTACTCATAGTTGCACTTGAGCTTCTCGGGTCGGTGGTTGCAGCTTGGCTGTCCTTCCCATGGGCAGTGGTAAAGTCCATCCTCAAATGGAGCGGCCTTCTTGTAGAGGTCATGGTCCCGAGCGGATTCACCATCGCTGTTCTGTCGTCGTGGACCAGTAAAAGCAGAGGTAGGAGCAGGAAGCTCGTCGAATGTGGGAATGGCCTGTCCATTGGCATCTTCAGAGATCAAAGGAATGTTCCGGTCAAGGCTAAAACAGTCGACTTGGTAAGAAACTGGATCGGGGGTCACTATGTGGTTGGGCATTACGTACCTTGGTGACTGGCACCGGATCTCAGGAGATGAGTTTGGGCTCTGGTTAGGGAACCACAAATCCTCAATAGTGTTGGGAGAAGATGATCGAGAGATGGAGCTAGAAAAGCAGTCCCACGGGCTAGGAGGAGAGTTCTCGATGAGGGTGACATCAGGGCCGAGCTGCATGTGAGAAGGAACAACATGCAGAGGGCTGGCATCGGGAAGGGAAAAGGTGGCATCACCGTTCAGTCCACCATCAAGGGAGTAGCCAGGCCAGTACATCTGGTTCGCGATACCATCGGTAGGGTCCAGGAGGCAAGTATCAATTCCATGCAAGGTAGCACCGGCCTGGGTTCCAGTCTGAAGAGCGGAAGCATTACCTGTGAAGTCCATGTTGGACAGATGTGATGATTGTGACAGCGAAGAGCCGCTGGACCTGCTTGAGCTTACCCTGGACATGGCTTGTCCACCTTGGGTTACAGAAGCGGTAGTCCTGGATGTGGACCAGTTTCCTTGGGAAGTCACCCTGGTTCCTCGGGGCGTAGCATGGCCAGATGTGAAAATGAACTCCTCGGCTTCTCCGGAATGGGCGGATCCATTGTCTGAGAAATCTTGAAAGTTCTGTGGTCCTTCTACTGTCGTGGCCCATGACGAACCTGTCAAAAGGTCCGCTGATGGTTCTGTTTGAGAAAAAGAAAAGAGTCCAGAGTTGGGAGCCAATGATGGCTGAGAGTAGCTAAAATCACTGGGGAAGGGTCAGTGTGCCGTTCTGCGCAATCTGAAAGCAAAAAAAAAGCAAAAAAGAAACATAAAACAAGGCAGAAGTCATGACTCGGAATCAACTTTGAAACTGTTCGTTAGGTTAGCATTTGACAAGTTTGATGTGGTTTTAGTTTACAGACCAAGTATGACAGTGTGAAGCATGACCTATGGTTAGATCTTGCATTCTGTCGAAATCCTTCGGGTAATCCGTGGATCATTGTTGTAGCCAGGCAAGGTCGTCAAATACAGTAATTAAGTCACATCGAATCCGGCAGTGTTCCGGTAGCGGGTTGAGAGTGTTGTGAATGGTGGTGTCGTCAAGTCCAGGTCTTCAATCTAAGTATTCGCAGAAAAAACAAGTTGGTATAGCATCATGTATTGTCGATGTCGGAAGGCCAGAGTCGATTGAGCAGAGCAACGAGATCCTCGGTAACCATTGTGTCCGGCAGAAAGAACGTCCAGTGGAAAGCAACATTGGTGTCCATAAGTGGAAGTCCAGTGCGGCTGCACGAAGAAGCAATCAAATTGGATTGCAAGGCCATAAAGCCAGATGCTACCTCGATGTCTAACACCGCTAAGCGGTACATAAGGAGCAGAAGTCCAGGCGAAATCCCATGGGTCGTATGTCCTGTCGAAATACCATCCGCATATGAAAGGTCTATTTCCAGAAAACGAGATCAGATGAAAGGGTCCATTGTCCTAGGGTCGACTCCTGATATCCGGAAGAGAAATCCTTGTGGTCCATGAAAAGTCCAGGTTTGACCTCCAGACGAATAGCTGCTGATTTCAATTTGAAAGCGGGCAATACTCATGAGGCTCATGGCCAGTAAATGATATCAATGTTTCATGTCCGGGCGGACAGATCCAGTCAATTTTGAATTCAGTGGCTTGTTGTCGTAAATATCCACGGGCATATTAAGGTCCTTTGAGATCCAGCAGATGTTCCGGAATATATCCTTGGGTCGAGAGTTGGATTAAGTCTCCTGGCTTGGTATCCTTGGATAGAGTGAAGCAAGATTGTCGGTGTACATGATTTGCGCGCAACATGATTGAAAAAGCAAATGTAAACCTCCCAAGAGTAAGAAAAACAGTACCTGGACAACGAGTGAACCTCATCGAGGTCAGAGTTCTTGAAAGCGTGCATGGTAGCAGGCTGTGTCACAAGAGTAACAGTCATTGTGTCCTCGGAATGGAGAGCAAAATTGAGCTCGTGGATCAGCAAAGAGCAACGTTGGGACGTTGTCTTGCACGTTCAGACCAGTGGCAATCTGTCGAGTTGTTGGTTTTGTTGTGCGACAGGATGGATCCTTGGGCTGATTGGGTTGCTTTCAATTCCAGGTGGAAGATTGAAAACGCTGAATAGTTGTGTATGAGAAAGAAGAGTAAGAATGGCTTGGTAGTCTATGAAGGACTAGACTGAATTGTTGGTTGGGTAGTAAGAGGCGAGAGTTGGGCAGGAAAATTGAGGAACAGAAGGGAGATGTTGGGCAACGAGGGATCCTGCGGGTTTTATTGTCATAGAAGCCTGACCTCTTACCGCGACAGGGTTCCACTATCCATGTAACTGCCGCAAAACGCGGCCATTGTCTGGTCGCAGGAGTGAGTTGGCGTTTGTGATTTCAGAGTGCAGAAACCGGTGTGTTGGGCTATTGCAGGGATCAACAGAGAAGGGATGGGCCAAAGCGACGAGCGACTGGTTAACTTCCCTGATTTAGGATGGGTCAGGGTGGAGATAGGACCCTGGTCCGCATCCTATCACCCAGAATTAACCTATGAGAGGAAGGGATAATGGCTGTTGAACAACGCATCACTGCATCTGCGTGAGCGCAAAACCAAGTTGGACGAGGATGTGGTGCGA